TGGAACGTTTGGCCAATGCGTCAAATTGCGCCAAACGGCCAATGTGATAGCAGTAAGCAATGCTGTCGATAGACGGGGAAGGTGCCTTCCACCAGGCGCAACTTGCTCGCTCGTCCGATTGGTTCCATTGATGGGCTTTTCAGAAGTTAGATACCATAGCTCGACCCATGCAGACAACAGAAAAGGAGGAAGACAAGTCGGAGGTTCCGAGCAAGGCCAACGAGCTGCTAGAACTCGCCTCAGCTGCTGGGCTCGTAAAGGTACATCGTCCAAACATCACCGACGCCGGCTGACTGTCCGCCAGCGCCAAGCCTGTCAAGCTGTGGCCCAGATACAAAGCCCTCCTCTGCAGTCCCCAAGTAGAAACTTTTACCTTCCCACACCAATACCCCAGTCCAATATACCGATCTACTCGCTGGTCCAATACGTTTGTGAAGGTGACAAGATCCAACGTTGGTGAAAACGCTGTGTCTCTATCTTTATTGGTTTCAGCGCGCGCAGTCTCATCCCAGCGTGAGCATGATCTCAGGTCCCTTGGGTAACCTATTCCAGCAATGTTCCGAGGGTGGCACGCGAAAGGAAAGCGTATCGAAATCGGCAATTGGACCATGTGCACATCAAAAACGATCAGACTACAAGACCCGGTTGGGCGGGAATTGCTGGGGCATTGCTCGTGAGCTTTGCGGTGGATGCCTACTTGTCTCATCTCCTCAGCGCGTGCCCGTCAAGGTAATTTCTTTATCTTATTCATTGGGCATCATCATCAGGGTGTCATATTTGCGCCACACTCGGGTGGGAACAGGTGCAAACATGTCATTCATTCGAGACCAGCTCGTCTGCATTTCGTCCAGGTCGCATACTGCCCAACCACGTGGGACAGCCCAAAAGCTCTTTGCTACGTATTTTGGCCATGTGCAGCACCATTTGCAAGGAAAAGGAGAGATTCTTTAACTTAGGTGAATATTGTTGAGCGTCTGCAGCAGGTAGAAAACGAGGGCGGATGGGGGGGCAACCGTACGAGGATATCCCGGATTTCAAAATAAACTCCAATCGTCAACATATACTTTGCAAGTTATTACGCTTCATGGGCGACTAGCGCAGTGGTCAGCGCATTGGACTTCGACTGATGGTATTATCATGACCAGAGGTTTCCAAGGGTCGTCGGTTCAAATCCGGCGTCGCTCTTTTTTTTTTCGCTCGCGCGCACCTGATTCACTTTTTTACCTCTTTGTTAATCTACGACATGCATCATCTCCCGAAGCGCGGATGCTGCCTGTTTCTGATTTTGCATTTAGAAGAATCGAGAGTCGAGGCCACACGGGTAAGCAAGATTATTGACTTGCTTCATCGAAAATTGCTGTGAATGTAAAGACATGGATTATGAAGGGTGTCCGCTCCGCCACCCAGGCTAGGCACTCGACAATGTTTCTCTTTTCTCTCCCACAACACAATCGTTGCGTCGCCTCCGCAGCATACTTGCGCTGGCCGGACTGCTATCCATCCAAGGTCACACATGAGGCGCTTGTGCCTGGCTGTTTGCGACCGCTCACGACATCGGTGTTTCAGTACGATAGCGGACCGTCTCACATCCATGCATTCATGGCAGACGGTTGTGATAAGGTGCAATGTGGCCGGCGGATTGGAGAGAGATTTCCGTCCGTAGATAGGCTGGCGGACTGGCCGGGAACCCAGCTGGGAGAGCGGGTCCCGCGCCTTTGCAAGCCCTCCCTGTGTTCTTGACGCAATTGCCTCCACTCATTTGGGGAACTGCAGCCATGTACGCATCCAAGATGACCGACGGGGCCATCCCCAAGATCAGCACGATCGATCCCAAACAACCGGCGACCGAACAGGCAGGCCTGCACAACCGATGGCATCCTGATGCGAGCTTGCACTTACATCGTGCCGTGGTAGAGCGGTGCAGCTGCTGACGCTTTCCGCTCATAGGAACGCATGTACTCCCATTTGTCTCGGTCAAACCAGGATCGATCTTCCAAGTGGACCAGCTGGCAGATTGAAAAAGACAACTCGGCCGACGGCGTTCGCAATGTTGACTTCACACTCCTCCACTATCTGTCTGGCCCGATCGGCGTCGAGGGCGCCGAGCCAGGCCACCTGCTCATCGCCCACATTCTCGATGTCCAAGCGTCCGACCAGGCTCCCTTGAGGTTCACAGTCAGCTTCGAGGGCGAGAATGGCGGGGGGCCCTTTGCCAACGGCTTTGATACTCACACGTGCAAGGCCATATGGGACCTGAAGGGGGTGTATGCGACATCACGCCACATCCCGGGTGTTCGCTTTGCTGGCATCACGCATCCGCGCCTCATGGGCACCGCACCGTCGGCCGAGCTGCTGACGACGTGGAACAAGCCAGGGTGTGCCCTTATTGATAAGCCCGCTGAAAAGGACCCAAAACTGATGCCAAGATCCATGATTGCTGCCATCAATAAGGGTCATGCCACAGTTTGATGGGCACGAAGAAACTGAAGACGATAGTTTGTGTCCTTGCAGTGGCGGTCACACAAACCCCAGAACCCAAGGGAGCCTACGTCGGGATAGGCGCGAACACTAAGGTAGACGGCGCCACGCATCAAAAACATCTGTAGCAAGGGTGCCAGGACGGTCCACAGTTGCGAAGGCCACGGAGGCTAACTCGACATTAGTGGGTGCCTGCTTCGGCAAAATCTGTGCCTCGTCTTCCATCTGAAAGATTTTCATATGTCACCGAAGATCTGCATCGCAGCAACCGCTACTCCCCATTATTTGTGCCCGGCGCCAAGTCATCTCCCGGCGCCCTGCATTGTAGCCAAGGCCATGGCGAAATGTCGTGCTGCCGCGCAGTTGAGATGTCGGGCGTCGTGACGATGCAGGCATCCATTATAAGATGCGGTGTGCAGCTGTACAACATGAAACTGCCGTTTTCCTTCCCCCGTCCATCGATGTGATGTACGCGGATCAGATCGTATTCCAAGGCGTTAGCACCGATATTCACGAGAGCAGGACGCAGAAAATATGTACGCTAGGTTGGCGTTCAAGCTGGCCGCGAGGGAGGGTATCAAGCACCTCATGCTGCTTGGCTATATGCGCAAGCATGCGTACCTGCCCTTGTCCACCATGTCCGTCGACAGCCATATCCGTGCTCAGCCATGTTAAGTGCGTTCAACCTAAGCTCCACGTGGTACGGATCCGCTGACGTCACCTCTCGTTGCTTGCCAGCCCACGGAACGCCAGTGTGACAATGGGCCCGGCCGTCGCTTGTTTCGATCGCGACACTCCCCAAATGCATGCAAGCGAGCAACTTGCCGCGCCCCATTTTCTCACCATGCTCGCAGTGAGTTCTTTGGCGTTGCTTGTGTCGGATAACAGCACGAGGGCCTCGAAAAACATCACTACGGCCAATGCACCATTGGCTCCGACGGTGTGGTGTAAAGGTGCTCAGCAATAGATATGCCTTACAAATGCCAATTGTATTCCTCCTTTACAATCGTCTACCGCAAATGAATACTCTTCAGTCCAATGCATATGGCGTCAGCACGATTGTTGCAGATGAAATGGTGCGTTCATCATCGATTCTGCATCTCCATGCCTGCCACATTCGTGGTGGAATCCGCCAAGTCTGCGCTGGCTCCCTCCTCGCCTCTGATGCTGTTTCCAGCTGCGACTGCGGATGGTAATAGACTCTGCGTCGCCCCGCCTTCCCCGTCGAGGTCGTCATCGTAGTCCTCCTTCCCGAGCATCTCATGATCGCCTCTGCCGTCTGCACCTGCGTCTGCCTGTGCGCCTCGGCCAGCCAGCCATGCAGGCAGCCAACGCCGCCACCAGCCCACGCCATCGGCATGGCTGATGCGCCCAGAAGCCCGCCTACGTTGCTGCGTGAGGTAGTACATGGGCACACCAGCACTGATGAAAACGAATGCAGCGAGGGCCTCGAGCGGAGCACTAAAGATGGGCATGAACAAGAGGAACAGGGCGACTGCTGAGAAGAGGATGGGCGTGGATAGGTATGTCTGCGTAGATCAGAATGGAATGGTATGAAGAGGATGAGCATAGAGCACAAAGAGCATGAGACGAACGCGTACTGACCTTGTACGGGCGCTCGAGGTTGGGCTCCTTGACCCGGAGAACGAGCAGACCAGATACGGTGGCAAAATAGAAGAGCCAGCTGCAGACGCCGTAAAAGTTGACGATGCTGGCAAAGCCACTGCCAAAGAGGAGGAAGAGCGCGACAAGTACGTTCTGGAGGACAATGGCGTTGAGCGGAGTGCGCGTACGTGCGTGGAGGCGCGCGAATACGCTAGGCAGATAGCCCTCGCGTGCGGCGACATATACGAGGCGCGCGGTCGTGTAGAACTGCGAGTTGAGTGCGCCGAGGCAAGAAAAGGCGACGAGCAGCGCGAACACCACGCCGCCGCTCGGCCCAAGGATCGCCGCTCCAAAATCTAGCGCCACAGTGTTGGTACGTGCGACGAGCGCTGGCGGCAGCACCAGAAAATACGAGGTCACGACCAGCAGGAAGATCATCAGGACCAGGCAGAGTGAGATGTGGATCACGCGTGGCAGGTCGCGCTTGACGTTCTGCGAGCACATGCACAAAGGAGGTTCAAGCAACGTGAATTCTCGTGTCAAGCGAGAGAACAAAAGAGAGCACATTCATCACGCACTGCGCGTGAGAAGGTGGGAGAGAACGCACCTTCATTTCTCCGCCGACCAAGCTGACCTGGTCCCAACCATCAAAGCTCCAGAGGCCACTGTAGAGCGCGAGCGCATAAGCGCCTGGCGAACGCGCGCTGCCTTTCCAGAAGCCGTCCCAACTGCCGAAAGCGGCGTGGCTCTGCTCCGGCATGCCGCGGCGCGCGACCTGCACACCCGCCGCGACGGGGACGGCAAAGAGCGCGAGTAACTTGAGCGCCGTACTAATGTTCTGGAAGCGCGTTGACAGTCGGGTCGAGAGGGCATGCAGCGTCGAGAGCAGGACGGTCAGCGCGAGCGCGATGAGCTTTATGAGCCACGGCGGTATGTCTTGTAGCTCTGGCTGGGTCTGCGCTTGGCTTTCCGAGGCGCCTGACCCTTTCGCAGCTGTTGTAGCACTGTTACTAATGCTGGCGGATGCGTGCGCCTTGGCGTGATACGCGATGCGCGCGACGTACTCTGCAAATATGCTGGCGATAATGGCGCCGCTGCCGGGCTTAAGTGCGGTAATCGCAATCCACGCGAACAGGTATCCTGCCAGCTCGCCAAAGCTGTATGTCAGGTACGCCTGCGCACCACCGTTGAGCGGAATAGCGGCGCCGAGCTCTGCAAAGCTCGCAGCGCCAGTCCACGCCAGGAGGCCCGAGAGGAGCCAGACGGAGAGCGACGCGCCGACCGAGCCGGCGTTCAGGGTGACGACCCCGGGGGAAGAGAATATGCCCGATCCAATCTGCAGGCCCACAGTTAACGCTACACCGTCGAAGAGCGTCATGCGCCGTTCTGGAGGTGCGCGTGCGCGCGAGGATGGCGAGCGCGACGGTGAGGAAGGATGCAGCCTAGACAGGCGGCCGCTGCTGAAGAGCCGCCGATTCTGCCGCCGCTGTTCTGTATCTGCACCAACTATTTCTTCCTCAGCAAATTCATCCTCGTCATTGTCGTCGGCGCCAGTGCCGTACCCAACCTCTCCCAGCCGTCCCTTGTCTCGCTGACGCTGGCGCCGCTTCTGCTCACGCTCATACGCAGCGTCGTACTCTTCCAGCTCGAACTCGACGTCCACTGCCGCTGCTGAGCTGGAGAGCGTCAGCGGGAGCAGATGGTCACGGAAGCCGAATGGAAGCGACTCGTCTGCGTCTGCGTCTTCATCTTCGGCCGGGTCTTGGTCTCGCGCGCGTTCCTTTCCTTTGGCTCTGGTGCTGCTGGTAGGGAATATGATGGAAGGTTCAGCGAATTCGGACCGCGGAGGTTTGCCGTTTGTAAAGGCCGAATTTCCCAACCCGCTGTCGCTGGCCAGAGCGACCGCAGGAACAGGAGGATAGCTTGACGAAGCGGCGGCGCTCATCGTGCAAAATGGAGAGACAGGCGCAGGCGGTCCAAGGAGCTGCAAGGGCCAAGGCGGAGAGCGGGATGAGAAGCAGGGAATCCCGTCCGAAAAACAAAGGGAGCAGCCCTTTTTCTGTGCTGTCCGCTGGCAGCTGTCCTGTCTCCTGTCTGTGTATATACATCTGCAAAGATGAGGAAGGAGTTAAAACTTGCTACTGAGGTTGGCCAGTCAAGGAGGATCAGGAGCATTTGCTCAAAGAGCGTCCGATGCTATCGAGCTTACGTAAGCCAACATGGGTGGGTTGTGGCGCCAGACTAGTGACTATGAAGAAGGACTAGCTGGGGCTCCACGCACTGTACAATAACCCCAACGAACAGCCAAATGCTGCATGGATGGTGTATTGGTGCCTGCAGTGTCAAAGGAGGGTACGTGTGACGTGATTCCGGAGGAATCATCAGACCGACCTGGGCCAAGTAGGGGACCCACGAGCCAGGTGAGAACCCCGGAGCACCCGTTCGCGTACACTTCAAAAGGAGGGAGGCTGCGAGCACCACTGCGAGCCTTCGGAGCCGAACAGCAGGGGAGGGATCCGACACGGTCCTATATGCATCTCTACCACCGGTTGCGGCTGCAGCTGCGGCTGCAAGTGCAACTGTGTATGCCCTCAGTCGTCCTCTTGCTGCTAGCTATCTGCGCTTTCGTCCATGCGTCTCCAGCAACGACGAGCGATGCAACAAGGGCGCTCGCATCGGCCGAGCGCGCACTCAACGCCTCGCTCCTCTGGGGCTCCTACCGCCCGCAGAACTACTTTGGCTTTCGCCCACGCCTGCCTGCGACGCTCGTTTTCGGTATCGCATGGGCCGGCGTCAGCAGCGGCGTTGGCGCACCCTCGGGGCAAGGATATGCTCAGATGCTGCAGAACCTCCGGCACAAGTGTGATGACAGACAGGATGTCGTGTACAAGTGGTCCAGGCACGACGGCCGCACCTACGGCGTCGAGGTGATCGAGGATCGAGATGTGAATGTGCGCATCGAGGCGAGCTTTGTCAAGATACTGGGAGCGGCAGTGGAGGAGGCCGCCTTTAATGCTTCCGCGACACCGACAGATCAGGCAGAGGATATCGGCGGCGGATCATGGGCCATCCGTCTGCATGGCACACCACTCGATCCGTCTAAACCAGCACAACTGGCGCTTTTCCCCTACTTTTCAGTCGAGGCGCACCAGACGAAGCTCTCCTTCCACCCTCCTCAAGACGACGACAACAGCGGCGAAGTCGAGCTACCGTTGGATCCAAACGGCCTGCCGTGGGATCATACGTTGAAGCTGCACGGTAGCGGACCGGGCTTAGGCGCATTCGACGTGCGCATCGTGCACCCCGACGTGGAAGCGCTTGGAATCTCATATACTGAAGGGCAAGCACGAACCCCGCTGCACAACCAGCCCGTGCGCACAGCGAACATCGCAGGCACTGCGACACACGCGGATGACTACCGCCCGCGTCTGGCGCGTACGCAGTACGCCGCAGTGACACTGCCATACAATCAGACGTGGCGCGCCGCCGATTTTATCGGCGCGGCACTCAGCGTTAGCACGCAGAGGGCTATGGAAAAGTACGGCGGCGCCAGCAGCATTGATCCCATGAAGCCGGATGATAAGGCGCAAACAGCCACGTGGCAGCTCCCACCCGCAGCGTACGGGCTTCAGCTTGCTAATGAGGCTGCGACGATGTCACCGAATCTGCTCGTGCTGCAGGACACCTTCGACGTCAACAGCGACTACAAGAGCACCGGCGCTGACAGTGCGGTGGGCGGCGGCTCGTTCATCGTCGATATATTCTTCGACTCGCACGCGACTCCGGCGCCGCTGCGGCTGCAAAACAGCACGGCGTTAACGCGTGCCCTGGCGCGGGCGCGCGAGCAGTATGATGCCAACTTCTCCATGCGCTTCCCGCTCGCTGCGCCGTACGACCGCCAACACGAGGGAGAGCGGGATATGGCGCGCGAGATGGTTGCATCTGCTATCGGCGGCATTGGCTACTTTTACGGCGAGCAGCTCGTCGATCGATCTTCCTCACCTCCTGCTCGCAAGGGTAGCAGCAGCGACAGCGACGAGTGGGAAGATGAGGAGGAGGAGGAAGACGACGAGTATGGCATCGGACCGATAGACCTGGAGGAGCAAGAGCGGCATCGCGCGCAGACGCAGCCTGCGCGACTCGTGTACGAGGGCCCATACGCCCTGACGACCGCCACACCTGCGCGCTCGGTCTTCCCGCGCGGGTTCTACTGGGACGAGGGCTTCCACTTGGCTGTCATCGGCGCATACGATGCGGACCTCGCGCTAGAGATCACCAAAAGCTGGTTCAATCTTGTCGACCGCCGCGGGTGGGTGCCACGGGAGGTCGCGCTGGGAAAGGAGAGCGAGAGCCGCGTCCCGGACGGTTTCCTCGGGCAGAACCCGAGACACGCCAACCCACCGACGCTGACGATGGCGCTCGCGATGTATATCGACAAGTTCGCGCGCACGGGTGAGGCGGCTCGCGGAGGTGGGCTCGAAGACATGTTCGGACTCGGTGACGGCTCACAGCACGAAGGGCAGCTCGCGTTCCTCTGGGCAAACTCGACGACGCCGCTGAATCAGTCGCGCTTCTTGTCGGACCGGACACTGGCGCTGGCATACCTGCGCGCGCTGTACCCTTCGCTGCGCCGGCATTACCGTTGGTTCCGGCGCACACAGCGGGGCGAGCTGCGCGAGTGGGGGCGGCGCTCCAGTGGCCGCAGCGAGGCGTACCGCTGGCGCGGGCGATCGCGCGAGGGGCACGTCTTTGCGAGCGGGCTCGATGACTACCCGCGCGCGGCGCTTGCGCACAGCGGCGAACTACATCTGGATCTGCACTGTTGGATGGGCTTCTTTGCGCGTACCATGCGCATCATCGCAGAGACCGTTGGCGAGGAGGACGATGTGGATGAGTACGAGCGGCACGAGGAGGGGATCAGGGCCAATCTAGAGGGTGAGTACAGGACACGGAATATTTCCTGCGAATGAGCGAGCGATGGTATGGTATGGCTGACGGCTTTGACGTATGTAGAGCTGCACTGGAGCGAGAAGGACAAGATGTACTGCGATGTGACGGTGGACAGCAACTCGGACGAGTCGGTGCGCGTCTGCCACGGGGGCTATGTCAGCATTTTCCCGCTGCTATTGGGCCTGCTGGATGCGCGCAGCAAGCAGCTGGGCGACCTGCTGGACTTTATGCACGACGAGCGCATGATCTGGTCCCGCTTCGGCCTGCTGAGCCTCAGCCGGCAGGACGACGCATTCGAGACTAAGGAAAGCTATTGGCGCGGACCGATCTGGATGCCGATCAACTACATGGCCCTCGGGTCGCTCAAGCGGGTGAGTTAGAGCCAAACTGGCAGGCTGGCTTTGGTTCTGACGCGTTCACTCGGATGCACTCGCTCGACCAGTACTCGGAAATGGAAGGCCCGCACCAGTCGAAAGCGGCCAAGATGTATGCGGAGCTGCGGCAGAATATCGTGACGAATGTACACAAGGTGAGCAACTCTTCGCGCGGGCATGCATGCATCCAGCTTCTTTCTTTTTGCGCTTGGGTCTGCTCATTGACGTGGGTCTTTCACTGCTTCCTCTCCTGCATCGTGTGTGATGACAGGAATATGAGCGCACCGGGTGGACGTGGGAGCAGTATAACGCGACGACGGGCCACGGGCAGCGCGCGCATCCGTTCACTGGCTGGACGGCTACGGTTGCGCTGGCAATGGCGGAGATCTACTAGCGGCGGATCGGCCAATTTCCTATGTACTTCAGCACTAAGCAGAGGAAAAAGTAGAGACAGTCTTATGGCACATCATATGTATTCATCCATGTGTGGCTCCCGCTCAAGCGCGTCTACTGCGTCCGCACCTCCGAGTCTGGCTCGATGTATTCGCTGTGGCAGATGAGAGAAGGTGCAGATACGTGCGACAGAGTGAAGAATGAGCAAACAGCCTCTTTTCGCTTTTGTTTTGTTTGGCCGTGGGTGCACGCTGAGCTCACATGTGTTCGTGCTTGCCGCCCTCGGAGACGGCGCGGAGCGTCTGCGCATGATCGTCGGGTATAGTGGCGGCGAAGCCGCGCATGATGCTGCTGTTGTACTTGTGCGTCACCTTGCCGCCTTTGCCCTCGATGTCGGCGATCTGCGCGTCGATCGAGGCCTGCGGCGCGCCGTCTCTAAAGATAACCATATAGGGCTTCATGGTGCGTACCGTGCACGGGCGAACGGGCCTCCGGCAGTGGGGGCTCGAAGCGAGAGTGGAACGGGATCTGATATTCTTCAATATTAGGACTCAATGCCGCTGCTGGTGGCGATGATGGGCAGACTGTGCACAAGCTCGATATGACGTCGCAATTGGGATGGATTACAGTGTGATGTATGGGAGCATGTCATCAAGCCAGCAATCATGCGATGCGATGGACACGTCGTCGGGATAGGATGCACAACCCTAATTGGAATACAATTGCACTCGGCCGATAGATGCTAGTGATCGACTTTCAGCTCCTTTAGATGGTTGTGCGATGACTGCGCGCGCAGCGGAGACCTTGAGACGAAGCTCAGCACGTCCCAGGATGTCCTCCATTGAGCGTCAGGGTATGGATGGGTGATAATTGGTATACATGCTGTCCGCCAGCGGCTTGAACTCGCAGCACTGCCCCCCCTCGTGGCCGCCTTACCCCCTTCCTCCAGGGGTGATTTGAGATTGTTGGTGCGCGCTTAGGGGAGGGAGACTAGGGAGCCCAACAAAGTGAGATCCCATCATCATCAGGGCGCAAGCGAGGCGGCTGCTCTCATCTCACCCTCCCTCCCATGATGGCCGCCGAAATGAGCATAGCTGCTGTGGCAGCTATGGAGCTGCCGCCGCAGGAACAGAAGCAGCAGCAATTCGAAGGCGGCGGCGACCGCTTCCACTTGCTCTACTCAAAATCCAAGGTATACGTCCACCCCACGCCCTACGCACGCGACAACATCGCAGGCTACGTCGCGCTCCTTCGCAAAGGCTCACCGAGGCCCATGGCCAACGCGGCAAATATCTACCTTGCGTACATGCCCGAAGCGCTGCTTGAGGAACGCGATGAACTCGCCGTGTTTGTCGACGTCGAGCTGCGCGCTGGTAACGTTGAAGGTGTCAAGGAGGTGTTTGATGAGGGTGCGCCCATCTATCCGATTGGTAGTCCGTAATGCGTCGGCTGACCTTTTCTTTTTTGTTTGCCTGCTTGCTTTCGGCCCGCATTCTGCAGAATGCATTCTCGCCTCTCCCCCACCAGCACGACTAGCCTCATCCGCGCCACCTTCCACCTCCAGCGCCAGCACCATCACCAGCTCGCCTGCATCCCTCTATGCATTCTCCTTCCCGCTCTCAGAGCTGTACTCGTTCACGCTCAACCCGCCAACATTCTCCCACTGGTACGGCACCATGGTTCTCAGCCTCATGGGGGGTGTCGCGCTGCCCACGCTGCACTTCCACGACGACGAGAGCCAGAGCACGATCCTCGGCCTGCAACGAGCCTCGTCCGCAGCGCAGCACAACAGCAATGGCAACGACGCCACGACCTCGCGCAGCGGCCTCAGCGGCAGTGACATTGCCCTGCATCTGGCGGCGCCGAGCGGCCCACCCGCGTCGTCGGCGCTGCCGTGCACATGGGGCGGCGACGAACTGCTGCAGCAGCTGCGGCGTTACGCGCACGTGCTGCGCTCAGTCGTGCAGGCCAACTTGTTCCTGCTCAACCCGAGCAGAGACGACGTCGAGTTGCACACCACGCCGCTCTTTGACGACGATGCAATCGACCGTCTCGTCCCGGCCCCCTCGTCGAGTACATTCGGCGATGGGAACCGCTTTACTAGCGACTTGCACGTGCACCTGCCCAGCGCCCACCGCGGGAATGTGCAATCAGCCGGCCAGGATGGCGGGGTAAGCGGCAGTTCGATTGCCGCCGCTGACGCAGCCAAAATGGAACCGCTGGTACTGTGGGCGAAATCGACGCGCCTGTCGTTCCTCAGCTCGATGGCGCAGCTGACGCACAGCGCACGCCAGGCAACGCACCAGGTTCTCTCGCATCCGCTCGCTCGGCCCGTCGTTGGCCACCTTCCCGGGCCTGTTCAGACGTTCGCCCAGGCAGGCCCCTTCCCGCTCGGCCCTATCAGTGACGCAGAGTGGGGCCGCATCGCGCAGCAGAGCGGCACTGGCGAGTACGACAGCGCGCGTGTCTACTTGGCCAAGTGGGCCAGGCTCGTCGCGGAGGAGGGAGAGCGTAACAAGCGCAAAGAGGAGGCCCTCACCACGGCCGCTGCGGCGGCGGCGGCCTCCGGCAGGGCAGGCGGCGGCAGGGGTGGTGCAGCGTCAGGCACAGAGTACGGCGAGTCGGCGCACGAGGATGTAGAAATAGGTCAGCTGGGCGTGTTCGAGCTGCTCGCCAAGAGTGCTGACCTGCCGCGGCCGCCGACGAGCCGCGTGCAGGGCTCGCCGCTGACGTTGTCCGAGTTCGACTCGCTCTTCGATACCGTGTCCGGCCGGCCATTGCACTCAGCTGCGGCGATCCAGCAGCGCATCTTTGCGCACGGCCTTGCGGACCTTCCTGCGCGCCGCGCCGCGTGGCCATTCCTGCTCGGCGTCGTGCCGTGGCACAGCACGCGTGCGGAGCGCGAGCAGCTGTGGCGCGCGCGTGCAGCTCAGTATTGGACCATCAAGCGCCAGTGGATGGAGCAGCCTGCGCTGCTCGAGCGCGAGGACGTGCTCGAGCAGCGCCACCGCATACGCGTCGACTGCCTCCGCACAGATCGCAGTCATCCCGTCTTCCGTGCTACCCCGCCTGCTCCGGCGACAGCCGACGGTCCGCCGTCGTCGTCTGGACCTGACAGGCAAGGCGCAACTGCAGCGGCCTCTCCGCCACCACTGCCGCCGCCCGCCACCATGTCAGCCAGTATCGTGCAAGAAAAGCAGGCGGGCCACTCGGCTGCGACGAGCAACGGGAACGTCGTCAAGCTCGGCGAAATCCTGCTGACGTTCGGCATGTGGGAGAGCGGCAAGCTCGGTGGCTACGTCCAGGGCATGTCCGACCTGTGCAGTCTGCTGTACATTGTCTGCGCCGGCGATGAGGTGCGCACGTTCTGGTGCTTTGTCGCGCTCATGGAGCGCATGGCGCCCAATTTTTACGCGGATCAAAGCGGCATGAAGAAGCTGCTGCTCGAGCTGCAGAAGCTCATCGCCATCATGGACCCGCCGCTATATGCCCACCTCGACAAGACCGACTCGCTCAACCTCTTCTTCTGCTTCAGGTGAGCATGGCACTGTCATTTGCTCTACAGGCTCTCATGATCACTGACCGGCCGTTTCCTTTATGACGGACAGATGGCTGCTCATTTGCTTCAAGCGAGAGTTCCCTCTGGATGACCTTTTCAAGCTGTGGGAGTGCATCTGGTCTGCCGAATTCGCCAGCCCTGATGCTCCTGCTGCGGCGTCATCAGAACACGGAAAAGATTGCAACGGCCACGACGACGGCGACGCTCCACGCGATGGTGTTTCCAACTCGTTTTCCCTGTTTGTCGCGCTCGCCGTACTGGAGAGCCACCGCGACTCGATCATGCGCTACCTCGACCATTTCGACGAGATGTTGCAGTACATGAACGGCCTCTCTGGGCATATCGACGTCGAATCCACCATCGCGCGGGCCGAGGTGCTGGCACTTGCGCTCCGCGTGTTGTTTGAGCAAAAAGATCAGGCCAAGGCAAGCGAGGGCTCTGCAGAGGATGCTGCACATGGCCCAACAGCCATTCATGCGCGCCTGACGGATGACAAGGAGGATTTGCGCGCTCTGGTGTTCCGCACGTAACTGTAAGAATGTATATTATCATGCCGTACAAAAATCTGGGTTGACATGCATCTTGTAGCATAATCCTCATCAAGCATAAATTAGCCTTCGGCTCCCCTCCATCCTCGTCTTCACCAGTCTGTCCTTTTCTCTTCGGGATCTTCACTTTTAATGACTGCGTCCCTCATCTCCTCCTCGTTTGCCAGCAGCACCCCAGCGCCGTCGGGACCGCCGTCGATCTCGAGCTTAACTTTGACCTCTGCCTCGGCTGTTTCCTTCGTACTCGCGCCTTCCTCGCCGTCGCTTTCCTGGAGCAAATGCACCTGTACCCTATTGACCACCGAGTTTGGGTCGACTTTGCGCCGCGAAGGGCACAGGTTTGCCTTCGCCAAATCGCATAGGTCACAGCGAGGACCGACGGGCACGCAGATCACCTGTCCGAACCCGACAAGCACCTTGTTGATCGTCGAGTGCATCTCCTTCGGCAGGAAGCTCTGTAGGCGCAGGCGCGTGTCTTCCGGTTCTGTCGTCTTGCACCACCCAAGTCGATTGCTCATGCGGTGCACGTGCACGTCAACGCCGATCCTGCTCGATACGAACATGCGCGGAGTCAGCTGCGCGCCAGAAGGCTGACAGCAGCTCTTTTTTGAAATTGGACTCACCCTGCGTTGTGCCCCATCGACTGCAGCATGAGGAAGCCCATTTTCGGACCGACGCCAGGTATGCTGCAGAGGTCATTGATATCACCGGGCACATCCCCGCCGAAATCTTCGGAAATGATGCGTGCAGCAGACTTGATGTAACCCGTCTTGCGGCGCCAAAAGCCTACCTTGCTGATACACGATTGAATCTCCTCGTCCGTCGCCATCAGCATGGACTGTAGACACAGTCCATTGGGGAGCCTCGTCTGCATATTCTTGACCGCCTCTGCTGTGACAGGGTCCTTGGTCTGCGAGCTGAGCATGAGGCTGATCAACGTCGTGAACCGTTCCCTCTTGGCCTTGGCGTCATCATCCTCGTCGCGCCAGCCAGCATCCGCTCGGAACTCTTCTTTGCCATTCTCTTCGCAGCCCATGGTGTCAACCGGGGCGATGATGCGCTTGCGCTGCTTGATCAGCACGTCGTATGCTTCCCGCCAGCGCCTCGGTGCGGCTTTGATCTCGTGCGGCTCCAGCTCAACCTTGACCGTCTTATGTTTCTTGCGGGGAGAGGCCTCGAAGAACTTTGCTTGTTTGCCTTTGCCTTGTTGATTGTCGATTGTAGTGTGATCATTGCTCTCAACAACAGTCTCTGCGTTTTCGACTTTGGAGTCAGTATGATCACTGACTGCTGAGCTTGCCAAAATTTCGGTACGAGAACGTGTACTTCGGCGGAGTGGAGTGGTTGGCAAAGCTGAATCGCTGCCGGCAGAGGTAGAGGCTACACCAGATGCTGCAGCCATCACACGTAATGACTTCCGCGTGCTCACTTGGAGCGAAGGATAGCGTGATGCTTCATTCATGGTAGCCGCCGGGCCGCTGGGCTCGAAGAGCTTGCGCTTTTTATTCTTGACATTCTTCTCGTCCCAATCTGCCGACAGAAAGACGAACAGCTCGCCGGATATCAGTCCCTTGCATGAGATGCTTTGATTGCGGCAGGGAACTGCTGGGGCACGCTGGCAGCACTGAACACAAGAGACAGACATCCCATTCACGCGGCCAGTCTGCCTTTACATGCTCGCCTCTACCGATCACTAGAAGTTGCGCTCCCCTTATATAGATTACTCACGCTTGATTGCTATCCTCCGCTCGTAAGCGCTCCACCCTGCCTCTCTATATCTCTTTGCTTCTGCCTCGACTTTGGCCAGAGCAGATGCCGGATCTGCCTCTGCGCTGGCCTCAAGTAGAGCGCCGTAGATCCCCCGGCCGACGATGATCATATCACAGCCGCTCTCCTCAATAACCTGAGCCGGCGTGCGGTACTGCTGCCCCATCGCATCGCCAGACGAGCTGAGGTTCACGCCGGGTGTGAGAATCAAGAAGTCTTTCCGCTTGCCCGGGGTAATCCTGAGATCCGCATAGAAGGATTCATCGAAGCGATTCATGGCGATAAAGCCGATGATGAAGTTGTCTTCGTCTTCGACAGCAGCGCGCATGTTAGCGTCTCGGTACTCTGGGGTGCAGAGATTTCCCTTGCTGCTCATTTCCGCCAGCAACAGACAGCCGCGGCCGAGCTCTTTCCCAACCTTGGCTAAGCCCTTGATGATGCCGGGTCCAGGGACGAGGTGGGCATTAGTCAAGTGTGCCCATGAAGCAATCTTGTGCACACCGGACGAGTACTGTAAGGAGACCGTGTTGCCGATATCTGCGAATTTCCTGTCCTCAAAAATAACAAGGTCGAGCTCCTCTGCGAGGCTTTGCAACGTGGACACGAAGGCTGGCGAGAAATCGGAGAGGATGTCGACGTGCGTCTTGTCACAGGGGCGATTGCGGTGAGCGTCAGTTTTCTTGCAAGCTAGACAAGCAACACGAGCAGACGCCTCGCACCTTGACCATACAGACGTCATTGCCAACGGCTTTGACCACCGCAATGAGCTCTTTGCAGGTCGTGACGTCTACACTGACGCAAAGGTTCGTCTTCTTCCTTTCCATCGTTTCCAGGATCCGCTTCGCAGTGGGATTGGAGAAGTTCGTAGCACGTGACCCATACGTCTGCGTGGCCACAGAGGCGACTTTCCCTGCGTTTGAAGATGTAGCAAGCGACATGTTGGTGAATGTCTTGGGAGTATTGATAGGGATCGAGGGGCAGTTGAAGGACGATGATGTCTTAAAGTGTTTGTAATCCGAAGGAGACGTAGACAATGATAATCGGCGCCAGCCACTGAAAAAGCGGATTTCACTCTGTGTTGGGCAACGACCTTGTTGCACAAGATGCGGCAATCGTGCGGGGCCTGTTGCCTTGGTCACACCTCGAACAAGCGACTGGAGCCTCAAGCTGGCCAGATTGACTTGATCTCGGGGCAACAGTTTGCGACGGGAGTAGTTGGCGATCGGCGTACGAAAGGCTAGCGATGCTTGGCCAGGTTTGAAGGGGGCGAATGTAGCGCACACTAGGAGACCGTCAGAGTCACTCTCAGCCTGCAAAAGCTGGAAAGCCAGGATTCTGATGAGAGTGTTGAAGAAGCCGAGTGAAACGGTGAATTAGGGCTGAAGGCCTGTGGGTTCGAAAAAATGTATCGCAGATCGCGATTAGGCACAGATCGACTCTAACTATTCGACTGTGGACTCTCTTTGGACTCTTCATCATCTTGTGAGCTGTGCGCTGCCGCGAAGCTGACGCAAATACCTTGTAGCAACATAGGGTTGCTACAAATCATGCTGGAGGCATAATGCATCATTCCTTCGAGTTCCGAACCTTCAAACAACCTGACGAGGCCCTTAGGCAGGTCGCACGCGGCAATCAAATGTTTTGCATGGATGCCGCTGCGGGTATCTGGCGGTTTTTACTGCTATACACCGAGATCGTTCGCACACAGATTCGCTAAACTATGGTGCCCACCACCTCGGTTGTGGTAATGCTGTGGCGACCGCGCAGTCGGGCTGCGACGGCGGCGACTGGTTCTAAGATGCTTGTTATTGGATTTGACGTGCCACCACCCCGTGCTGCTCTGTTGCTGGGCCCTTATGGCTTTCGCCAAGCGCAAAGTTTCCAAGGATCTCTTGACAGCAGAGGCTGGGAGCTGGCTACTATTGAGGATGACACAGTGCCCCGTCTGGAACTGCGTGAGCTTGCGCGCAGTCGAGTATGTAGATCATGTGTATATCGCTTGTTCTTGGAAAACGTCTCGTGCTCACACTTTCCACTCGTTTGCGTGATAGGGAAAGCTGGAGAATGCATGTGATGAAGCCGAGGGGAACCCCAAATACGTCTCCGCTTTCTCCCGGGTGCAGTGTGGTAAACAGGCCAGTGACAACGGTAGCGACGGCCATCCCATGTCAGCGTGCTTCATTCGGCAGTAGGTCCGTTGAAGTGCTTCCAACTACGATGGTCGATCTTGGTAAAGTCCTCGACGCTTGGATGTGCCAGCTGCAGACAATACTTGCCGATGGCGACCAGCTCACTGTCCATGTGTGGAGAGTTCTGACAACCGTGGTTCGAAAGAAGATTTGTGTGTCAGTAGAGTGTTTGGTGAGCTTGATGCCAGTTTGCACATGAACGCACTTTGTAAGCTGCCGTGTGTGAGGAAGCAAGAATCCACTTCGATATGAGCTCGAATCTAAGAGTTGAAGGGAGGATGAGGACTTACGCTTGATCTTGAGTCCGTTCCCTGGATCTGTATGACAACAGGAAGGCACGTAAGGGATAAACGTTTGAAAAGAGGGATATAGACATGCACTCACTCATGGCAAAATTCTTGCTCAGATCATCAATGTGGAGCGTATTCTTGGGGCTATATTGCTCGGGCCCGAATCTTCGCCAAATGAGCTCAAGCGGCTTGACGTGGTGCTTCTTTCCTTTGGTCTCCACGCTCGGCATAGTCGTCTTGTCTAACACCCAGCTCAGCTTGTCTTTTGCACTCGAGGAGCGTTGAGGATCAGGACTCGAGAAGAAGCATCTTCCTGGTTCATGAAAAGCGTGAGGCGTCACTCACATCTTGGATCTGAAAGCATATGCAGTTCCGTGAGCTTGGCATCGACCCACCGCCATGAAGTCTGTGACCAGCAGACGAGATCATAATAAGGATAGACGGTGGCGAGAAACTATCCCCAAAGTAAATCAATTTAAAGTCCATTTGAGAAATGCGACGAAAATACTCACATCGTGCATACCCGGTCTCGCGCTCTCCATAGCAGGTCCTGGCGAGTGAAGCAGCCGGTCGGTGTCGACCAAAGTATAGTCGAGGTCGAGGACGAGCAATTTCTTGCCGGGTCGGGGCGGTGTTATTAGAGGGAAGTCTGAGAAGCGTTTGATGATCATTTCTACTTTCGCGATGTATTTCGGATTGCGATGCGGAAGAAGCTGTTCGTCCACTGCTTTGGGATCTAGGTCTGCTGCCTCGCCTTGAATTAAATCCTAAAAGAAACCGAAATGTGTCAAGGTTAATGGACTCCCAATCAAATGCCCGGCTGCGCATATGTTCACCTCGAGCGCTTCGTCTGCCTTTCCAATGTCCTTGAACGTGAGGGCTTTTGGTGTTCCCACAAGGATCATGGACACCTCCTTGAGGCCCTCTGCGGTCTTGCCCTTCACGCTCGAAGGTGGAAAGGCGAGCTGACCAATTAAAGTGTCGTCAGAAGGCAGCTTACCCTTTGTGAGGCCAATGAGCTTCTGCCGCTCGGCGGGCACGTCCGTCAAGGAAAACAGAATAGCTTTCAGGTCTGAGACTTCGTCCAACGTCGTAAGTCGAACTGAGTGGACTGTCTGAGCGTACTTGCACTTAAAAGCGATCGTAGTGCCCTCGTCCACAGGCCCCGCTGCTGCGCTTCCGTTGACAGCCTGATCATGTGCACTTGCCTGGCTTGGTGCGGACATCCTGGCGATGTTGTGACGGTATATTGTTGTGGAGATAGTGTCGTAGGAGCAGGTCTTGAAATGCAACAAAGCGGCCACAACTGTCGTTGAGCTACTCAGCTCGGTGCGTGATCGGCACCGCTATTACAATTTTCGGCAGGTGAGAACCACGAGGCTGACTACCCCAGCTCGCGTCCAGCCCATAGGTCGAGTCGAGTTGTTGGACGATTGCAAGTCAGTGTAAGGTCAACGTAAGATGTATGCGGGGCGAGGAGGACGTGGTGCTCACGGATGTGCGCCGGCGCGTAACGCACGCGAGATACTAGAGAACAACACGAGCAACACCTCGGGTTTCGGAGCCCCTTGGCCTACTAGATTGGGTGGTCCGATCATTCAGCTTATAGAGCTTTTGTTTGGGAAAATCAGGATCTTGTCCCCCGGATCCCGTTCTCATCAATATTCCCGGTCCCACTGTGGGAAACCCTGCGAGTTTCCTCGGGCCCTCGCAGGATCCCGACAAAAGTCCCTTTAAGCCCATTCAAAGCGATACGGTAGTCCAAATACAGAGTTGAATTAGGCCGAGGAGCCAGAACGAAAGCATTACTATGCTTTGGAAAATCCCCTATGAGGATGAGCTTGAGGCTAAATGGGGGTCCGCTTGATGAGTGCCAGCCTTTGCCTGCGCCGCTATGTGATATATGGCTATACCTTTCGGTTGTTCGGCACTGCCTAGACTCCCTGGAGGGGGGCCGTGGCCGAGCCTGCCTCAATCCCCGCAATACAGATCTTGGTCAAGCTTCAGAGCAGGCTGCAGCTAGTTGCTCCAAGGACACGAACCAGGATGATAGGGCAGGTTTTCAGGACTGACGTAATCAGAAAGAATCCTATTCTGAAAGTAAAAAGTGATAGAGTTCAATTGCTGTTCAATCCACAGCTTTAGTTGTCCTTCCCTTGCCTTTGCATCCGCTCGTGATGTTCTACACGCCCATCCGCCCCCTCCCGCTGGATTGTTTCGATTTGGGGAAACGCTCTCGTGCGCAAAACACTTGGAGGTGGAACGGCCTCAGAGATGGAAGGTTACATGTGTGGGTATGTACAGAGGGGTTTTCCATCGCGTGACAAAGACGACTCGGCGACGGGCAAACTTAGGGGAATATCCCATAGCATGACGTAGATGACTTAGCCAAAGGTTGTGACAGATGCTCTGTATATGTATTTGGATTGCTAGACGCGCAGCTCCTCCATCATGGCAAAATGAAAGTTTCCGCAAGTGCGCCCGGCTCTTCGCTTGGGACAGCCATTCTCAACCGTCAGGGCCCAGAACTACCATGCAAACAAGAGTCCCTTTACCTTCCCGCACGCTTGGTTGAACCAGGATTTAACCTGTTCAACCATGGCGAAAGTAGGCGCCTGATGTATCGGATTGAAATAAGTCAAGGTTCTTCATTGACCCCGATGCCTAAACGCGTCCAGTGACCCCGCCGAAAGTCAGATGCATTGACATCAAAGCAGCGTACGCGTTTGCCCAAAAAGGGTTGCTTCTGCACTCCAAACAGAGTCAGCGAAGACCAAAAGCATGACCATGGCGGCAAAAGGAATGTGATTTAAGGGATCTCATTGCGAGTACGGGCAGGAAGTCATTATGGCCATCGCCCCCGTTGTGCCTTCGGATCCTCAGATGTGAGTTGTGCTTTTTCTTCTTTGCAACTCGGCCCCAAAATGATCACGCCTTCGCGAGGCCACGCTCCACGCCCGCATAGAGGCATGAGTTCTCATATTCGGATGGAACGTCTGGGATGATGATGCGACAGATGACCTCGTCGAGCCCAGTAGTTCAAGCGCTTGTTCCTATGCTCCAGATCTTGCGTCCCATGTGAACGTCTCATTCCATCTTGCACGGACTTGACCGGGCGTGAGGGCAAGCGCAGTGTTATGTCACAAGCTGGTGATATGCTGTGAGGTTGCTTTGTGAAGGTGTGAGAGTAGAAGCTGCGCGTTACTCGCGCTAAGCCGCACTCCTTTGGGCTACTTGGGTGGTACTATCACATTTGCTTGTAGCCGACTCCGCCTAGGGTTCTCTTGAGCTCTTCGTCTTCGTCTCTTCCGTGGTCTCAGGCTGCCTCCGGAGCCTCACGATCTACACCGCGACAACAGGCTATGCGATGTTCGTGTACGATGTGGGCGGGAAAGGGAGTTAGCACTGAAGCGGAGAAGAGATAATACCGTAGCGGAGCAGAAGTTGGGCGAGATCGATGCTGGTGTCGACGCCGCAACAGATGCGTCATTCCTGACCATTGCGATTCGCTGTGATGGATATTGTCCTCGGTTTCTGCATGTGTCGTCAGAATATACGATTGTATGCGCCGCCTTCGTTGAGCGTTGCAGTATTTCTTCGTCGGTGGCTGGATTTGCGCCAAGCTGGGGTATTTCCATTCTCATCACGCTCAATCTCGTGTAACCGGCGTTTGTGTGCAAGCCTCCCGAATTCCGCGGCGCTGTTCGAGGCATATCGCCCTTCCATGCTCCAACGTTGTACAGAAGGAAAGTTGTGGGTTCAGGAGTCGCAAAGGGAGCAGCCATTGCCGATCTCCCCTTCTTTGCAATAGCGCGATCTTCCTCGTCTTCGGCTTACAGCCGTCTTAATCCTTCCTGTTGTGCTTCTATGCGGCCGTTTGTCGTTGGCAAAGTCGCTACACCCAACCGTTTGCTTTGGGCCTGGCTGCACATTGATTGGACAGCCTTCACCAGTGAAAGCTGTCGCGTATTCTTCAGGTTCAAAGTTCTTGATAAATGAAAGCAGCTTGTTTTCAGACAACTGCGACAGTTGAGCAATGGTTACTGCCTAGGGTTCGCTCGAGGCCATGTCAACTTTCGCAACGAGACCCTCACGGACAGTAGGACCGTCCAGCTCCCCTAGAGAGTGAATTTGCTCGATTGAATGAAGGAATTGCAGTTTCGAAATAGGCGTTTCCTGCCGGTCGAACTGGAGCTGCACTCGGTGTAGGCAAGAGGAATCCGAAGTTAGCCAACATCAGACACGTTTTGTCGGAAGACGGCAGAGGATCTGAAAGCAGCATCGACTGTTTCAAGTAAAGAGACGGGCACACTTGCGAATTTTTTTATTCTTGCCTTGATGAAGGAACTGCGCTTTCAGAGATCATAAAAGCAAGGTGAGCCACGCTGGTCCATCCTTGAGGAGAAATGCATTAATTGAATGAAGCTCAAATTCTTGCTATAGCTCAATGCACCTGATTCCAAATGGACGACTCTGTAGTGGTTGATCAACAAAACCTATGATTCCGTTCCACGGCGTCGACGAGCACCCACGCCCCAAAGAAGTGTTAATGTCAGGCCATAGAACCCTATTGAAAGCAGGAACTTGGCAAACATGCGGCTTTGGGATCAACGAAGAGGGCGAATAGTCAATAGGACTCGCGTAGGTGCCAGATTGTCCGAGAAAGATCTTTCCAACCCATCCAAATCACAAGTGTATATGAAAGGCATGTCGTAGAGTGCCAAGGTCAAATAAGCGATGTGCACCTTGTACAAAGTGAAGACAAGGAAGTTAAAAGAAGTTGGAGTGAAGCCAAAAGAGCAAAAGTTGATGGAGCCCACTTCTGAGTCGCGACGAGCTCCAGCGGAACGGTGCATTGAAGCCTTCGGCAAAGTACCATCCGAGTCGCACCACGCAAATCTACAGTTGTGTAAACAGCCTGCGAGAGAATGGAACCGTGGTACCCTAACTTGAAAGGGTTGCTCACATAAGCAATGCTTGTGTTTACACATTTCGAACCTGCCAGTTTGCAAAAGTGTTGCTCTCTCTAGGCCGTACAGTTGGGGGGCGAGAGGCCTGCGCGCGTCCCTCTCGATCTGTAACTGACTGCGTGACAATCTCACACCGTGTTTGTCTATCTGTTTGCTGATCTCGCCTGCAACCCATTTGATGTCTGTGCTGTTTGAGAACCCGGTGGGCAGCTGCTCGTCAGAGATAAAGGTATCAGACAGCGCTGGGGCGCGTCGAGCATATCGACTAGCGAGCGCGCAGTCACCCGTAGCAAAGTGCCAAAGCGGCCGGTGCGGTGGATTGGTGGTGCACGTATTCAAGAGTCACCCGATCCGCTCCCTGCCCCTATAGGCAGCTCCGTGCACGCACTCCTTGGCAGCGCGCAAGTCGAGAGAGTGTGTACTCTCTTGTCTTGTGAACCTGCTCAGGCTCCTGTGCGTACAGGTCGCTGTGTGCCGGACAACTAGACGCTATAGGACAACAGCATCTACTTCCTCTCGCCCAGCCTCAACCTCGGCCCTGAACCAGGCTAGACATTCACAATGTCCGGCAACGTCAAGGTCGTTGCGCGTTTCCGCCCTCCCAACAGCCTCGAGTTGCGGGAGGGCGGCGAGATCATCGTCGAGTTCCTTCCCGCCGAGACGCAGGGAGGCGAAGAAGCTGTTAAGATCCCAAGCGCTACCAACGCGGGCGCAGATGCGGTCAATGGCTTCACATTCGATCGCGTCTTTCCGATGGACACCAAGCAGCGAGATGTGTTCGAGTATGGTATCAAAGAGACTGTCAATGGTGCGCCTTTGCAATGTTCCTCAGAAGGAAACTCTCCCATGTTCAGAGCAGGCTGATTGTTGATTGCCTCGCAGACGTTATCAATGGATACAACGGAACGATTTTTGCATATGGCCAGACTGGATCCGGAAAGACATTTACAATGATGGTGCGTTGAGCAGTAGTATTCCTGTGTCAGCTTGATTTGCCAGACTAACACGTCTTCCTGCCACGCTGCTCCCCAGGGCTCGGATATCGATGATGAACATAACAAGGGTATCATTCCGCGAATCACGGAGCAAATCTTTGAGAGCATCATGAGCAGCCCCGCCAACCTGGAGTATCTGGTCAAGGTCAGCTACATGGAGATCTACATGGAGAAGATTCGTGATTTGCTGCAGCGTGAGTCCAATGGCGCGGCCGACATGCCTTTTGCACATGACAGCAGGATTTGACGTATATCCTCTTGTGGGATGCAGCACAAAATGACAACCTACAAATCCATGAAGACAAGGCTCGAGGCGTATACGTCAAAGGATTGACCGACTTTTACGTCGGCTCGACCTCCGACGTGTATGAGATCATGCGGCAAGGTGGTCTCGCACGCGCCGTCTCTTCGACCAACATGAACGCCGAGTCATCGCGCTCCCACTCGATCTTCCTAATTTCAATTCAGCAACGCAACACAGAGACAGGGAGCATCAAGACAGGTAATCTATACCTCGTCGACTTGGCTGGTAGCGAGAAGGTCGGCAAGACCGGCGCGAGCGGCCAGACGCTCGAGGAGGCCAAGAAGATCAACAAGTCTCTCAGTGCCCTAGGTATGGTCATCAACGCGCTGACGGACGGCAAATCAACGCACATCCCGTATCGAGATTCGCGGCTCACGCGCATCCTGCAGGAGTCACTCGGTGGTAACTCTCGAACGACGCTGATCATCAACTGCTCACCCTGCTCGTACAACCTGGACGAGACCATTTCAACGCTGCGCTTCGGTGTGCGTGCCAAATCAATTAAGAACAAGGCCCGTGTCAATGCCGAGCTTAGCCCCGCGGAGCTCAAGGCGCTGCTCAAGAAGATCAAGGCCGAGGCAGATCGCTACCAGAGCTACATTCAGGCGCTAGAGTCGGAGCTCAAAATGTGGCGTAGTGGCAGCAAGGTGCCAGAGGCGGCATGGGCGGAATTGGCCAAAGCCATTCCGTGCGTGGGCAGCGCCTCGCTCGACGTACCGCCCGTCTCATTGCCTGCCGCGGCTGCACCGGCAGTAGCAGCACCTGTGAGCACAGCGCAGCGATTATCGGCCAATCTCAGCAATGGCACGCGGCCGCAGAGCCCAGCGGTTGAGGTCCTGACGAAGGAGCTCAGCTCGCGGCCCGAGACGCCGACGGCACTGTCGATTGACAAGGACGAGCGCGAGGAGTTCCTGCGGCGCGAGAACGAGCTAGCCGACCAGATCTCCGAGAAGGAGAACGCGCTCAAGGAGGCAGAGCGCGGGCTGCGCGAGACGACGGCGGAGCTGACGCTCCTGCGCGAGAGCCAGGGATTGCTCGAGAGCGAGAACAAGAGCATGACCGCGGAGATGAACGAGATCAAGCTGCAGCTCGAGCGCGTCACCTACGAGCACAAGGAGGCAAGCATTACCATGGACATTCTCAAGGAGCAGAATGCGGACATGGCTAACGAGCTCGAGGAGCTGCGGAAGAGCTTCAATGAGACGGCCAACAAAGTTGGTAACAGCGGAAGCGGCAGCGTCGCTGGTGCCGCAAGCAAGGATGCGGCGGCTCAAGATGGGAAGAAGGAGCGCAAGAAGGCGGAGAAGATGGCCAAGATGATGGCCGATTTCAACGCCGGGATCGTCAGCGAAAAGGAGGAGCAGATCCGCGATACTCTCGCCAAGCTCGAGGACTACGGCGCTGGTGGCGCTGGCGGCGAGCTGTCCAAGGACGACATCTCGATGCTGCGCGAGCAGCTGCTCGAGAGCCAGACGCTTGTGCGCGAGCAGCAGGGGCAGGTGCGGCAGTCACAGGAGGAGGCGGAGATCCTCATCCAGCGACGTGACGAGGTGGAAGCGCGCCTGGCGCAGCTCGAAACCGACTACGAGGAGCTGCTCGTCAAAACTATCCGCGAGGAAGAGTCCCGCAGCGGCGCAGCGGGGCTCAAGGACAGGCTCGAGGCGCAGTACGCCAGCAAGCGTGAGGCGCAGCTCGGCGAGATCGCCGACCTCAAGCGCCAGGTCGAGCTCAAGGTCAAAGAGGTCGCGACGCTGCAGGCAACCAACGAGAGCTTGCGTGGCGCTAATGACGAGCTCAAGCGCGCTTTCGTCATTACTGCTGCCGGCGTCGAGGGCGGCAAGAATCTGGCGGAGAGTGCGAGGGAAATGGAACGTGTACGCAAGACCATGACCAGTCAGCTGGCCGAGTTTGACAACATGAAGAAGAGCCTCATGCGCGACTTGCAGAACCGATGCGAGAAGGTCAGTCTGAATGAGGGGAAGCAGCGGGTCGCATTTGCATGCTGTGCACTCTGCTGACGTCCTTGCTTTTCATGAAACCCAGGTCGTGGAGCTAGAGATCTCACTGGATGAATCGAAAGAGCAGTACAACAACGTTGTGCGCAGCAGCAACACCAAGGCGCAGCAGAAGAAGATGGCGTTCCTTGAGCGCAACCTGGAGCAGCTGACGCATGTGCAAAAGCAGCTGGTCGAGCAGAACTCAACGCTGAAGAAGGAGGTCGCAATCGCGGAGCGCAAGCTGATCGCGCGCAACGAGCGCATCCAGGCGCTCGAGCTCAACCTGTCTGACAGTCAGACCAAGCTGGACATCCAGAACAAGAAGTTCGAGGAGCAGATCCAAGCGGTCCGTGAGAAGCTCAACCAGGCCAAGGAGAGCAGGGCCATGCCGGGCATCGGCGGCAACCCCGCGTTCGGCAGGATCGCAAAGCCGCTCAGAGGAGGCGGGCCCGCCGCTGCCGCCCCGCCGACGATTTCGGGGCAAGGACCCGTGGGCGGCGTCGCGCGTGCACCGACTGCTGCAGGCAGCGCCCAGCAAGAGTGAGTGGCCAGGCTAGGCTAAGCATGTGTGTATGTGCCATCCGATGCTGATTGGCTGTTTCCTTTGCTTTGTGTTCTGCTTTTTTTTTAGCGCGAACTCGGCCAAGAGCCGCGCGAACTGGTTCTTCTCGTCCTCCAAGCAGCTCTGAGAAGCATCGCCGCAGTCGAGATGTTTCCCTTGCTCATACCCCTTCCCTTTTGTATCGTAACGTCCCGTACCTACTAGAATGTCTTTGCGAGTCAACGTGTTCGCTCCCGGCCATAAGCGGACAGTTGGTGTCATAATGCACTTGGTCCGTCATTGGATGGATGGATGAGTAACCTGCCAATCTATGACAAATATACGCCGACAGCGAGAGAATACCCAGAAATTACGCGTGCTAGACGAGGATAGCTCGATTTCAGGGAATTCTCAGTGAGGAAGCCCCGGAACCAGCTCTGCCCGCTTGCGCCCCGGTGTTGGATCGATCTAATAATCCCGACGCTGGAGAGCTTTTGCGTTGTTGTTAGCGTGGGTGACGCCTGTGGGGGATCAAGTCATCTCGGCCATCTGCCCAGTATACATACATGCAGTCCCTTCTTCCTAACAGGAATACAACACTACGCAGTCAAGCCCACGCAAGTGGCAATTCAGTGTCGCGGCTTTTGCAGGAATGGCAAGGAGCGCTGCGCGCTGGTGGGGGATGACAGGCACAACGAATCTAAGCTCTGCGCAGCGGGTAGCGAGGCGGTAAAGTGTCACACAGTGCATATCTATCACTATCAGTCATCCAGGAGACTGGAGCTGGGTGACACTGCGCAGTGGCCACGATTGTCTGTAGCCGCCAAGATGTGAACCACATGGTCAAACAACAGAGAGCATGTCGTCCGACCGTCCGACGACCATCCAAACACGAGGTCGTCCTCAGGCGCCACGGGGGCGCTCAACGAGGGTGCATATATATTCTCAAGACATCAATCCCATCGGATTGTCCTTCAATCTCTACCGTTTCCATAAATCGACATCGGCATCTGCATCGGCATCTGACACCACATCCTCTTGCAGCCCGCAGCCCTCCGCCACAAAAGCAGTTGTAACCAATATACCGTGATCTACTCCTTTCGGCCGGCATCCTTTCTTGTGATCTCTTCTTTAATATTGGCACCACTAACATCATTGGCCAACATTATTGGTAGCAGTGCTGTCTTCCGCCATGCAGACACTTGCCGCTTGCCGCTCTCGTCGCTTCGAGTGCAAAGGAGCCGTCTGCGCGTGAGTATGAGTTCTGTGCCTGGTGCGTTGGCACGAATCGCGACACAACACCGCAAACACTCTCCCTGACTCCTCATTTGATGTGTTTCCCCGGCAGCACTTTATAGCTTTCCTGGGCTCGACCTAATAGAGCGGATGGATTCTTGACCAGATCAAGCTGCAGGAGTTTGTGCGCGTGGCAATTTCAACGGCTTGACCGCGGTAAAATAGCAACCCGCTGATTCTGTTCGTCCTGGGGCGTCACACGATAGACCCTATCTTCAAATATGGCACCTGGATCGGTGGCAAAGTGACCTACTCGGACCCCCTTTTCAGTACATCACACATACTTCTATCACCCAAGAATCATGCTGAAAACAGCCCCGTTGACCTCTTACAGTTGGCACTGGTCTACCACTCCGATGCCTCCATTCGTGGCGATGCCGTCTTTTGGCAACCAGGACCTCCTTGACTCGAGCAACACGGACATCGATTATACCCTCGAACACCAAGCTGCTGACGGCTCATTCGGCTCTCGCCCCCAGTCTCAATTAACCTTATGGCTGTATCTGCTCGGTGCGATCAACTACGCCGAGCTGTACCACGGTGATGCTATCATCGGTAGTCCGGTCATGGACTCTGTTTACAAGTGGGTTAACTGAGCGCACAACAAGCTCAATGGCACCGACTTTAACGAGAGCAACGGGGGAAACGTCGATATTGAGACCTGACGATTCTCTTACGGACTCCTCACGCCCCGCCAACCAATCAGCGGCAGGACGATTGACCATCATTGCATATACTTTTAAACTTATTTTGTCTGGAGGGGCGCTGTCCGTACAGATGAGAACTAGTACATTATGCAGAACCTCTACGAGAACTAGCTTTGAGACTCTGCCTCTCAAAGCCAGCTTATCGCAAACACGAACCGAAATCAAGGAGGTCGGAGACCTCACTTACAGCGAGGTTTCGCCGTGGGACGGTGAGGTGTCTTCGCTGTGATGAATTTTCGTAGTGATTTTTATCGCTGACTGACACATAACCTTCCATCCTGCTCATACTTCTCCACAGATGCCAACTTCCTGAGGGTAGAAATGGCGTCATCTCGCAGAGGAACACGGCGTGAGCTTGACGATGGTGCTCAAGTTGCTGCCATCAACTGGTGCTTGACCAACTCGTAGACTGATCTCGACAGCCATGCTGCGCTGTGGAACCTTACGTACACCCATTACGCCAGCCACTTCCAGGCGGATGAGCATCTCGCCTGAACGAACCCGTGGAGGGTGGTAAAAATGTACATGGCTGTGAGTACGACTTTTTCTTGCTCTGTCATTGTGCTGGGCCACACTGACTCACAGAAGCATCTGCCATCCTCGAGCAGGGACATGTTTTCCAACCCCGTCTTCTACCACAATCACTGGCGCAACGAGGAGGCAGACTGTGCGAAGTGCCTCGCGCGCAACTCGTTTGCTGGCCCCGCCACTGGTGACTTCTGGCACCACCGGTACCTGCAGCAGACCGTACAAGTGTACGCCGGCAACATAGCCGAAACCCCCGTGCGCGAGCGATAGTGCTTACTCGAACGTCCACGGCCTCGCGCGTAACTGCCCGTGCTGCACTCTCAATCACAGACAGGGATACTCCAAATTCATCGTCACCTCGTGGGCAACGACCTGGGGTCAACAGGTTGTCATTCGAATGTTTCTCAACCCTTCGCACGTCACGACACGGTCAACGGTGGCACAGTCGACGTCTTCGTGGACCCCATCTATCCGTTTGAATCGGACCTCGGGTACACCGTCACCGCGAAGACGACGTTCAAGCTGCACTTGCGCATCCCTGGCTGACTTCTGGCACAACATACTCGATCAACGGCGCGGCGTCCAAGCAAGTCGCGCCGGACAGCAACTTGTACGAGGACATCGTGCTGCTTTCTGGTCACTCAGAGCTCCGTCACAATCTCCCTTCCGCAAACTACGGTCGTCTCTGACGCGCCTAATGGCGGTACGTCCGCCCAGCGCGGTCCTCTCAAGGATGTTAGTTGTACCTTCTGAACTGTATGCGAGCATTTGTGCACCAACCTGGGCGATTGGCACATCTTCATTTGTACGTATACAGGTCATCGAAGCTTCTTGGAACTCGACGGTGACCTACGACTGGGCGCAATACGGTGAGGCGAAGGCCAAGGACCTGCAGTTGATGCCCACTACGGACAGGACCTTCGCGTTCGACCCTGCCAGTCTGAACTTCCATAACAGCAAGCCTGCGCGCGGCCAGCCGGCGAGCCCAGAGTTCGACTGGGGCAAGTCGGCGTACGCCTTCATCGCGACCGCGTGCCCCTTTTCTTGGAACACCGGAAAGGATCAGGAGGTCAACGAGACGCCGCCGAAGAGCGCGGCGGACACTGGCACCAGGCATGACATCACGCTCGTCCCGTATGCAGCTACCAAGCTGCGTGTCGACAAGCTCGCTATCTTGTCTTCTTGGCGAAATACATTGCTATAGCATACCCATCAGAAGTGTAAACGACAATGCTGAGAACGGCCGTGTTCCAAACCGTACACTTGACGCTTCTCTTCGAACATGAAAGGAACATACCAATCAGAAATGAATCGTCGTTATGTTTTGTAATATAAACACAAGATTCTGCCATTCATGTGACGAAGAAGGCCAGCTCGCAAATCTGCCCTGCGAAGGAACTGCTGATCCGACATGGATACATCTACGAAGCATCGCCGAAGACAACCCGGACGTTGCCACTATATGTGGATAGACACATAGGGTGACGTAGTTCGCAGCTGCACACATCGTCGACCGAGGAGAAGCGAAAATCCCTTAACCGGGTTGCCAAGCACCCATCAGTGGGACAAGCTGATGGAAACATTACCTTGCAAGTTCCCAGACTCCAGAGGGCTTGCGTCCATGCCAAGACACCTGACAGCCCGATGGTATGTTGCAAAACACCCCCGAAATGGGTGTCGATGTCAGCCAAAAAGTGGACTCTGGAGAGGATCAATGTCAAAAAGACCGTCACTCACTCGAGGTAGAAACACTGGCACAACGCCACAAGACTCCGGGAATATCTCTCATGCGAAATTTTTAAGAAGCATCCGATTGTGTTTGTGGAATTCGTCAATAAGCCCCTCGATATCTCACTTTTAATCACATCCCCTTTAAAGCTTTGGCCTGGATGCCAAGAGTTTGGCAACGAACTCCCTATAGGGCTATCAGGGTCCCTGCTGGTCGCACTGAGTGTCAAGACAGAGTCCGCCCTTGATGGCCTGCGTTCTTGGTCTGGGCTGCACTTATGCGGTATTAAGGCGGTTGGTGATGCGGCGATGTCAGCACTTTGCAGACGACCCGTACGGTGTCCTGTCAAGCGTCATCGCCTCCTTATTTTCATCAGGTAGAGCGCATCAGGCATCCCGCATCAGGTCGCATCGCCTCATGGACCTACCCATGTGTTGTCCTCAGTTCCTTTCTTCTACATACTCTTATTTATAGCGCTGCTCGGCTCCTATGGGCGGGCCGGTGGAGGCTGGTGAGCGCTGAAAGTCAACGATAAACTGAAAAGTGAACCGCGAATAGTGAATGGTGAAAGCGAATAGTGAATGTGTGAATAATACAAGTGAATATTGAATATTGACGAACATATAATGAATATGTATAGTGAATAGTACAGTGAGCACACAGCGAGTCATGAATGGTGTGCCTTTGGTGACTACGGCTTGGCCTTGTTCATTGCTGGCTTGCGTCTTTGAGTGCGGCGAGCTGCGTGGGTGTGTGAGGAGTACTGGTATTGTGCATGCTCTGACTTGCGGCTGTGGGCGGCCGAAGAGCGACCGAGCGGTACGGGTAAGTTCTGCCATCCCAGGCAGACGGGGCAGTATTCAGGCCACACCCCGCATCCATACCACTCCACGGTACTGCCTAGAGTGCCCATGGCCCTGCATCCGCCTCATCAGTGTCTAGGACGAGTCTGGATAGGTCCAGAAGCGGGCACCCACTAGGCAGTGGGCAGTCTGTCCACTGCCACTCTCCGTTACCCCTGACCCAGCAGATCCCAGTTGCTGTCCCAGCACAGACAGCTGGATGATCCGGGGGCTTTGTATTCGTCCGAGATAGCCGGTGCCCGTGAAGGACAAAGGTGCGAGATGGGGTTCCGGGTTCCGACTCCCGACTTCCAAGCATCGTGCATTGGTTCCGCGTACATATGTACCGTATAACTCTCTTGCACATCTAGAGCACCACATGTGAGTATCACATATACAGACTTGTCTCTCGCACGCGCCAGATGCACGACGCCAAACGCTTGAATGCTTCAAGTCCTGCCATGTCTGCTTCAGCATGCTCACAAGCTGTAGCGTGCATCGCGTATCGGAGGCACTGAACCTGCGAATAGGAGAGAAAGGGAACGAACGTGTCCAGCATCGAGGGCGACATTGAGGTCGGCAAGTCATCCTGCATTCGGCGGACAAAGCATGCTCCATCCTAGTTGCCTGTAGCGCAGGGAGTTGCTGCCGTCGTCCGCATTCACCGTTCACCTGTAGACGGCTTCATCCAATATAATAGGCGCTGGATGCTTCTATCGGAACAGGGCGAAGAACGGAGGAACGAGAATCTCCCAACACCCCGACTCATCTGTAGCCCCTGTCGCAGTGCTCGCACACCATGTCTCCGCAACCGCCAGCACATTTACCACTCGCTTTATCTCTGCAGCCCACCGGCGCAGATGATGTCAAGGCTACAGAGCTTCACAGCTCCCTTAGACAACGACGCAACAGCGCGGGGCCATCCGCGTGCGACTCTTGTGAGTGTGGCATCGAGCAGAAGCGCGAGGCTGGGCACTGCCGTCCGACAAGGGTTATCGCATGTTGAACACTGCTGAACTGTCATATCCGCCTCTTTCTCTTCTTGCCCCTTGCGTCGACTCATTCCCACCTGACAGGCCGCACGTCCAAGAGTAAATGCGACAAACGAGACCCATGCGCACGATGCGTGCAAGCCAAGCGGGAGTGCAAACGGACGCACGTCCTGCTGCGAACGGGCCGCGTCAGCCGAGCGGAGCGCATGACGTTCGAGCTGTCCGGGTTGTCCTTCAAGACATGGCGCCATCGATTAGCTGAGCAGCGCAGGCAGTACGGACATGAGATGCGTCTCACCACGCGCGCCCTCGCTAACGGCAGTGGCACATCGCAAATCTTCAATCCTGCCAACATGGCGGAGATGGGTACGGATGATGGCAGCACTGTGCGGAGCCGTAGCAGTAGCATATCAGCTACCAGCACCGTCAGCGTCACACCTGCGGCCCTTGCTGGCCCGAGTAGGCCAAATTCCTCGACGTGGGATTTCAGTGACCACTCTTTATCGAATCCATCGGTGACCATCACCACTGAAGCGGTCAGCGACGATATCGACTTTGGCTTTGGTGCCGGATTCGGACTTTTACCTGCCTGTATGGGCCCTGGAGCGGAAGCAGGAGGAGACGCACTTAAGGGAGGCTTTGAGGCATTGCAAGGATTTGGAGGCCAGGTTGTGTCGAGCATCGGTCCTTCTCGAATAGGCAGGAAACGTGGTGAGAGAAAGTACGCCACCCACGACTGGATGCTCCATCAGCAATCGCAACACCGCGCCGCCGCCACTGGCTTCGCCCATTCGAAACAAAATCAGTTAGAATCGCAAAAGATCCTCACTCGTCCCCCTCAAATGCCTGACGAGCATGATTCCTCACCATCGACCACCACAGCGACCACGACAGGGCACAGCCCCCTGTCGTCTGTCAAATATGTCACTTCCTCCGCAACATCGCACAGTAACAGCTCGCAAGAGCAGCTGCACTCCATGGCTCCACCGCGTACCAGCGCCAATTCGGTAGCGACCACTTCATCTGCACCTTCCACGAAGCACAGGGCAGCTCAGCACGCTGCGGCGGACACTGTCACCAGTCTCGGAGCCGATGCTGTTGACGCGGAGAAGCTGGATTGGGATGCCTTCTTAGCACGTGCGTCAGCGCGTGCAGAGGGCTCTGGCAGCAGTGGCGGACCAAAGGAGGTGCGCCTAAGAGCATTGCCAGATCCGGAATGCGAAGCGCTCTTCCCCAATCCTCCCTTTTCGCGCTGCTTCAGCGAGCTGAAGTTGCAGCTCCCGCTTGGATACCCGTCAAAGCTTGAAGCCGGTGCCTCGGGAAAAACAGACACACCGAAAGCTTTGGTGCTAGGTTCAGATAAGTGAGTTTGGAGCTCCACTCCTGGAATCCCCCGTACCATGCAATGGCCTGCTTCGAATGCATCTGTCAATGCTAAAGCCGACTAAAATGCACGCATACCCTATTTCTTCCTTACCTTTTTTCAGCCAACTTCATCTCATCCACGACGCATCAGAACTCCCGACCGCAACGACAATCTTCAGCCACGACTGGACGGCGACAAGTGCCATCGGCACAACGATTTCACCGCCGTGGCAACCGCTGCGCGACGATGTCCCGATCGATACCCTCACGCTGTGGCCTCCATTGAAGCTCAAGGAAGAAGACTTTGACGACCTCAGGGCTGCCGCTTTTCGGCTGATCGCCGGCCCCGTCTTGCTTTGCCTCGTCAAGCGGTATTTTGCACAGCAGCATTTGTGCGTATAATTGCACCACGGTTCCTCTCCACCCTTTTCTTTCTGCATTAGTAACTTTGTGCGGAGCTGACGATCCCACCTCATCTTGATTACATCAGAGTCTTCCCGTTCCTTTTCTCGCCGCAAACACTACACTATCTCGATGTGCTCATCATGCATGTGCGCGGCGGTCACCAACTCGACTGGACACCGATGCAGATACGACAGCGGCAGGCTCTTCTCCTTTCCATCGCCGCTGCTGCCGTGCACATCAGCGACGACCACACTCTCGAGCTTGTTGATGATGCAGATGCGAATGCAGACGACGATGCGAGTACAGGCACCGGCACCAGCGCAAAGATGCAGGCGCCCAATTTCTATTCGCGCCAGTGGGCTCTTGAAGCAATCAAACTTGCCTACGCCCTGACACAGCCGTTGGATGACATGCTGCTGCGAGCGGAAGAAAAGACGCTCGATCTCGTCCTCGCCGCCAGGACATGGCTCTTGAGCATAGGCACGCACCCGTGCTTGGAAGGCGTCATAGTGCTCGCTAGCAAGCTTGCCTTGGCTGACCCGCATTTCCACATGTGCATCCTGCTGCAAAGCGGAAATAAAATTGAAGAGTTTGAATTGTGGAAACGGGTAGTATGGTGAGTATGGTGATGATCGTCCAGCCTGACTGCATGCGGTCGAGCGGCCCAAGTTGCCACATAGGTGCTAGCGTCTGACCTGGCGATTACTCGCCCTCCCTTTCAATCGTAGCGACGGTTTCATGGCCCAGAACCATCACAAGCTCTGGCGTGATGTCAAGTACGAAGGCGATCTAGGCACCGTCCTCAAAGGCCTCGGTCCGCTACGCCTCATTCCGGGAGAACTGCTGGACGAGAAGATGGGAGGTGCAAGCAGCAGAGCGTGCATGTGGTACTACTTCAGGTGAGCATGTTCGCACTTGACTCCGATGACTGTTCCGTTGTCCAATACTTGCCTTGCCCCAAACGCTCACAAACCCCGCTCGCAGAGATGCCGAGTTCCAACACATCCTCTCCCGCTTGTGCAACAGCTGCTTGTGCAACCCGCCAGTGGGGCTGCCTGAAGGCCAGCTTGCGGCGCAGCGTGAGATTGAAGCCGAAGAGATCTTTGATGCTCTGTGAGTCGGCACGCATGCATGTGCGCCAACACTTCAGCATGTCTTCTTTGACTCACGCCCTCCTCAACTCACCACCGAGTAGCAAACAATGGAATGAGCAAACATTTGGAGCGCACCGCGGCGACTTGGGCTGCGACGCGCGGGGCACGCTGCACGAACGGCGCGCTCTGCGCTACATGGCGTTCTCGGCGCGCGCAAAGCTCTCCGCTGCACTCGACATTATAATGTGCGCGCTGGAAAGCGTCGACACGCTCGGGTTGGAGGAGCTGCGCCTCTTTTCGTCGCCTGCCGAGGTGCAACCTGACGAGAAGGACAAAGTCGCCAGGTGAGTCGTGTGGCAATTGCGATGTGGCCAAACTGGGCGCGCCAGACTGACGTCTGCTCGTTCGATTGCTTGGCAGCTGGATCACCAGCACTTCCTTTTACCGCACAGAAAAGTCGTTCATTCGATCTCCTCGCAAAGACTGAAAAAAGAAGAAAAAAACACACGCCGTGCACATGCAGCGACCGCCGCGAAGCACGGCGATACCCATCATGTTGTACTCTTAGCATTTCACACAAACACTTCGCATGGACAACGACCGATGTGAGCAACGGTGGCGCGTGAACACTGGCACTGGGGCCCGTCGCGTGGTACGCCAGCCGTTTGGGTTGGGGACCATATCAAAGCACGTGTCAAGCATGATTTTCCGAAGGAATGCGCGCTGCGCCCAGGATCCCATGTCAGGTGCGATGTGGATGATGCGATACATGAATGCCAGTGGAGCCCGATGATGAAGATATGTAGTCTATTGGCCATGCGCAGTGTGCCGTTGAACACGGATGGTAGGGGGAAGCGAGCTCAGGGACGCCTCGCAAGTAAGATCGCCGTGAAGCTGAAAAAAAAGGTTAGCGCAAGCGTGCATGCATGCTGGACCTGCGTGCAAAGAGTGGGGGTGCATTTGCGATGTGTGCGGGTGTTCTTGCTTGATAACAATGTGCAGCCGCGTGTCGACCGTGCCTGAAGGCCGTGAGGGAGAAAGTGAAAGCGGGAACGATGAGGACGAGGCGGAAAGAGCGCAGGTTGCCGGCCCGATCGGTCGGCTCATAGGAGCCAGTGGCAGGGCTGCATACCTGCAGACGCTAGCGTCGTCCATGCGGATGGTCCTCTCAGTTAACGATGCGCAGTGCGGAAGCAGGATCAACAGCGGCAGCAGCAGACACAGATGCAACGCGTGGTGCCGCCGAGACGGAAGCGCTCGCGCCATTGTTGTTGTAGCCGCCACACGCATGGGCGGGGTTGGCGCTGCCGGCCGTGCCGGTGCGCTTGTCGTGATCGGCAGCAGTATGCTCGTCGGCGGAAGGCACAGAGATGCCGAGGACGCTGTCGCTAAACGGACCACCTGCTCCAGGCGCAGCCGGGGCTGCTAGTGGCGGCTGCGCCTGGACGGGTGGCGCAGCCGAGTAGAGCGGCGCCGTGCTGCTGTTCCAGTACGAACTGTCGCCAAACAGGGTCGCCGATGCGGGCGCTGATGGCGATGGCAACGGCGACATCTCGCCGCCTGTTGGGCCTTGCGCCTGCGGAGGATATTGTGGAGCTTGCTGTGTGTGCACGGGAGGGACGTATATATGTGCGCCGCCGCCGCCACCGATGGGCAATGCGGCGCGCGCCACGTCGAAAGAGGCAGATGTCGGCTGCTGCTGGCGATGCACGCTAGCGGTGGGGACCGCAGCGGCATAGTGGCTGGGCGGCAAGGAGGCACTGTGCCAGTAACCGTTGCCGCCGCCGCTGCCGGCGCTGCTGCCTTGCGGATGCGGGTACGCGCTTGCAAGCGAAGCAGCACCTCCATCCGTACCCGCGGCGGTGCCTGTGCTGGCACTGGCTGGCCACGCGCCGCTCGCGCTGTCGCTCCCGTGCAGGCCTGCCTGGGGACTGAGCCGGCCAAGATGGGCGTAGGCCGTGTTGCTGTCCCACATGGCCGGGTGCGTATGCTGCGCTCCGTCGCCGAGCATGTATGCCTTCTCGCTGTCGGCGCCGCCGCCGAGCGCAGCGACAGCAGCATCGTGCGCGGGCGTCGGCGCTGGGCGAACGGCGCGCAGGAACGCGGCGGAAGCCGTGTCGCCGCCTCCGCCCCCGTCGTCGTCATCGTCATCGTCGAGCAGGCCCTGGTGGCGCTTGTGCTCGGCCTCGACGCCACCGTCCGCGTGCAGGTGGTGGAGGTGCTCGCTGCTACTGCTTCTGCTGCCACGCTGTCCGTCTCCAAAGGCGAGCCACTCGACGGCCTGCTTGCGCTTATGCCGCCGACGGATGGGCAATAAGACGAGCCAAGCGATGAGGATGATGCCGGCGACGCCACCGGCGACTCCGCCGACGATCGCACCGATATTGGTGCTGTTGGAGGAGGTGGAGGCGGAGGAGCTGGCGCTCGCTGTGGACGAGGAGGACGCATCGGGTAGTGTCGAGGTGCTGGTGAACGTCACGACGTCGCCGTTGGCCATGGTAGAAGCGAGTGTGATGTGAGACGTGACTGCGCTAGTTACGCCTTTATTGACGTTGCTGCTGCTGCTGCTGCTGCTCGAGCCGCCGGAAGAAGCCGAAGGCGACGACGGCGCTGCCGGACTGCTGCCTGCGGCGCTGGTCGCGCTCGTCTGGCCATCCTGGCTCGTGTTGCCGCCGCCGTTGGAAGAAGAAATGGAGGACGGAGACGGGGTGGCGCTCGCCGTGCTTGAGGTCGAGGAGGCGGAGGACTGCGTGCTGCCGGGCAAGGAAGCGGCTGCGCCGCTGCTAGCGCGCGAGTCCGGTGTAGCCGAGGTGAATATGCCAGACGACGAGGCGGGAAAGGCGACAGACATGGTATTTTGGTTGCGGCAGACGTACGCACACAACAGAAAATGTGCAAGATGGAGCCAGTCGCGTCGCGGAGCAAGAAGATATAAACGCAAGGCAGACAAGACGATCGAGTCACGGTGGCGTTGTGATTGGTCCAAGGGGGTGGTGAGGGGATCGGATCCGGTCGAAGTGGTGGAAGCAGAGTGGAAGGTGATTCTGGGTCAGCATCCAGTCTCTCTCTTTTGTTTTTCCTTGAATCTAGGGTGCACTTGTTGGCGCCGGCGGCAAGACGGGGCAGATGGCTTTACCCAGTCGTGACACGCCAAGGAGCGTGCGCACAAAGCGAGCAGGCAGCCTCCGCCACCGCCGCAAGATACCGAGGCTCGCGGTGCATGTACTCACGAAGCTTGGTGCGTGGCAGACATGTCGGATGAGGTAGGCAGAATACCATGTACCGTTCGTCGCCGAACCTCGGTCCTCAAGGCTTGACGTGCGTTGTGTTTGTTTGCCGCTTGCGAACGGTGCAGAAAAGCTGACGAGGCGCTGGATCGAGCGTCTGTGTGGCGATTGTGGTGTTTGCCGGGCGCGTTCTTCAATGACGTTTGCTCAGCTTGCGAGAGGGCGTGCGTGTTTGCGCTCCGGCTTGGCTTTTTACAGTGTGCACGTCAGCATCGGCTTTGCTCTGTTGCGTTTGTTCTGACGTGTGTGCCTTTTGCACCACGCACGAGTTTGTTGAGAAGCGAGGCAACCAGAAGCACAAACCCAGCCACCAGGTACTGTGTAGGCAAGAAGTCCAAAGAAGAGCACGAGGGGGGACGGAGAGACTCTGTGCAGTCTGAGGGCCCGCCTGCCGAAACGACGGGTGGGCTGGGGATGGGGATGGCGAGGGGAAAGGGAGGTGGTCGAGCTGCAAGGCCCGTGGGTGCTGCAGATGAGATGGATTACAGTGCACGGACCACGCAGGCGACCTTCTTCGCTACACTTTGTGCAGGAAGCAGCCAGCACACAATTTTTAACAAGAGACCAAGGGCGACTGAGAGCAGCAAGGGGACTGGGGCGCGGGTCGGGCCACGCAAGAGAATAGGAGAAAGGGTACAATCCAAATGTCATTAGTTTTCACGGCCGTGTGCGATTCGCGATGACGGGGATGGCTGTGCGTGTGTGCCGAGCAGCGTCCCTCCATCATCACACACGGGGGGAAATACGACGACGAGTCAGCAAAGAGCGAACCGCGAGCAGCATGTAGGCGGCGGCCTGCACACTCCACCCCCGTGCGGCGCGGCCTCTGGGCGAACCGCCACCGCCACCACCACCGTGACCGGATCGTGGTGATGGGTGTGGAAGAAGGGTGGAAACCTCACTGGAAACTTTCTTGCAGTTCCGCTGCTTATGTGCACGTGGCAGCGACCCACTTTATCTGCGGCGCGGGCAGTCCCGACGCGATCCACCGCCCGCGCATTGCCGTGTGCGTCCAGCCGCCGAGCCTGCAGCTGCACTGGTTTGCACGAGTTGCCCCGACCCGTGGTGGAACCCGAGTGGGTGGGTGCCGAACGAGAAAAGGGACCGAGATTAATGAGATGAGTGGCGCCTGTGAAAGTCTGCAGGAGTGGCGGAGCCGACAGGAGTAGAGACAGAGGTGGAGCCACAGCCACCCTCGGCACAAAGGGGAGGGTGGATACCCTTTTTGGGTCTCTTCATTTGATTGCTTCCCCCTTCGTCCCTGCTTGGGACCACATGAGCGCTGCTGGATTAACTTGAGGGCAGAAAGGAGGGTTGTGGCCATGTGGCGCCTGTGCATAGAGTCCAGGGTTCGTTACGTAAGCACAGCTGGCCCGCCGGGTGCGCCGAAAGCCGGAACGAGACCCAGTCCGCGGCAGCGCCCTCCTGTTGAGAAAATTGCATAGAGGAAAGATCAGCGGAAATGGCGTGCGCGACATGGGGAGAGCACACCATCCGCCGAGTCGATGAAACCATATTCGCTCCCTACTCTCCTTGCCTCATCCACCACGCTTTGCCACCGCCCGGCACACTTGCAGCCGCTGTTCGCCATTGCGTGGCATGTGTGGGTTTATATGCATGCGAGCGAGCGAGGGGGAGCAGCGTGTCTGTCTGCACATGATACCAGCCGGTGACCGGGCCTGCAATGCTAATGATGCCACCTGTAACGATGCTGGTGATGACGATGGCGTCTTTCATGCTTCCGTTTGCTGATGCTCTTCCCCGCGTGCAGCAAAAAGCGTGTACCATTCATCATCCAGAGGAATGCCATGCATTCGGCGCTCGAAGCACGCACTTTGGGTTCGCTAGCAATTTTTTCCCTTGCTCTGCTGACCAGTCGTCTACATGCGTTCCAGCGGTCCTTGCGTGCAAAGCTAGTCATACACGCACGACCTGAGACTAGCTGTTAGGTAGGTAGCCTCGACAAGGAGACGGATTCGGTCCCCGAGTGAGCACGGAGGCATACACACGCATATACGTCATTCGCCTCGAGTCATCCACCGGTTGCCGCGACACTACAGACAGCAGGTATAAAGGAAAACGCCTCTCCGCCTCCGTGGCCCGTCCTTTGCAACCACATAGCCACTTTGACAGCATCAGCATCAGCAGCAGCAGCGCCCTGGATACAGAGCATACACGTAGTGCATACCACCCGGCAGCGCAGTCAGCCCCGAGCTCGTGCAGCGCAAACCTCCATCTGGCCGCACACACCAGCCTCTGCAACACCACCACCAGCAGCCGCAGCCCCAGCAGGCGACCAACATGGCGCCATCCCACGCACCTTCATCTTCCGCCGCCGGCGTGCACACAGCAAAGACGGGCACAGCCCTCTCCTCCCACCCCTCGTCTCCGTCACCCACCGCCGCGCCGCCGCCGCTGCTCAGCGCCGCAGCAGAGGCGCAGCGCGCCGCGTTCCGCACGCGTACCAGCCAAGGCAGGGTGCACTTCACCATCGACCCGTCTGCCATCGCGCCATCGCTCGCGCCGCGGCCCCGAGCGCGCGTGCAAGCTCATGCAGACTCGACACGCGCGAGCACAAGCGCAAGAGGTGAGCGAGTGCGCGTATCGTGCGTCCCGTGTCCCGCCACGGATGCTCATCTAACCCGTGTTGTACATCCCACGCCACAGCCGTAGCAGAAGCACACCCACATGGACAAGCACAGCCGATTGCGGCACTGTCCCTCTCACTGACGCACCGCCACGCCGCAGGCGCTGCATCCAACGTGGCACCGCCCTGCGCACGCGCCCTGCACACGCAGAGCACCCGCGGCCGCTCCCGCCTCTGCAAGGCCCTTCCACACCTCTCCCCGGGGCCGGCGCCCGGCGTCGGCGCGCCGTCAACGTCGCCGCTTCGGGCACGCCAGCTGCTCGAGGAACGTGCTGAACCGGCATCTGCGCACGCGTGGGCATGGGCATCTGCGCCCACGCCGATTCCACCCTTTCACGCTGCGTCCGCCGCAGCAGCAGCAGCAGAGACAGTAACAGGAACACGGCACGAAGACGGCGTCATCGCGATCGTCACTGGCCGCACACTGTGCCGCGCAACGCACCCTTCGCTCCAGGTCGATGCGTGGAGCCGCGCCGTCGCTGCGGCAGTGGAGGGTGTCGACGGTCCAATAGCAGCAACCAGAGACGCAGCATCAGAGGAAAAGGGAGCGGAGGAGGAGGAGGAAGATGAGGATGAGCCGGCGCCGCTTCCGCTGCCCATCATGTCGCGTCTGCCAGAAGGCGCGCTGCGCGAGAGCAAAGCCGGCGACGACGATGCGGACGATCTGTACGTCGACGATGACGCCAGCAGCGCCGCCGCATCATCTGCCGTCCTACCCGCGCCGCCGTCAGCGCATGCCAACGACGAAGCGACGGCCAGCACGCGCTTCTCATTTGGCAGCATTGCCCCGCGCCCGAAGGGCTACCTGCGCGCCGAGCTGTCCCAGGCGCAGGCGCAGCAGCGTTATAATGTGTTGTACACGCGCGCTAGGTTGCCAGTCATCGACGCTGCTTCCATTGAGCTGTGGCGCGCACTGCATGCCTTCAAGCCCATCACCAAGGAATACAACCGCGGCTACCTCCAGCTGCGTCGCGGAGTCGCACAGCAGCAACAACAGCAGCAGCAACAGGCCACTTGTGCCATCGAGACGGATGTGTGGCCGACGCAAGTGCAAGCGCCACACCCGGTCACTCCAGACGCCCGCAGCGACGAGTGCCCGGCGCTGTTCGCGGCGGCGCGCTCGTTCGGCAGCACATCGACACTGCACCACCTGCGCCGCTCGTTCAACTGGTCCGCGCTGCCGGCGCTCTCGCCGTCCAGCGCGCGCGAATGGTACGGTGTCGCGTTCCGCTCAGCGCGGCGGCCCGGCTCGGCGAGCGACACGCTTTACGCCGCCGACCGCTGGGCGCACGAGGAGGCTGTTGCCAGCGGCGGCCTTCTGTTTTACTGGTACGCCACGCCCGACGCGCGCACCGGCGAGAACCTTGCGACGTGCATCTGGACTAGCCGCGCGGATGCCGTGCGCGCCAGCAGACTCCGCATGCATGCCATCGCAGCCCGCGAGGCACAGCAGGCGTTCAGCGACTACGACCTGTACCGGTACAGGGTCGTGAAGCGCGCTGGCCAGTCTTCCATCTCCATCGAGCCGTGGGAGTGAGAGGAGGTGGCCTTTGTCCCCCCATATACCACCCGTCATCGATTTTTCGCAACCTGCACTTTGTATTTTTTTAGCAAGCAATCAAGCATCGTGTCACGTTGGGTTCCTTTCCAGCATCCTGTGCATGTACAGTGGTCGTCTCGCGCAGCGCGGTCTCACAGGCTCCGTCTAAGGCACCTTTCGACAAGGTCAATCTCTGCTGGTAGTAGAGCATCCCTCGAGTCGTAAACTTTTTTGGGTAATGTACATGGCGTGCGCAGTCTATGGGATGTATATGCAATATGTCGCGGAGCGTCTATCAACGTACAATCCGAGCGGTCCTGCCCTCTCGCCGCCAGCGGCGGTGGCTCTAGTCATCGTCCGTGTCAGGCTCGCGCTCGCCGCCGTACGTGAGCCACTTGCTGAGGCGCAAGCGCCTGCGCTCCTCCTGCGCCTTCTTCTCGTTCCGCGTCATCTTCTTCTTCTTCTTCGGCGCGCCCTTCAGCTTGCTCATATCGTCGTCCTTCTCCGCGTCGCTCCCCACAGGCGTAGCAGCCGCCGAAGAAATTGGCGTACCGGCCTTGCTGTTCAAGCGGCTCGTCGCCGTGCTCCCGGGGAGCGGCGTGCCGACGCCTGGCGTGGATGCGCCGTCGTCGCCTTGCTCAAGCGCGACGCCCTTCTTGGTCTTGCTAATGATACGGCCCGCTTCGACCTCGATGAACTCGTTGCACACGTTCTCCATCAGCTCTTCGTTATGCGAGATCATCACGATCGCACCGCCCCACTCGCGGATGGCAGTCGCAAGACCGGCGAGCGTGTCGCGGTCCAAGAAGTTCGACGGCTCGTCAAGGATGAGCACCTGTGAGACAAAGGTGTTTTCATTTCAGCGAACCATTCAGAGCGAAATTCAGGGCAGACAGGTAACGCACTTGTGGGTCTGCAAACAATGAGATGGAGTGCAAAAGGGGCACCAGATTAGCGCACGACATCCTTATGTCACAAGCTATTTTTTCCGGGCGGCAGCGGCGACTCACTGTTCCAAAGTGCAGCTGCCAGCACAACCTTGACCTTCTGACCACCCGAAAGACCGCCCATCTCGTGATGTTCTGCGATTTCGCCTGTGATAGAACAAGGCCAGGGCCATCCCCGAACGTCAGCACACCTCGCTACTTTCCCCACTTTCTTCGGCTAGCCACTGCACAGCTTACCGTTCAGCCCGACGTTTTCGAGCGCCTTTCGGATATCCTTGTGACTGAGCTCCTTGGAGCCTGCGCCCTCGCGTGAGCTCTCAAAGTCATCGAACGCCTGCAGCATCTTGGAGAAGCCGAGCTCAAGGAGACGCTCACGCGCGATCCAAGTGTTGTGCTTGTGCTGCAAGCCTAGCCACTTGATCTCATACTGGAAGCTCTTCTTGAGCTTCGATCTCCCGACGATGTACTCAATCCGGCGCTTCTCGCCCGTCGTACTGGTGATAGGGACCTGCATCTGCTGCTCCTCTGCGTCAGTCAGCTTGCGCGTCGCCTTTTCATCGATCTCACGATCGTGGCCGGTCGCGTAACGCCAGGCGATATATTGCACGGGTGTCTTTTCGAGATGCTGCTCGAGGTGGTGGAACGCGTGCTGTGCCATCATGGCAATTCGCAGCGCGGGGTGCTTCTCCACTTTACCTTCCTGTGGGATGGTTTCGCCAGTCAGACACTTGATCATGGTCTACGAGCGAGCGGGGTGGAATGGAAAGCGAGCGCGTGTCAGTGTCTTCATTCAGCACAAGGATCTCGGCGGAGCGCCGCTCGTTTGCGCCTCACCGTCTTGCCCTGTCCGTTGCGCCCCTTAACGCCGATACGACTGGAGAGCGTGACGCCCATCGACGCATCCATCAGGCTCGGCTTCTTCATGCCGGGGTAGGTGAAGGTGACGTTGGACATTTTTAGGATGGTGCGTGTGTTGCTCCTGACGCCCATCAGGTGGCCGGGCTCGGGGAACTTGAAGCTCACCTCGCCCTTTGCTTCGAGCGAGTACATTGTCTCCGCGTCCGGGTTCTTGGCGACGAACGCGCTGAGATTGCCCTTATAGTAGTTGATCTTCTTTTTGTTGTAGTGCATCATGTCTGTGCAAACGGCGTCAAGGAAGCCAGGGTCGTGCGAGACGGTCAGGACGGTGATGTCGTTGTGCGAGACGAGGTACTGTTGCAGCCAAGCGACGGATTGGACGCTGCACGGGGAGGATGAACAGAAATGCGGGTCAGCGTGTGTGTTCCTTGGATCACAAAAAAATGCGAAGAAATTACACTCACTCCAAGTGGTTCGTCGGCTCGTCGAGCAGGAGAATGTCAGCTGTCCCGCACAAGAAGTCAGGTCATGTCAGCAGGGTCTACAAGCATTGCGAGAAAAAAAACTCGGGCACGCACCTCCGATCAGCATGGCCCTAGCGAGCTCGAGTTTCATCTTCCAACCGCCTGACAAACTACCGACGGGGTCCGTCTGGCGCTCGTCGTCGAAGCCGACTTCCCTGAGTGCGGCAGCGATCTGCTCGCGTTGCTTGCTCTCCATGCCCTTGCCGCGCGCGACAAAGTCGAGGATCGCCTGCGACCCGTCCTCGCCTTGGAGTGAGTGCTCGACCATGACGGTGCGCACGACGTCCTGCGACGGGTATCCCTCGACCTTGCCATCGCGCATGGCCTTGAGCAGCGTGCTCTTACCCGAGCCGTTCTGACCGAGGATGCCGTAGCGGTGGCCGCGGTGGAGGCGTAGGCGCGTGTGGTTAAGCAGAAGCAGGCCACCGTACGCGAGCGAGAACTGGATATCGCACAGACACTCGCCCACGATCTCCTCCTCCTCATCGTCGGCCTGCGCGCTGCCAAAGCGCGCCGTGTCGCGCTCGACGTACTCGCGCCGCAGCGCGTCTGTTGCTGCCTGCGCTGCCTGCGCCGACGGCAAGACGCGCCGCAGGTACGGAAGGACGTATGACTCGTTCCATGCGCTGGCGTGCACGATGCGCTTCTCAGCCAGACGCGGAATGATGCGCGAGACATACCGTAGGCCCGTCATGGCCCACTCGTCCTTCCTGATGTCGGCGCCAGCATCTGCGTCCGTGGAAGAGGCGAGCTGGGCCTGAATATGCTTGCAGAGGCTGTCAAGTGCCGCAGTGCGCGCATGCTCCTCGCTCATCTGGTCCATCGTCGATGTCGCGTCGCGCGCCGCCGCGGGGCGCGCCGCAAGGTCCTTGGTGGCGGCGTTAAGCGTGTTGAGAGCGCTGCGTGCGTGCTCGCGCACCTCGGGGAAACTGGCACCCTCCTCAATGCGCTGGACGCCTGGTGTAAGGGCGGGGAGGAACTTGCTGGCCTCACTGGGGTCGCGGACGAGCTTGCAGAGGTTCTCGACGACGATGACGGTTGAGCGCTGCACACTCTGATTGCGCTCGTTAAGTGCGCGCGACAACAGGGGAACCATGACGGCAAGCGCGGGGCCGGTGACCTCGGCAACAAAGGTGCAAGATGAGAGCTTCTTGATGCACTCGGGAACCGTGTCCGGGCGGGCCATGCAGCCGACGAGGTCCGGGATGAAGGGGCGCAGGTCGGCGTTCTCGAGCGTGTTGGAGCAGACCTTATTGGCCGCCTTGACGGCCTGCTTGCTGATCTCGGCCTTGGTCTCGTGCATAGCATTGGTGAGGACGGGGATAAGGTCCTCGAGCGCATCGCCGACCTGCTCGGCGCGTGCGGCGCTGAGGCGTGCGATGAGCTTCAATGCACCGACCTTAGCCTGCCACTTGGCGGCGCCATCGCGCAGCGTCGCGCACAGCAGCTCGAGAACGTCTAGCGCAGCCTCGGGTGGGGCAAGTGCGAGGAGGGCCGCGGCGGCCTGCTCGGCGGCAGGGCGGACGACAGCGTCAGCCTTGTCGGCATGCAGGTCGAGCATGGCGGGCAGCTGCTGCGGCAGCAGCCACGGGTCGGCGCCGCCTTGCTTGAGCTGCTGCTGCGCGAGCGCCTCGATGGCGAGTGCGGCAGCCTCGCGCTCGTACACATTCTTCTTGTTTGCCGCGGCGGAGAGCAGCGACGCAAGGATGCCGTGCGTGGCGAGCAGGCGCATGCCGCCGGGGTGTGTGGCGACGTGCGCGGCGAGTGCCGCAGCGGCGTCCGTGCACTCTTCGCGCGACGGCGCAGTGTACAGTGTGTGCAGCAGCGGCTGCACATCGGGAGCGGCAAGCTGCAGCGCAGCGCTCGACGCGTCGCCCGCAGCTGCGGCGCCGGCACGCGGATCGGCGGCGGCCGCGCCAGCGGGCTGGGGCTTACCGGGAAGGCCATTAGGGGCGGCGGCGGCGGCGCTGGCCGATTTACTGCCGGTGATCTTGAGTGCGGATGGCATCCTCTCCGTCTGTGGGTCGTGTTGGAGAGAGGTCCGTGGGATGTCTCGGATGAGGTTCGGGAGGAGGGCCTCCTCGTTCGAGGCGAGGGCTGCCTGGAAGATGCAAAGGGAGAGAGGGGGAACAGGCAGGAGGGTAGAGACAGATGTTGCGCTGCTGTTCTTCGATTTTCCAATTTTCCCCAGTGCGTAGGCGTAGATGACGCTGTCGTGTTGTGTCTCTGAAAGTGTCCAGACGAGACGGGCTACAGGGTGAGCGACGACGAGGTCCTGCGTATGGATGGAGGGATTCCCCCCATCAACCGAACCACATATACATATATACCAACCCCATTGTGATTGATTGTTTTCTCTCTCTCGTTGCGCGCAAAAATTTCCAGTCAGCTGCACCAAAAATAAAAGAAAGAATGCCCTGCGCGGCGGCGCAGGGCAGTTGAAAGAAATAGCAAACACGGGACCCGGGACTCGGGACTCGGCAGTAGTCGGGTCGAATCGTGCCATTAGGTGAGCGGGATCTCGGCGATCAAATGGCTTGTATGATGAATACATTCACCACAGCGAGCGGCACACGAATCCCCACAGCCTGCGCCCCTCGACCAGCTTGTACTTCTCCGTCGCGATGGCCAGCGTGCAAGCATGCGTATATTGCTGTTGGACGTGCTAGTACCTGACGCATAACTCGTCAGGCCCCTTTTGCAAGCCTCTATAGCTCCCTCGTCCGTCTTAACCTCCCACCACCGCCACCATGCCCGCCACCCATGCGCAGCCGAGGAGGAGCAATGCGCAGATTGCCCTTGGTACGTGCGGCAGCGTAAAGCCCCTCTCCAGAGTCGGAGCGGCGCACGCTGAAGTGCACTCTGATCCTTCTCTCTCTTTCGGCAGGCGTCTGGGGTAGCTTGAGCTGGCTCGACCGCCTTCTGTCCCTCTTCATCCTCATCGCCATGGTCCTCGGCGTGCTGATTGGCGAGTTCGCGCCGCAGGCCCGCGAGCGTCTCGCTGGCACCGGCGCAGGCACACTGCAGGGCGTCTCAGCGCCGCTCGTTGTCGGCCTGCTCGTCATGATGTGGCCGATCCTGACCAAGGTCCATTACGAGCGATTCCCCCAGCTGCTGCGCTCCGCCAACCTATGGGCGCAAATCACGCTGTCGCTCCTGCTCAACTGGCTCATCGCGCCGCTGCTCATGCTCGCCCTCGCAGAGGCGACCCTCCCGGACCTCCCCACGTACCGCACCGGCATCGTCCTTGTCGGCCTCGCCCGCTGCATCGCCATGGTCATGGTCTGGACGAACATCGCCAAGGGCGAGCCGGACATGTGCGCGATCCTCGTCATCGTCAACTCGGCCCTGCAGATAGTTCTCTATGCGCCCATGGCCGTGCTCTTCATCGACGTCATCTCAAACGCCCAGGAGCACGTCCACCTCGAGTATAGCAAGACGGCGATCGCAGTTCTCATCGTGCGCCCTCACCCTGCTTCCACATTTCGAGTGCAATACGCTAACACCTCCCTTCCTCTCCCTCTCTCTAGTACCTTGGAATCCCACTGTCCGCCGGCGTTCTGACGCGCTTCAGCATGCAGCGCCTGCTCGGCACACGGCGCTTTGACACACACTTTCTGCCGTACTTTGGCATTCTCAGCCTCGTAGGTCTGCTCTACACCATCCTCATCATCTTTGCTTCCCAGTCCAAGCACATCCTCCGCAACCTCGGCCCCAGCTTTCGTACCATCGTGCCCCTCGTGCTGTACTTTTCCATTATGTGGAGCGCGACATTCGCCTTCATCTACGCGCTCAACAGGCGCGCTAGCAGAAACAAGGGCACAGGAAGGGCATTCGCATCGCTTCCGGCGCCAGCGTGCGTCACATGGGACTACCAGGCCGCCGTCCTGCAATCCTTCACCGCCGCGTCAAACAACTTTGAGCTGGCCATCGCCGTCGCCGTTGCCATCTACGGTGCCGACTCGGACCAAGCGCTCGCCGCGACCGTCGGTCCGCTCGTTGAGATCCCCGTCCTGCTCCTCCTCACCTGGCTCTCGCTTTTCTTCCGCGCCAGGCTCAACTGGGGCGACGGCGGCGGCGCTGTACCTCGATGCAGCACAATGAACCAGCAGGGAAACGTTGAGAAGACGGCGGCGGAGAACGCAGAGAAGGAATGCAGCTCAGATGAGGAGCGCCCTGGCGATCCTGCGAAATCGAGCGCTTTCGCGATTGTGGATGGCGAGAAGCAGTAGCAAGCAATGCACTAACATCATGATACGGCTGCGAGCAAGGCAGCCAGCCGTATTCGTACATAATGAATGGATCCGGAGTATTTATTACGCCAACTGGGGCACGTTCTGTAGCAATATCGTCATCGGTCCTCATCGCATGCAGTATTGCAGTAGACGTATGAATGGTACAGGAATACACTGTCCAATGAAGGGACTGCTTTGGGGTTTGGCATTGCACACGCGAATAGGCTTTCGAGAAACATCTCCAAGCTCGCTTTTTTCTTTCTTTGATCCAGAGGTGTGGCTAAGAGTAGGAGGTCGTAAGTGTAGAAAGTGCCTGGATCTAATCAACGTCCGCATCTTCTGATCAACACTAGACTCTCAGCTCAGAGCACCAACACGTCCACAAATTAGGGCTGGTTCTTCAACACCGCCGGCCCTTCCGAAAGAAGCGCAGCACCATACGCTCTCGCACGCTTGACACCAGCAGCCAGCTGCTCCTCCGGTTGCAAAGCGTCGGCGCGACGATCCACGCCCGCGCAGCAGCGCACGCCAAGTCGCACCGCGCTTCTGTACAGCGACGACAAGGTGCGATTATCCTGCAAGGACGAGAGGAGGGGCGCCTGAGGGCAGCGCGATCAACTCTTTTCACCATGACGACCGCTTTTCTAGCACATCTGTTGGCATGGGCATGCCTGGCATGGTACGCGACCATCTGGTCCATATGCCTGCTCGGCCTCTCCATTGCGTGGACGTACTACATGCCGCCGGTGCCCCCTTCACCCTTGTCACATGCGCACGAAGGCTCGCCAGATCCCGAGGTGCCCGGCTTGACGATCATACGCCCTCTCTCAGGGCTGGACTACAACCTCTTCGCGAATCTCTGCTCAGCATTCGAGCTGCAATATCCCAAGGACAAGCTCGAGATCCTCATGAGCGTCAAGCACGAGAGCGATCAGGCGCTCCGAGTCGCTAGGGAGGTCAAGGAACGGTATCCGGGCGTCAAGAGCGGGATTATTGTTGGTAAGATCATGCGTGCTTCCGCAAAGACAGGGAAGCGCGACGGACTGACCGTAGATACACCGTACAATGCCTCCCAGGCGACGAAGACGCAGGAGTGAATCCGAAGATCAACAATCTGGTGCGGCCGTTTGCGCAGGCTACCTTTGACCTCATCTGGGTGCTCGACAGTCAAGTCTGGCTGCCGCCAGGCGCAGCAGGCCGAGCTGTGCAGACCTTCCTGCTTCCCCCGCCGCCGCGTTTCCTCCGTCGGCGACCGCATGGCGCGCGCATCGGCCTCGTTCATCACGTCCCGCTGGGTGTGAACGCGATGAGCGCGTGGGGGAGCCAGATCGAGCGCGTCTTCCTCTCCACCACGCACGCTAAGATGTACCTCGCCATCAACGCACTCGCCATCGACAGCTGCGTCATGGGTAAGAGCAACATTTACCGCAAATCCGACCTGGGCCAGGTGCCCGATGACTTCTTTGGCGTCGACGCGTCTGGCAGCCGCGGCGAAGCTGGCGCCATCGGCAGCCGCGCGTTCAGCGCCCCGCGCCCGAAGGCGACACATCCTACGCAGCACGATGGGGTTACATCCGTCATCAAGACCACTGCGCGCCCGCTTGCGCGCTTTGGCATATACCTCGCCGAGGACAACATGCTCGCGCTCTCGCTCTGGCGCGCGCCGCTGCACCTCGCGCACGCCATCGCGCAGGGCGACGTTGCGCACACCACTGTCGGCGACATCGCGACGTTGCAGGCGTACGCCGAGCGCCGCATGCGCTGGATACGCGTCCGCAAACACATGGTCGCTGCTGCCACGTACGCCGAGCCATTCACGGAGAGCATCATCGCCGGCATGCTGGGCCTGTATGCTTTTCGTTATTTCGCGCTTCCATCGCTATTAACTATAGAAATAGAAAGGGGAGGCTACTCTGCGTGGATCAGCAGAGGGTGTACCCTCGTGTTCCTCGCGTCCCATTTCAGCCTCTGGCACCTCGTCGACCGCGGCGTCCTATTCGCGCTGTCGGGAGGCAATCCGCTGCCAAAGGATGAGCAGCTCCTATTCACCGCCGCATGGGTCCTGCGTGAGCTCTTAGCCCTGCCCATCTGGCTGTGGGCCATATTAGGATCGACAGGTAAGCCAAAGTGTTTGCCTCCTTGCATGGAGTCAACATGACGCTTACCACCTCTTCATGGGCCGCAGTCAATTGGCGAGGCCAGCAATACAGGATCCTCTCTTCGGGCAGAGCCGCAGAGCTCCGTGTGCGACCACGATGGCGAGGTGTCTCGGAGCGCGACCCCTTCCTAGACGATCGATGACATATTGATGATGATCGGCTGGGGTTTGACGCATCGGGTAGCAGCGTCTAAATACAATCGCTTCACCCTCGTTTTACTTTGGCGGCTTGCGGCATGCGCTCGCCGAAGTCTTTTTGCAAATAGAGCACAGAGAGCTTGACCCACGTCCAGACGACGCCGACGGCGCAATATACGCTTGTAAGCATGAGTGGCAAAAACTCGAGCGCTGGTGCCGGCGGCGCCGCTGCCGCTGTTGAGTGTGCGCCCATAGCAATCCCGAGAGCGGCTGCTGCAGGTGCGACAGCATTTGCAGACGAGGTAATGACGTCGCCAAGCTGTGCTGAGGCTGCTGCGAATACGTCTCCCGGCACATCCCAGCCGGCGCCGCCGTTCGACGTCAACTGCACGGCTGGCGTGACGATGGATATCGCGCTACTCGTGAGCATTCCGGACGCTGGGGTCGCGGTATTGGCTACTGAGGCAAGCGGCATCAAAAGTGGATGGATGATGGCTGTGTAAAAGAGCACGAGAGGGAAGCAAGCTAGATAGGCGGTTTCGAGGGCGTGCAGCACGAATCCGAGATTTGATGGGATCGGTCTGAAGACCTTCCTCGATAGAGCGCCGAGCACGATGACGAGCCAGAGCGCAGTGTAGGTGACTTTAATGGGCGTCTCAGCCGGTTGAAAAAGCAATGGAAAGAGCGAGAAGCAGCCCGCAACGCTGAGCAGAACAAATACGCGATAGTGATCATAATCGTCGACGGCGAGGTAGGTGAGCGGGAGCAAGATCATAAGGATCGCCTTCTCGTGGACGTGCCATCCAAAAAGGAACGATGCGAATCCGCAGAGTGTGATGCACGAGATGAAAGACTTGTACGTCGGTGCTCGCCAGAGCTTTGTCATGTACGCTGTCATGACAAGCGTCGTAACGAGGAAGCAGGTGCGAGGCGCGACATTGGGCAGCAGAGTGAAATCTGTGTTGCCCACCAGGCCTCTGGATGCCGAGGCGAAGCCAGTCGATGAGGCTTTTGCGAAATTTTGCTGCAAACCAATTGGCAGGAATCGGATGAGCGAGCGCTGACGCCGAACGACCAGCAGCAACACCCTGTCTACGGCCGTGTACAATGCCCAAAAGTTCGGTGCCCAGTATGCATGGTTCAGGCCTCGACTGAACGGGAACATGCGCGAGAGCATCTGCGCGACCACCCCGAAAGATCCCGCTTCGTGCTTGAAGCCAGACACCATGAGCGGCAGAAGGCTGACCGCAAAGGGTGCGAGGGTGAATGCACCGAGAGTGACGAGACGCTCGATCGCAGCTGGCATTGTACGTAAGGTTGAGCCTGGCGGGTAGACGTACGATCGTAGCAAATAGACGAAGTACGCCGGCGCCACATACATGTATATGTGTTTGAAATTGAGCAGGCTTGAGAATAAGAGCGCGCACAGCAACGGCTTATTCTGGTTTGCGATGGTATTGCAATTATGTTATGTTAGCATCCGGTGCAGAAGCCAGAAACCGCTCCTCTCACCTCTTGCGCAGCCCACATGGACCAGAACAGGATCCCGAAAAGGAAACCATTGTACTGGAAATGGATGTGATCGATGATAATGAGCCCCGGATGAAGAAGGAGGCTCGCTGCCATCAGTCTCTTTCTGCTCTCGTCCTCTAATGGCGCTGCTCCGGTGGCTACATCGGCACGGCTTGGACGGCTGAGCGCTAGCAAACTCGCGGCATAGACGAGTTCGGTTACCACAACCGTCGCTCTCATGTACCCTTTTGCAAGTCCCGCCGAGTGCCCTATCCCGTCGTGTAAGGAGACTATCAACGGGTCGAAGAGCAGCGCTGGAAGCGCCAAGAACCAGCTCAGCCACGCGAAGAATGGAGGATAGTCCAGCGTGGCATTGGGAGACGACGCATCAAAGTACCACTCGCACACAGGTAGCGTGCGCGTGATAGCAAGCCAGTTGCGATGCACTTCGAAGTCCGTGCTGAGGTAGCTGTTCGTGCCGACAAGGGCTTTCACGAGGGTGCTGAGTGTTAGTAGCACCCTGTCTGTCGGATCTAGCCATGGTCGCGATGGTTGGGCCTTGCTGATAGTGCTACCCCCCGAGTACGACACGTCTCTTGCGCCTAGTCGAGAGCCTTGCAGCAGCACGACTCTATCAGTCGCACCGTTGATCGATGTCATGGTGGCCAGTACTGCTGACAGAACTCAGCTGCCGCACATGTGAATGGACGAACTCTCTATGTGCGGGCATTGAGGTGTTTGGAATGGAGAGAGGTGGAGCACAAAAGTGTTGGCTTAATGTCTTGATGACGCGCGTGATTCCTCTTCGCGATCGTACGCGAGGCGGGTTTGTGATGTAGCTAGCCATCAAAACGACGCTGAAGAGCCAATTCATTCGACCTTACATACGTCATTGCCGTCGACCGTTAGTCTAGCGGCATGTCGTGAGCTGAACACGAGGCAATCAAGCATATCCGGCCTTCACAATGCGACGAGGACCGGGCATTGCAGCGCTCGACCGCTCTGCCTATTCATCTGCCCAGTACTCCTTGCTCGGAGACAGCTTGACCAATTTACAGCTGACAGAGTTGCGGTCCCAGCTCGACACTTTTGCCAATGCCTTGCGAAGCTTCGCATCCAGTCATCGAAATGACATCAGACGTGATCCCGCCTTTCGCCATGCGTTCCAGAAGATGTGTGTTTCGATTGGGGTCGACCCGCTCGCCGGAGCTCCGTCCTCTGCAAGCGGTGCCAGCAGCAGGGGCGGTGCGGCAGGCAAGATGGCCGGCCTCTGGAACAATCTACTTGGGCTTGGTGACTGGCAGTATGAGCTCGGTATCCAAGTTGTTGACGTATGCATCAGCACACGTCATCTGAACGGCGGCCTTATCGAGATGCAAGATATGATCAACCGTGTCACCCTGCTGCGAACCGGCAAGAGCGTGACGGTGCGCAGTACAGATGAAAGCTCCAAAGAGGCCCTCATTTCCGAAGAAGACGTCATCCGATCCGTCAAAACATTGCAGCCTCTCGGCGCCGGCTATGAGGTGGTCACCATAGGAGCCAAGCGCTTTGTTCGGTCGGTGCCAAAGGAGCTCGACACCGATTCCACAGTCATCCTCGCCATTCTCTCCGCCACCAATTCTCGCGCTTTGCGCGATGTACAAGGCATCCCGTACATCACGTTGGACTCGCTTATGCCCCCCAACTCGACGCTAGTGGCCCCTGGTCTCGGGGCAGGGGGCAAGTCAGCATGGACAGAAGAAAGGGCGATTGCGGCTCTGCAAGACATGTCCTCCAAGTCTGGCATGCTTTGGGTGGACGAAGGCACTTATCCGGTACGATACTACTCGCTTGGAGTCGCAGAGGGCATCTGGTCTACAGGAAGCAAGGTCCAGGATGACTGTTCGCTCTCGTCCTTTCTTGCCGAGTCACAGATGTGACAGATTGGCGAACAGTCATTACGTGTGGGAGCATTCGATAAATGTCATGTATCATACTTGAACTGTACCATTAAGGTCTGAATGTTGCTTTGAACAGTTCTCGCAGATGTTTGATGAAGGTTCAAGAGCGTATCCTTGCCCACCAGGAGTTGAGACAACTACTATATAATAGTCAGGATGCGATAGTACACGACCAAGATTCGTTCGAGATGATGCGCTTGGAATTATAGAAATATGTCCGTAGATGGTGCCTGATGGGCTCGGTATGGCTCAAGCAACGCTGATCGATGCTGATAGAAACAGTTCGAAGATGTCCATTTTCATACGGTGCCGTTTCCTTTGTTGCGTGTTCTAGCCATCAGTGGCTTGGCCCGCTCATACTCGCGGAGCCTTCTTATTTGCCAGAAGCGAATGAAGCGTCGAGATCAACTCTGGCAGGCGGGGGAGTACCAAGCGTTAGAGTCGGCTTATATAGGCTCCTTGGAAACAATCCGAAGGTACGTACCGACTCTCCGAATGGGTTTGGAAACATATGCAGACATTCCCGCCTTCAAGCATTTCTCTATGTGCACAAATCCCAAGGTGAACAAACGGTTACCTCCATATCTGAAAACGAATTTACACTCACCCTTGTCACCTAACATGGCATGTGCGGTCAAGGCAACGATCGGCACTCGCTCGCCACCGATTGATGCTTCAAACTCTCGAATCGCCATCGTGGCCTCGATACCACCCATGACAGGCACTATATCATGCGCACAATGGATAAAAGTCAGCACCCGTCGATCTCCTCGAGTTTGATACAAATACTGACTGCTAACGTCCATCAAGATGACGTCGTACTGCTTTTTCTTGACAGCCATCACTGCGAGCTGACCGTTGTCGACAACGTCGACCTTGTGACCTTGATTCTGCAGAATTTTGCAGGCCAGCTTTTGGTTGACGACATTGTCCTCAGCGAGCAAGATGTCGTAGATGACATCCGTATTGCCCTCCGAAGGCACCGCGGCCGAACTCTCCAGCGATGGCAGCAGAGCATAGTGCAGGTCGGCCAGCGTAGTGGGCGTATTGATATAAGATGATATGCCGTGATCCAAGCAATAAGTCAAGTTGAGGGTGAGAGCGTCCGGCGTGATGAGATTGATGGGGATGTACCGCAGGTGCTCGACTGTTCGTAAGTCCTCTACCACCGATAAGGAGTCGGTAATGATGGCATCGATCCGCGGCATGCCACGCTTCTTTTGAGACGCCTCTTCGATGCTATGAACGGTGAAAGGCTTGAGGCCCAATTCCTCGAGCATGGCTTCCACGCCAGTCTCGTCGTGCAGGGTGTCCAAGTAGAAGATATTCCGGCCTAAGTATGGGCGGATCTTATCGATCACCTGCTCCTTGCCGATCTCATCAAGCTTGACCAGCATGGTGAAGAAAAAGTCCGATCCGTGACCGTAGTTGCTTCGCACCCACAGGTCACCGCCCATGAGATTTACGAGTCTTCGAGAGATGGACAATCCCAAACCTGTGCCTCCATACTTGCGCGTCGTAGATCCGTCAGCCTGGCAGAATGTATCAAAGATCAAGTCGAGCTTCTCAGGCTTGATGCCGATTCCTGAATCGGATGCGCAGAATTCCAGTAAGCAAAGCCTGTCTGAGATGACCTTGGCGAGTGTGCACTTAAGAGCAACGCGGCCTCCCGCCTCGGTGAACTTGACCGCATTACCGATAAGATTGGTGATGATCTGCTTAAGCCTGAGCGCATCGCCAATCAAGGGATCTGGACAGTCGGGCCCAACTTCGTAAAGCAAATTGAGCTTCTTCTGTGTAGCTCGCACCGAAAGCGTCTTCAGGACGCTGAACACGATTCCCCGCAGCGAGAAAGGTATCTCCTCGACGTTCATGCGGCCTGCCTCAATCTTGGAGATATCGAGAATGTCATCTATGATGGCCAACAGGTTGCCGGCCAACGTAGAGACGGTGACAAGGTTCTCTCGCTGACTGCGCGACAACTCCGTCTCGAGCGTCAGCGCGGTCATACCGATAATGCCGTTCATGGGCGTCCGGATTTCGTGCGACATGTTTGCGAGGAACTCTGACTTAGACCTGTTCGCCAACTCGGCAGCTTCCCTCGCGGCTGTGTTCTTCTGGATCGAGTCGCGCAACGAATAGACCATCTGGTTGATCTTAGTCTTGAGCGAGTCCATCTCTCCCGAGGCCTCGACAGTGACGAAGCGCGTAAAGTCTCCGTCGGTGGCGGCGGCGGTGATCTGCGCAAAGGCGCGTACTTGCGATGTGAGGTTGTTGGCCATAATGTTGACATTGTCCGTGATCTCCGCCCACTTCCCCTTGATGTCCTTCTTCTGCGCCTGCACGCCAAGCTTGCCTTCCGTTCCTACTTCTCGGGCGACGCGCGTGACCTCGGACGCAAAGAAGGACAGTTGGTCGATCATGTTGTTGATCGTGTTGACCAGATCGAGAATCTCTCCAGAGACAGAGATAGTGACCTTCTGGGAAAGATCACCGCGTGCGACGGCTGTCGTTGCGTGTGCGATCGTTCGCACTTGCAAGGTGAGATTGGCAGCCATGGTGTTAACGGACTCGGTGAGATCTTTCCATGTTCCACCGACCCCGAGCACAGTAGCCCGACCCCCAAGCTTGCCTTCGGTTCCGACTTCCTTGGCGACACGCGTGACTTCCGTCGAGAATGTTCGCAGGAACTTGACCATATTGTTGACCGTTAGCTTGAGATCGAGGATCTCCCCACGTACTTCGACATTGATCGTCTTGCTCAGATCTCCACGAGCGACAGCGGTCGTGACAGTGGCGATGGATCGTACCTGCGTGGTGAGATTCGAGGCCATCATATTGACTCGTTCAGTGAGCACCTGCCACTGGCCTTTGACGCCATTGACATTGGCCTGACCACCGAGCCTTCCCTCAGTGCCTACTTCAACCGAGACACGGATGATCTCGTCGGAGAGCGTATTGAGCTGCTTGACCATATTGTTGACGGTGATCTTGAGGTCAAGGATCTCGCCCTTGACATCGACGGTGATGTACTCCGTGAGGACTCCCTCGGCGACACACTTGGTCACCCGTGCAATTTCTCGAACCTGCGATGTGAGATTGTCTGCCATCTTATTGACGTTCTCCGTCAAGTCCTTCCATGTCCCCTCTACGTTTGGCACGTGCGCTTGCCCACCAAGCTTACCGTATGTTCCGACTGCAAATCGCGCAACCCAAAAGGGCGTCAGCTGCAAGCCTGCAACACATGACGGAAAAGCTCACCCTCCATGGACATTCGGACGACCTCTGAGGCAAACACACGCAGTTGTCCCACCATCGAGTTGACCGTGTCCTTCAGCTGCGCCATCTCGCCTTCCGCCTCAATATCGATTGTCTTGGTGAGGTCGCCTTTCGCGACGGCAGTGGTGACTACGCCGATGCTGCGCACCTGTTCGGTCAGGTTGGCGCACATACGATTGACGTTGACCGTCAACTCCTTCCAGACACCTTGTACACCAGGAACGTACGCTTGCCCGCCGAGTTGACCCTTACTGCCGACTTCTCGCGAGACGCGCGTGACCTCGTTGGCAAAGTGTCGTAATTGATCCACCATGACGTTGAGTGTCACCTTTAGCTCCAAGATCTCTCCGTCCGCTTCGACGTCAATTTTCTTGGAGAGATCACCACGCGCGACCGCCTTGGTGACCGTCGCAACACCTCGCACCTGGTTGGTGAGGTTCATCGCTAGCTTGTTGACAACGTCCTTAAGCTCCTTCCAGCGCCCTTCGACGCCGGTCACCTCGACCTGGCCACCAAGCTTGCCCTCTGTGCCTACCTCGAGTGAGACACGCGTGACATCGGCAGCAAAGTTGGAGAGCGTGTCTACCATCTGGTTAATGATGTCTTTCAGCTCAACCATCACATGGCCCTGCACAGGCACAGTGATGTGCTGCGAAAGATCGCCGAACGCGACAGCCTGTAAGACCAACATGAACAAATCGTCGTCAGCTCTGACCTCGATTGTCATCTCTGCACAAGCGCAAGCAGCACACACCTTGCACACTCGGGCAATATCTTGTACCTGCGCCTTTAGCAGCCTCAACTCCTCCTGGGCCGACAAGCCGCTCTCGTCCGAGTAGCGCTCGAACGCGCCCATGGCAGCTTCGGGTGAACTGATTCCGTCGGCGCCGCCTTGGCCGCTGCCACCTGTGGCGGCCAGCAGGACGGGTGTGCCGTCCTGCGACATGCCAAGCGGGTAAGAGAGCGGGTAAGCGGACGACTGCGGCGGCGCCTGCGAGAGCGGATACGGGAAGTCCTTGATGGACGATGCGGAGGAGAAGCTGCGTCCGCACGTGCTGCACGAAAGCGCGGCACCCCCGGCCCCAACGACATGCTGGCCGATCGAGCTCAGTCCGGTGCTCTTGGACATGATCGTAGGATCGAGCATCGAGAAAGCGCCAGAGGTGCTGCCATCCCCATTGCCGGCGCGTGGTTGCTCGTGCTGATGGTGTTGCTGCTGCTGCTGCTGCTGCACCAACTCGCTCCTGCGCTTCTGGCCAGCAGCAGCGGCCGACGCGATGCTCTCAAGCTGATCCTCGGCGCGCCAAAGCCGTTCGACGAGTTTTCCCAAGTTGGCCTCAATCACCTGTGTCCGCTCGTCTCCACCTTCAAAATGGAATTTGGGGAGAGGCAGAGACAGCACGCCTTCGTTCGGTCCGACGGGCTGTAGGTGTCCTGCCGCGATGCAGTGACCGGAGTTGTTGTTGTCTGCTGCTCTCTCATCACCGAGGTCGCTCAAGAAGGACAATTCTTTGCCCTGCTCTATCTCTCCTTCCTGCCATGGTGTTGCTGGGGCAGCAATGCCACCTTTACCGCTGCGGCGGCTGAGTGTGTCCACACAGAAGACTGTGCTGCTTTCGAGGAGTGGCTGAGACACAGAATCTTGCTCCGCAGGCGTCGTGGTCACCGGCACTTGCAAGGATAGCGTTGTGACAGGGAACGATCCGTTCGCGTGCTGTTCATGCTCCAGAGCAGGCACCTGCACATGCTGCAGATGTTGTTGACGCATGTCATGCACATTGTACCTCTGAGTATTCGCAGCAGCAATCAGCACTTCAGCCAGCTGCTCGATCCGCCATCCTCCGGGTCCGATACCATGTCCTCCTGCCGCAGCCGCCACAGACGATGATGATGAGGCGAGCGCAGTTGCGCTCCCATTGACAATGCTACTGGCGCTGACACTTGTGCCAACTGCAGCAGCTCCTACTGCAGATGATGTAGCGAAGGAAACGCCAGCTCCAGCACTCCCACCCGTGCTCCCCAGGCGGTTTGCAGAAGCCACGCTCGGAGGCGGTACGCTGTCGACGAGGCTCTGAGTGATGAGAACGAGATGGTCGATAAAATTGGACGGAAGCTGGCCATCCAGCGGTAGGGGCGAGGAGGTGGTCCGGTACATGCTTGCTCCCCCTTTCGCCGACGATGCAATGCTGTGTGGTGAGAGGGAATTAGGATCGCGCGACGCGAGGCTGTCACCGGCGCCGCCCGCTGCCGAGCACGACTGCGCCATAGCTGCCGTCATGTTACTACGCAGTAAAGGCAGTCGCAAAAGCAAATTAGGAACAACCTGCTATGAAGCGGCACGTTGAGCGCCACCTTTTAGCTCTGAGGCTTTTGAGGCGGTTGGTTCCGTTGTGATTTCGGACGGCAAGTTCAACGGCAGATCGACGAGATTAGGTTCAAATAGCGCGTCGGTTCCAAATAATGCAGGAAATCCGGATGCAGGGGAGCGAAGATGCCGCTCAGTAAAAGCTGCCAAGTGTAAAGAATTGAAAAGCGAGTCGTCAGCGAAGTAAACGTCTGGAATTGCTAAGCAGGACGCAGGGCATGAACTAGCATGACGTGCAGTCAGCGACATCACTAGTCCCACCCTTTGGATCCAGCCTGTGCACTCACCTGCTGCGTCACAATGTAGAGCAAAGAGATGGTCGGCAGAAGGTCTTCTCTGAGCTTTGTGTTGTAGAGGAATTGCTTGCTTGGACGAGGGGCATGCGAGGCGTGGCCAGGCCAGCGGGTAGATGGATGATAATGAAATGTTGGAGACGTGTATCTCTTAGGCCAAAGGTTTTCTTTTCCCAACTGCAGCTCCGAAAGCAGGAAAGTCTAGACTCGGCGCGACATCAATATATATATGGACTTCGTTTGCGTTACGTCTTGTCGGTGCTGAGCGATGATTTCATCTCCCCTTTCGCCTGCGCGTCAGTGTGAGCGGGACCCAGCCAGGCGGAAAGGGCGCGACAGTGGGATACCCTTTCGTGTTGGGAACTGAGCTGAGGAAGCAGATAGGGAGATGCAAAAGCAACTACTTTGGTCGTCCCTGCCTGCTATGTATCCGTCTCTGCGGCCGTCAATAGCGCCGGGCCAGTGAGGCAAAGCTGGCTGGTTCGCTCTGTTCTGATGGAGCCTGGGTGGGGAACGGCTTGAGGGAACGCGCGAGGTTGCTTCACCAACAGAGCCGAGAGGCGGCACTCGACATTGGGTCTGGGGTTTCTTGCTGGCGGATCTTCGTCGAGTCTGTGCTCGTACCACGCTCTCCTTACTTAGCGCTATACCGCTGTACGCACTGCCATTTGTCCATCGCCTCGAGATACAAGGTGCAACAAAAACAACGATGGATGTCCACTGTCCAGTAAGCACAGGATAGAGGCAACCACGAGAACTGGCGAGTGGCGAGAGTGCTCGCGGCGCAGAGACGAGAGGAGATTGCCACGCGCGAGGGCACAAGCACAGTCACATTCACAGTCACACCACTCTCCCAAAAGGACAGAGCCGAAAAACACCAGGCCACTACGCGCAGCTGTCCATCTGTCCGTCTCGATGCATTTTTCTTTTGTTCTCGTACATACAATATTTTGGACTTAGTGACGAGCTCGTGCCGTATACTGCCTCGTGCCCTCGTGTTAAGACGTATGCATATGTGCTACGGTCACGTACGTACGTACGTACATACGCACTTCTCCCTCGCGAGCGCGCCCATTTTCCTCGCCTGCTTGTGAACAACGCGAGCTGTGGTCTGGCAAGCACTCAGTTGGCGAAGCAGCATATGGAGGTGTCCTGATACTCCTGTCCGTGGATGTATTAATCAACGTTGCAAGCCGCAAGACGATGAGAGTACATATGAAGATACTATGTCTTCTTGCATCGCTCCTGATCACAGGACTGGAACGAGAAGCATCGATGATCGAAAGCCCAGGGGGGCAAAACACCCAGACGCGAATGAGGCGACGGCGTTGCCTGCTGTCAGTTGTGGGCGCTCGACGCAGCGACGCCGCCAGCAATGCAGAAATTGAGGAACGCACTAGCGTGGGACGTGCAGCGGTGGAGAATCAGACAACAGCGACTGGCATTTGCGCCAGGCTACTGGCAGGCCGGCAGCCGGCAGCCACGACACAGGTCCCAGGCGACTGGTGAGGCAACTGTCAAGTCTCAACCCTACTTACTCACTGCGTGGTAAGCAGCCTGCCGGCCTCGAAGGCTCTCTGTAGAAGCTTGTCACAGGAGCAGGTGGCGGCGGCAGCGCGTGAGCAGGTCGGAACTCAGTTGGCTCATCATTACTGAGCATGTCAGGTCCTGTCTGGGTCTCTTGGAGAGAATGGTGTTGAAGGTCAACGACGCAAGTTGCGACAGGCGTGCTTGGATCTACAACGTAAAGAGGAAAGAATAGAAACACTTCCTATGGTATCTGATACCGAGCAAAGTTGGCCTCAAATGCCTTGCCTTTGATCCATGTCACCAACTATTGTTGTGCACACGCTATACTTCCGATTGAAACATAACTTCGTCACCACTACTCACCAGTGACCAGTCATCAGATCCCACAGGCGCCCCACCAGATCGATGCTATCCACATAGCAAAGATCGAGGAGTTGTTGCCCTAGGACAATCTACTAGATGTATTCCTGATCCATATCGGGGTAAGGATCAAACTGCTGTTGCTGTTGCTGCTGTCGCTCCTGCTGTTGCAACGCGGCTCTGCTGCTTATGCCATTGCTTCGGAGACGGGGTTGCCATTTTCGAGCCTTTGCCTCTTAGTGGCGCTTGCGCTGTGTCTGCGCTTGTTGAGTAACAGCAGTTTGCCTCCTTGCCTTCCGGTTCATCGGTGCGGCATGTGAAGCGATGGGGAGCGGAGGGGTTGGCGAATGCGGCTCCGGCCTTGCCGCAGACCCGGACGTTGAAATGATCTTTGTGTAGACGCTTGGCGGAGGAGATGCTCCGTTCTTTCTATAAGGAGACTACGGCTGATGGTGGACGTGGGCGAGGAGCAGAACCTCCAATTCCGCGCCCTTCAAGCCCGCCTGCTTCACCGGCTTCGATATTATGTATTTGGTTCTTGGAGTCGAGCACCTGAACAAGGCATTTCTGCCACTTCCGTCATAACTGTACCTTCTGCAATGTCTGTCCGGGCGCCTCCCACAAAGTGGTCAAAGACACATCGAAATTAATTAAGTCTTCCTCTTCTGCCAGCAGCATTATTGTGACTGACAGTGTGGGTTGCACCTCTGCTTGGCGCCTTGCATCGGTCACTGCATTGGCAGCGCTTAGCCTATAAGGGATTAAAGGTTTGAACCTTTCGAGACGTTCGATTAACTTTGCCATGCGACGCGCAGGCTCCCACTGGAATCGGATATACTGCAACGACTCATGATCTGTTCTGGCCACAATAAGGAATCCCTCATCGAGTCCGCTGAAGCTCTCCAGATCTTCGACGATAGCACGCGCTGTCACAAACTTGTGCGCTGCACTTCCGCTGTGTGGCAATTAGCTTCCGCGTAAAGATACGACCGGTCGCAATTTATTGATGGCTCGATGCTGCTCTCTGATCGAAGCCGAACTTCACATCACCAGATTCCACATCGTTCGCCACCTCACATTCACAGGACACGCATCTCTCAGAGCACATCAACCCATGAAGGGGTAGCACGCACGACGCCATCATATCTACCTGTTGTGAGCCCATGAGCGATGTACATGATATCAATGCAATATAAGGTGGTTCGCATCAGCGCTCCGCAAGCTTGATCCTCTTCGTTGTAGGCGCAGGCTCCTGCTCGTCCTCGTCCGCTCCGTCGGGTCCCCCTTCACTGCCGATAGTCTCCATCTGCAAAAATTCATCCTCCTGATCCTCTGCATCGTCACTACCGTGCGCTCCGTCGGCGTCTTCTGCACGCTCTTCATTGCCATCGCCGTCGTTGCCGGAGGCTCTTTCCACGGTCATCAAAGGAAAATGCCTGCTGTCCAGCACCAACGCCGTTACCGGTGCCGCTTGTGAGAACGCGTGCGCGTACAGACGCGCCTCTTTGAGCCGCTGCAAACTGTGTCCGACGGCTATAGCTTCCCCCTTTCCTTGATCGCTATTATTGACTGTAGTGTGGACAACGTTGTAAGATGTCGCATGGTGCAGGCGCACCAGACGGTCCTGCGAGGCGGTTACAATCCGCTTCAAATGCTCGTGGCGCCCAATACCTGGCGCAGGAAGTGGAAGGATGGCATTCACTGTGCCAGTGATTCCTGAGCGTGACGTAGGGAACATACACATTTTTGTCAGCAGCAAGGCCAGCCCATAGCCAGCAGAAACGCAGGTTTCCGATGCTGTTTCTTACCTTTCAACTGGCCAAGCACTCTGCTTTTGAGCCAATCAACAGCATACACCCTCTTGCTAGTGTCAGCGACGTACGCGACAAGCTGCCCCCCCTGCCTGCGACTAGCAGCTGCATCGCTGCTGACGACAGCAAGCGCCTTGATCGCAAGCCCTTCGTTCTGCCCTTTTGGAACAAGCTTGACCTCCGCCTTCTGCTTTCTGACGCCACTGCCAGGTTCGAACAGTCTCAGCAACCCATCGCGCGTACCGGCAAGTACCCAGCAGCCCGTTGGCACTCCGTTCTGACCGGTGCTGCTGTCATCATCAGTTTCATTACCGTTGCTGCCAGCGTGTGCCGTGCTGGTCGAAGCGGATGGAAAAGCGAACGCGAGAGCAGTAATGTTAGGTCGCTGGGGAAGTGACAAGGCGTCATTTGGCAACTGTAGAAAGGTAATGAAGCTAGGAGTGAGCGTTGGGGTTACACGCTGTACTAGGGCGCGCAGTCAGATCACTCACGTTCTTAGCTCTGAACACTTCGCCGTGCAATAGCTCCTTGGCTTTGGACCTTGCTTGTGCTTGTCGCTTGCGCTTGCGCTCCTTTGCAGTCATTTGCGCGGCATTCTCGTTTGCTACCGCCGGTGTCGCTGCACCACCCGCTGTTTCTGTTCCGTTGTTCACTGGCGACTCTTCTGTTGGTTGGGACAGAGCCATTTTCACGTTCCATACGGAGAGCGGGACCTCTTCGCCACCGTATGCAAAGTGCGTGGGATTCTGAGCAGGGTGGAATGCGCAATCTTGCAACGGGCTGGGAAAGTTGAGCTCTGTAGACTCGGCGACCTCCAGAGATGTAGAGTCGGACACTGCTCGAAGAAAGGTCGCACGGAATGCGCCTGCTGATGTGCAGCTGTACACGGCACCTTGACCGACGGCCATGCCGACCCAGCGCTCCATCCCCGGCCGCATACGCGTCTCGCGAATGGAAGCAAGCAAGCGACCGCGCTGTACGCTCGTGCTTGAGCTGCTGCCTTGCTGTTGTTCGTCGAGTCCAATGACGTCCACCGTACCATCTCGCCGCCCTACAGCAATCTGAGAAGGTCATGCGTGCAAGGAAATGTTCATGTTGGTTAGATGAGCTGCTCTTGCACAGTAAGAATGCCACGTAGCTTGCTTACCACCCAAGAATCGTCATTGAGGCGTCCTTGCGCAAGCCTTTGAACAGCACGACCCGACCCCGAAGACGAAGGGTCTGCCTCGGCACGATCTATGCGAATAGTGTCAAACTGCACGCTGAGCGCTTCTTCCGATTTCACCGGTCCCGGAAAAGAGGAGCAGGGAAACCGCAGAGAATGCAGTGAGCCAGCTTCATCGGCCGCGATGACCTGGTAGCAAGTCACGTTGCTCGAGCCTTCGTCTAGGTGCGAGGAGACGCTCATATCCGTATCCATTTTGCCCTTTTCCGCTGTCGCTGCCGATGAATGGATGCACAGCGTGGCGCAGAGTCAGATGGGGGCGTCCCAGGAGAGTGCGTTGAGGGTGTGGTCGATCGAATACTCTTTTAGGAGATGCTTTCGAAAGTGAGCCTTCTATCAAGCAGCCCTGTTCAACAGCTTTTGCATGGCTTCGCTAGATTCTCAAAATTGGAGTGCGAGCCATGAACAATAGCGTGTGCACACCAAAAATTTTGAATTTTCGGCCGAGAACATACATCCTCGAAGTCGCAGAGCGAGAATCACGTGATCCATCTCGGCGATCGAACCGTGGTCGGGAATGCAGACTGGCTGCCCGCGGCCAGCCTGTGGTCAGCTGAGAACTAAAGCGGGAGCAAATGCTTGCCACGATGATAACGTGCGGTTGTATGCAGTTTAACCCGCTCCACGTCTCAACAGGGAACTCATACGAGTCTTCTGGAGCTCCTGGACTTGGCAACCAGAAGCAAACCATAAAGGTGTGAGTACTTCAGCTGCTGGCGCCGAGGCCGGGCATGCCTTGATTCGCTGAATAGTGTACATGTGTCCTAGCGATAGAGGAGAAAGGCAAACGCACAAACATGAGCGCCTCCTCCCCGCCAGATGCGGGCCCAGACCCCGCAACGCACGATGCTGTCGACAGCGCTACGACCACATCGGAGCCATCGGCATCGGTACCCGCACCCGCACATGCAGGGAGTCCAGCAGAAGTCCAGACCGAGGTCGTGAATGCTGTCGAGGAGTCGAAGCATGTTTCCGCCGCGACAGCAGCCGTGCTCGAAGCGGAACCAGAAGCTCAAACGAATGGATTCTCACCGACAGCAGATGGGGGAAATGAAGGGTTCAAGGCATTGCCATGCTCTATTATTGCATCTGAACTAGCAGCGCCAGCCCAGGAAGATCGTCCGGCAGACAGCCAAGATACGCTTAGTGCTGCATCGGAGGATACGCCTGCGCCCGTTCCCTTCTCAGCAGTCCCCGAGCATGAGCCGCAATCGGAACCTGCACAAGCTACAGAAGCACAAGACCTCGCATCGACTGCGGAGGAGGAAGCTGCAGCGCAAGCGGATCCAGAAAGCGCAGAAAAAAGCGTAGATGCAGCAAAAGTATCCTTGCTGCCAGCGGAAGCAGAAGCGGCGCCTGCACCGACAAAGCCGGCTGTGGGCCATAAGGCTGCGCAACTCAGCGTCGCAAATGCTGCCAGTCTCTTCGGGGATGATTCATTCAATCTCAGCGGCTTTGGTGGTCCAGAGACGGTGCCGGAGGAAGAATCGCAGCCTGGAAAAGATGTCTTTGGCACCGTGCCTGCCTTCGATATTGGCGACGCAGACCCGTACACAGGTCAACAACAGTTGCAGCACCAGCGATCTCTCGACCTGTTCACAGCGATACTGCCTGCTGCAACTTCGCAAGCCCAAAATTTGGCCGCATTGCAGCCGCCAGTATCAACAGCCGGAGGCGATCACATCTCCTCGCCAACGGGGCTGTTCGGGAGCTCGGGGGAGGCGGACGACTGGTTGAATGCTAGCGGCGTTGGAGCTGGAGAGCTGGCAGCAACAGGCCAAGAAGCTGGCTACGACGCTCAACACTACGAAGGGCAAGGCGAATACACAGCGGGTGAAGGAGCGTCACAGATACAGCAGTACGACCCTTATGGGGGGCAACAGGTTTCCGATTATGGCCAGTGGTACGCGCAGGAAGGGCAACAGCAGAGGGAACAAGGGGTTTACTATGGTGACGGTCAAAGTTCAACAGAAATGGACGCGGGCATGGGCTACTACGAGCAAGGGCAGACCTACGACTACAGTGATCAGCAGCAGAATGGTGGAGCCTATGATCCAAATGGCGGCTATGGTGCACCCTACGAGCCTGCATATCCGAACGCTTTGGCCGCTTACGGTGCACCTGTAGCGGCTGCTGACCCTTACGCGCCAGCTCCAGATGCCAGCACCACTGCTCCTGGCGACGCGTACGCACCAGATGCGGGTCGGCAATACGACCAGACTTTTGCTCAGCAGCTTGCGGATCCTTATGCTTCGTACGCAGCCCAGCTACCGGCGCAAACGACCAACATGCTGGCACCGCCACCTGCTACAGGTATCGCCGCTAGCCTGCCACCCCCTCTAATGGCTGGAACCACAGCGCTTTCGAAGGACGCGGGCAGCTATGCGTACGACGCGCCTATCCCGGACAAGCCTGTCAAAGGCCGGGGAGGCAGGCGCTCGGCTGCGCCCTCTTATTTTGGGGAAGTAGAGCCGCCGCAGCAGCTTGCTGTGAATGATTACTCTCAGCAAGGTTACTATATGCAAGACCCGCATGGACAAGCTCAAGAACAGATATATGAAGCGTATGGCCAAGGGCAGTCGGCGCATGAAGTGTACGGCCTTGACTCCCCTCATGTCAATGGAAAGCAAGCTGGGGCAGGTGACAAAGTCTACAACTACCAACAGCCCGCAGCTGAAGGGCAAACGTTCGACTACTGTCAGCAAGAAGGCGCTTATGTACAGCCGACCGCAGTGAATGATGCCTATGATCAATACCAGGCGTACAACGAAGGCCAGGGTCAACAATACCAAGATGGCTGTTCCCAACAAGATCAGTTCTTTCAAGCAGAGCACTCAGAGATTCAAGAGTGTGCGCAAGAGCAACAAGGTTACGCAGACCAAGGCGAGAATGCTGCACATGCCCCCTACCATTCCTATAGCCCTCAGGCCTACAATGATCCTGAGGGTGACAATGGCAGTGCAGGCGCTTTCAACGGTGCTGAAGATCCGGAGGTTGGATTCGAGGCACCTCGTGCTTCGGTTGAAGGAGGCGAGAACGAAGCTGCAGATGCAACGCCAACGTTACATGCATCTACTGTGGACATGGCGCATCACCCGCCTGAAGGAGGGCCCATCGGGGCCGTCGCGCCGGAACTGCAGGTCGAGGGCGCTGCGCTCGCTCTTGGTGATCTGCACATCTCAGGAGCGACTGGCGGTCACCATGCAAAAGGGACGGATCGCGCTCCGACGCCCCCAAGGGCAACTGACATGCGACACCAGTCCTCCTGGGTCGGAAGCCTTGAGCAAGCAGCTGAGCAACACGACGGCATGCCGTATGCTGATCACACAGCTCAAGATCCCGCAGTTCGCGAGGAGCAATCGCCGAGGAGCGCTCACGCACCCACTACGAATGGAGAATACAATGAACGCACTCCTTCTGCAGCTGCAGGGCTCCCTGTGGATTTTCCTTCTAATGGTCCTCACTCGGATGGACCTGCGGCTCAAACTTCTTACGACCTGTATGCCCATGCTTCACATGGCCAAGACAATGGACAAGTCTACGATCCTTACACGCCATCTACACAGGCGAACGACCCCGTACAAAGCTTTGCCAACGATCCATATATTCTGGCGCCAACATCTCACGATCCTTACTCCTATGTTCCGACTGAAGTCAGGGACTCCGAAGGCGTTGCGCACAAGGAAGAGGGCGTCATCGCAAATGCTTACGAAGGCCAGCAGCTCTTCGATCCTTACTCACACGGAGTAAATGCCCCAAGCTATGGCTTCTCAGTTCCTACGGCGAACGAAACAGATCCGTCTCGTACAGTCCAGCACGGAAGGGACGTGAGCAACACTTATGCACCTTCAAGCCATGCGTCCAGTGAGGACCTGTATCCGCCACACCAGCCCACTTTGCAGTCACGAGCCGATGCCGAGTTTCCAGACCCAGCTGAAGAGCGGCAGAGAGCTCGCATCCCGCTTGTCGCCTTCGCTCTGGACGGAAAGATGGCCACATTCTTCCCTGGCAAGTCGAGGAAAGTAGCAACAATGGGCGGATACGCTGCTGCGTATGGCGGGGGAGTGGGTTCCGAGCAGGAAGTGACGATACGAGACTTATCCGATTTCGTCGCTTCCTCTTCATACGGATCCCTTTTCGACCCCCTCGAATTCAGTGGTCCTGCATTCGATGGTGCGGCCCCGGCCAGCGCGATTGCTCGTGCTACCGGCAGCTCCAGCGCACTGAAGGCGAAGAAAGCAGCCATGTTGAAATTCCTCCAGCAGCGCATACAGGAAGCTTCTTTGGGTATAGGATATTTGCGTCAGACCGGAGATGCCGCCGAGTGCTCCAACAGATCACCGGAGGAGGCGGAGGATCGAGTCTTCATGCTTCGCCTTCTAATCTTCCTGCTCGAGCACGATGGTGGTCAAGCCAATAGGTGAGTCATTCGTCTCGCATTACCTCACCAGCACAGACTGAATCTGTGCGACATCACTCTTCCAAGTGCGACATTTGAAAGCGCTGCTGTAGATCTATTCAGGGCTGTCTCGCATGAACGTCGACCAAAAGCGGACTCTGCTCGAGCTCCCTCTGAAACCTTAGTAGCTCAACCGCGCTTCCCCTCAATGGAACATATCCAGCAGCTGCTTATAGAGGGAAAGCGGAAGGAGGCCGTCGACCTTGCTGTACAGGGTCGCCTCTTTGCCCATGCATTGGTCATTGCCAGCTCGATGGACAAGGACACTTGGCGAGCCACCGTTGAGCAATTCATCTCGGACGAGGTCCGAGGGTCATCTGATGCGATCGATGGAACCGGCCTTTTCGGGCTGCAGGTCGCCTATAGTCATCTTGGGGGGCAAACTCCGTTAGCAAGTGAGTCATGCGTTGCAAGTGGTATACCTGGGAGTTTTGTCTGATTAGGTCTTCACTTGTGTAGTGAGAGATTTGTTTCACAGTGAATGCAACGCCTCTGCAGTACATTCGCACTGGCCAGTAGCGGTAGCCACGCTACTTGGCAACCGAATCACTGCAGATAACTCCAATCTGATTGCCGTGGGGGATGCACTTGCTATGAAAGGTCGCGTGGAAGCTGCACACTGCTGGTGAGTGTCCACGCTACATCGCCCTGCTGATTTCTTCCATGTGCTGACAGTCTTGCTGTTCTGCAATGTAGCTACCTAATGTCATCACCTGCGCAAGCCCTGGGTGGTGCAGACGCGACATCCTCGCGCATTGTTCTCCTTGGCTCTCGTAATCCCACTGCGGACCCCAGTTATCGCACCAATCTCGATTTCATCATCATGACCGAGATCCTGGAATTTGCGCTCGGGCTCGCACCGGTTTCCAAAGGCACTGAGCCTTTTACAGGCTTGCCACGCCTACAAGCCTTCAGACTCCTGCATGCGTATCAGCTGGCAGAGCTCGGCGAAAAGACCAGAGCGCAAAAGTATTGCGATGCAGTCGCAGGAGTGATAAAGGGCAGCAAGCCATCACCTTATCTTCATCGAATGCTGTTGACTCAGCTGAAGGAGCTGTCGGATCGTCTGACGGGTGCGCCGACCTTGGATGCTGGAGGGTCTTGGGTGGGTCGCAAGATGCCACGCGCTACCCTTGATGGAGTATGGGGAGCTTTGGAAGGCAGCTTCACCAAGTTCATTGCCGGTGAAGACGATACATCGGGCCAGAGGCCAGGCGGGCCTGGAGGCACAGGAAAGCCCACCATAGGGCCATTCTCCCATTACAGCGCGATCACACCCGACGCCACGTCTGGTGGGGTCTCGAGGGTGCAGTCGATGGCAGACTTTGGCGCTACTGCCGCACGGAGCCCTCCATCCTCGCGCGCCCCGTCAGCACTGGGTTTCTACTCAGGTAGAGCAGAATCACCTACACACCGCGCATCATCGGCTCTCAGCTCTCGCAAGGCTTCCAACGTCAACTCACGCCGTCTGGAACGCGATGCTTCCGAAGTCGGCTCTGACTACAACTACAATGGCAATGGCTCCCGAAGCTTTGCAACCGACGACGCGCCTTGGCCAGAAGTACCTGGGGTGTCCATGGGCAGGGAACCAGGTCATCTTGATACCTTCCCGTCTCATATCAATTCTTTCGAGCAAGACGCGGACATGAAGACGCCGCTAGCACTACAATTCCTCAGTACGGTCGACGAGTGTGGTCAGGATGGTTCATACCAGCCTCGAAGCCCTGCAGTCCCCACAGCAGCGCGGGAGGAGCCCACGTTGGCGTCAATGTCGGCCCCTTACGATGACGCAGAAGGGGACGACGATCTGGGGCTTGGGAACTCAAATGGTAAGAAATTGCAATCTGAGCAAGATGGAAAGGGGGAACTTCGTGTGCAAAGAGCTAGCGTCGAAAAGGAGAACGATGCGCCGAATGAGGAGGTAAAGCCTGGTGAGTCAGATTCAGAGTTCTTTCGTGGCGTTTTGCGGAAGTCTTACCACAAGGTTGATTTCAAATGTTTACAGGACTCAAGGCGTCTCCTTCAGGGAGCTGGCTGGGTCGGTGGTGGGGAAAGAAAGAAGATGCCCCTAAGGCAAAGAAAGCGCATTTGGGGGAAGAAAAATCATTCTATTACGATCCCGAGCTCAAACGCTGGGTCAACAAGAAGGTTTGTAATCGTTTGCACGCCTTTTCAGCTGAGATGATCTAATGCTTGAAAGGTTCACCCTTCTGTTCAGGCTGGCGATTCAGCAAGCAAACCTGCCACCCCGCCGCCACCACCTCGAAGCAAAGCCCCATCTCCAGCGAGTGCCTCCATGCCGGACAGCGATTCCAAGCGCAGCTCTTTCGAATCTGGGTCTGCTTCGGGTGGTCCCCCATCACCGGGACGAGCAGCTCCGCCTCCAAGAGCGCGATCGAATTTGGCAGATCCTTCGCAGCCAGCTGCTTCTCAGTCTCTACTGCGACCATCGTCAGCTGCTGCCGCGCCACCGGGTGTCGGCCCCCTGCCAGCGCCGGGCCCTGGCCCACCAAGAGGTACGGGCGCCGGAAAGAAGAAGCCAATCAAATCTCGCTATGTCGTTGTAGACTAGAGCATATCACATGCATTGCAGTCTGTTGACTGGCATACCATACAAAGGATTGACCTCCTGAGTAGTTGCTCCCCCGCTGTATTGCCGAAACAGGGCGTTCCCGGTCAGCCCGGAAACGGGACTGGCTTGCAAGATTCTTAAAAGACCTTGCTAGAGGAGCCAGGAAAAGGCAGTGCAAGTGATTGCTTCAGAGCTTGTGGCGCTCTGCATGCAAAGGGCGATGAGGCTTCACCAGCACTAGCTCCTGCTCAACAATCTCAGATTCCGGCTGCGCCATGCTATTGGGCATGCCGGGCTCCGACGTGCCCTGACCCCCGCTTAGAGGTTGGAAGCCGAGTCAATCGTCCGAGTCGTCGCTCATGAACTCATCCTCATCGTCCTCGTAAACTGCCATATCTTCGAATGCCACCTTGTAACGAAGCAGCCCGCCGATGCCGCCAAAGCCTTTAACGAATTGGTTGCCTTCTGTCGACCTGTCTGTGACGAACTCGAGGTTCGTGCCGAAGTCTTTGTAGTGCTCGGCAAGCCATTCAAGCAGTAGTTGAGGCTCATCAGCCTGCTCCATCTCTAATCCAGTGGCCTTGTCCATGAACTTTGACCTGTCCTTCTCCTCCTCCTTTGTCAACATCAAGATGTGAACGCCGCCTTCCGTGTCACGGAGTTGGTAGCGCACAACATCAAGGTTTTCCCAGACAATGAGGGTCTCAACAGCGCCCAACTCGAGTGCCTTAAAGGTGTCGCCAATGCCGAAACAGTACTTGCCAGTTTCTTGTGAGATCTCGTCGAAGTATTTTTGGATGAGCTTCTTCTCCTGAATGAACTTGACAGACTGCAATGACTCTGCTGCCTCTTCGATAGCCTGGTTGAAGCCGTTCTCTCCGCCGTAAGATACATCCACAGTGCGGATGAGCTTGGCGGCCAAACGGGGGTCAAAGAGATCAGACTGTGCAAGGACAGTCTTGAAGTCGGCTGAACCCGCCAACACAAGACCTGCGCAATTGCACTTGTTGTCCGTGATGAAATGCTGCGTTGCGAGCTCTGCTACCTTGCGGACATAGTTGTGACGAGCTTCCTCTCTGAGACGAGCGAAACGAAGGGCAGACTGACCACCCCGACCATGCTTCTTGGGCAAGTCGACCGAAAATTTGTGTAGCACAGTTCTAGTGTTACCTGACACCGTGCCATAGAGGGCGCCATTACCATCCATAATAATGAAACCGAAAGTGGCATCTGACTCAAGCAGCTCTGACAGTGCTTCCGTGTGGAACTTGTTATCGCAGAGATACAGCGATGTGTTGATTGGCTTGAAAGGCTCAAATGAAAAGTTGACCTTCTTTTCCTTGCCATCGTCTGTCAGGATCGTTCCGCAATACACGATCAGCCCGTTCGGAGGTACTATTAAAAGTACATGAACTAGCATTAGTCAAAGAAATTAAGCTCGTACCTAAAAGGCACGCACCTTTGTTGTAAAGCTTCAATCTTTGCTGCGTTGAAGTGATGGCAGACAGCACAGACTGACGGTTCACACGCGACTTGATGTTGGATGCAGTTCCGTATTCTTGAGTAAGCATGTTCGTTGCTTGTGAGATTTGGGACTGCAATGAGGGCCGAAGCATGGTCAGCCTTCACTCTGCAAAAACTTTCCAGAAACTCGCTCCCGCAAGTCGAAGTACACGCACTCGTGGCGGCAAAATGAGCGAGATCATCGACGTCCCCGCTCCTCGTGCCTTGTCCAAGCTCTGCACCAGCTTCTTCACCTTCCACATCTGCAGATGGAAGAGGGAAAGTGCCAAGGCTGAAGTCAGTAAAGTTCGCTACCCCCGTTGGCCGCCCGTAATCGCTGCCCACTTGAATGTTTGCCTCGGCAGCATCGTTCCCATTCGCCGCCGAAGCCATTTTGGTCGCAAGCTGTATTGATGAACTTTCGTAAGGCCTACGCGTACGTATGAGCTGCTTTCGGCCCTGTGCTGATGCTGATGACAAGGACAATAGCAAGTCCGAACAGGTTCGAAATGGATTGATAGTACAGCAACGTATATACTGCAAGTGATGGAAGACATGAGGGAAAATGTGTTCGTTGCCTGGGGTTGTTGATTTTCGGACCATAAGAAGTTGCTGCTTCATACCTTGACAAGCGCTTCGAACCTGTTCCGCTCCAATTTTCCAAAGACGACGCATTAACTTTGCGCCAGTTGCTTCAGGTCTTCTTCACGACTGGTCCATTTTGAAGTTCAACTGTACGGCATAGCATATAAGCCCGTTTTTCCACTTTGTCGAACGTGGGAACGGTGCCCAAGATCATCGGCTCAGTCTCAGTCATCATTTGATTCGCCAAATCCTACCCTTCATTGACTACACACATTTCCGGGTGCTCTGTAATTGCCTGCCTTTTCTTATTTCGGAAAATATGAAAGGACTGTATCATGGTAGACGGGGCTGGACAAGCACCCCTGTGTGACATGGCTACTCTACAGTGATCTCAACAATGTCTAAAAGAAAACAAACAAGGTACAAGACTGAAATAACAGGTCGAAAAAGAAGACTACGCCTCGACGAGCGAGCTGATCGTATAGCGCCCCGTAATGAGAAGAAAAAAAGGATATAATTATGACGAAATCTGGATTTTTCGAGGTACTACCAGAAGGCTCTGCCACAATGCTGGATAAAGTCGGACAATTTGAAAGAAATCCTTCATGAGCTTCGGGGACAAGAAAGTCGCAGAGCTGACCTCTGTTATGGTCTCGCCGATCAGCTTTATGTAGCAGCAAAGTGATAATCAGTCGACACTCATTGACAGAAAGAAGACTCTGATCAACAATGCAAATCACTCTGGTGAAGCAGCAGCAAGAGCATGGACAAGTGCACGCACAGTGCCAGCCAGACCTTTCCGGATTCTCGACGAGTTGCAGCGTACTCGCATAGATGGGACGGCGAGCCCCTGAAGGGCAGACGGAGAAGTGCACAAGCTTGATGACGATCCAGTGAATGGCCGACAATCGCATCTGCTGGCGCACCCGAGCATGTTCGTTCGATATAACTTGATGCAATTAGTTGGGCGAATGACTTTCGCATTTTGACGCATGAGCTGCCGCCATCGGAGTCATCGAACAACTATTCCAACATTCGTCACACCTTCAACCAATTTTTTTTACGATCGTTGAGCACTGTAATTTCGTCGTCGCAAAGCCATGCTTTGCGACGATGTCATATACTCTTGAAGACAACTATTTCAGCACGAAGAACTTATTTCCGAGTGGCGCAACGACACCGTACGTCGGACCCCTCGGCGTGTTCATCATAAACATCTTCCAATTTCTACTAAAAGACTGCACCCTAGAATTCCCGGAAGATTGCGGATATACCGGGCAGATCGGCGCGGCGGATTCACATGTCACCATGTCTCCCTTTTGGGCAGGCAGATGGGGGCTTCCAGAGAACCGAGTACCAGGAGCAGAGAGATCAGGTACGAGCCACGTTCTGGACAGAGGCTGTAGTGATTCATTGGCGACTAGATCCATTGAGGGAATGTGATGAAATGCATGTGACCTCTATTTATGCGATGCGAGAATGGCGTTGCCCACAAACAAGATATCCTGCGCATGTCAAACAAGGATACTGATTGATGGAAGCTGAATACGATCTGGGTTTGCCACACTTACCACTGCGGCCGCACGCTTCGGCCGTCGTTCCTAGTGACGACCGACGGTCGGCCGGTGACAGCATACGCCATGGTCGGTGCACAAACCTGGTGTGTAGCTGACTTACAGCCTTTCAGCGATACATGACAGGACGGATCAACCGATACCAAGACGCCGTGGGATCGAGGAGGATCGACTCAGGATGATAACTCACCGTGGAACGGTCTGGAAAACCGAATGGCACGACGACCTTGAAATATGTATGAATAAAAACGGGTTTCACATCATATCTGGACAAGCAAATCTCCTACCGCTGAACAAATGCTCAAAGGCTTCATAGGTGATGGTGTAAGCGAAGCTCAGATACTTATGAAAGATTTCAGTCTGTCAATCATTTGTTTCGCTGTATGGCTAGAAACAATGCGTCACATCAGGTGCGGAAGTCGTGCTAATGCCCATAAAAGTCAATGAAGGGACTCACTGGCCACTCTTGCTGATAGACCTCGTCAGCAAAACGTTCAACAACTGCGACCCTATGCACGGTTCTCCCCCTCGGAAAATGTTGGAGACGGGGTGGGGATCAGGGGAACTTTGAGGAAAAGGCGAGACAGTACCACTAGCCGATTGGTCAAGCTGGGTGTTGAAACTTGCACATGGTTTCCCAAGGCAACTTGATACGTGGAATTGATGGGTGTTCATTATGGGCAAGATAGAGGATTTGTGTTATAGGAAAGCATATGCGAACGAGAAGGGTCAGCTCCAATGGTCCGCCAAGGTGGAGGACCATGAATTGGATGAGGCTCAACTTTCTTGCTGCGGTTTAAAGACTTGCCTGAATAAATAGTGCATGTACTTAGCAATGTGAATCATTTTCGAGCATTAAGGCTTGAAGAAAGCAGATAAGTATCAGTTGTCGTGCCTTAAATGGCAGCAAGTAGTCACCTCTTGTTTCCTTGCAAGTGCCACGTCGACATGAAGCGTTGTCCGCGTTTGTAGCTTGGGAGTGTGCCCTGCACAGCGAGCCCTAGGAGGGGATAATTGCATTTGCACACGCTGTAAGTGATAGATGCAATGTACAATCGGAGCATAGATTGAATGCACAATGATGAGGGTCTCGTGAAGCAACTTCGCAAGTTCGTGCTTCGTCCTCGGAGAAGTGGGGCGTAGAGGGGCTCGAAGCCCTTGTCAAGGAATGAAGCAACAACTTTTGGTACAAAATCAACCTCCTTTGCCAGGTTTCCTTTGACGAACCTCTCGAACGTCTCTCCACACATAGCAAATCATATAACAAGAATTGCATCGAGCTTCTGGGTTCGTCCATCATCTTTTCTGTCGTTATTGTCCTTCACCAGCACTAGGCTCACATTTTGCCAATTGGAACAATCTTTTGCAGGTGTTGAGGGCCTGTATGCTGTGCATTTTAGCTGGCGCATGCGACAAGAGTTGAATATCTTATCAGCGTGACGATTGGCTTGCCATCCCGCGGCGCATTTTTGCTTGCGAGGTGGTCTGCGTAGCAGGCAAGGACGAATGTGTGGAGCTTGGCGGCTGGAGCGCTCAAGGTGCTATATGAATGCGAGCTTGATCAAGATCAGAAGTGCCACGCAAGGTGCGAGATGCAAATGATGCGATGAGCTATCGATTGCTATCAATCGACGTATACAGAAAGTTGCGGAGCTGCATGATTCACCAGTGGGGCTATCGGAGAAATAGTAGATGATTTCATCAGGGATTCCTTCAGGGACCCCGTTAGCTGTCATCCGTAACGTTGATAGAAGAGCACCCACGCACTGAGACGCAAGGATGATATTGATCCTCTTGTCTGGCGGCCCGGAAGGCTTCTGTGTGCCGATTCCTTGGCTACTCTCCAACCAAGAAAATGAAACTACCTCTCTGTCTGGTCGCAATGGGCAAGATCTCGTATTTGAGCGCGTCCATTTCTGAAAGTGTTCAACATCGGGGCCATCAGTTAGATGGAGATCCAATTCGATTTGATTTGCACTCACGTGTGAAGAAACCACTCCGAATGAACGGGGAGCAGACTGTTGCCATAAATGCCAGCAAAGTCTCCATCAGCGCAGAACACGCAGGCAACAACGATGCCGAATTCTCTCAACTCACAAAGGGGACTGACGGAGAGCAAGAATGCATGCAGCATAATGACTGCGAGCCAGGTAGGGATCTTGGTGTTCGTCTCAGGATAAGTTCGTTTGAACCAGGTGGAGAGCACACTAAAAGGATATGCAAATCGAGTCAACCGCAGGAAAGCACGGGGCTGAGGACCGGAGTTTGGAGCTCACGTGGCGAATCCATTGGCGAGGAAAAAGAAGAACTGTGTGGCGAACACGAAAAATCAGCTTCCAGTTCTTGAATATTGGAATGTGTGCACCTACATTCTCTCCATTAGCGAAACCAAGGGTGAAATAGGTAATGTGCTCGTGGAAAATACCCTTCAAAGCGCGGAGATGGCGTATCAGCCAGGGAAGCGCATGCTTTCGCGCGCTCAGCGCATAGACGCACGCTCATGGCAAACGTTGCAATAGCCGCCATGGCCTTTGGCATGAACGGCGAACGAGACTTGCTGGACGCCTGCAGCTTGCCTTGGGCTGTGTCGCCGTCGCCGTCGCCGTTGCCGTTCGCAGGAGTCATGGGCTTGAGACCGGAGCGCGAGCGGCTTCCACGTTTCTCATTCTCGTCATCCGTCTTACCCTCTCCATCAGTCTCCGAGAGGTGGTCAAGGTGATCTCGTGTTTTGAGTGCGATGAGACGTGCTCCATCCTGCGTCAGCGCCGATCCCTTCCACCGCTTGTTCTGTCCCCCTTTGAACACCACCCGGTGAAGAACCGTTGCGATTGCTCTGTTCCAATGACTCCACCACTTGCAGCGAAGGTTGCAACCGCAGCTTGAGGTCAATCTGGACACTCCTACAGAAGACATTGATCGCGAGGGGGACTCACCAAGCGGATGTTGGTTGTCCCCAGTGGGTTCTCACTGTGTAGAGTCAGACACCCATTAAGCCTAGGAATTAAGTCGGAAGTGCTTCTGAAGCCTGCTCACAACATGTTTGCCATCTCGACACCAAGAATAATTCCGAGTCCTTTCAGCAGGCCATCCCCAAACAATGCAAGCGCCATCAAAATCTACATCTCAGGGAATCGCTTCGGTGAGTATTGAAGTTAGCAGCCTATAGGCGCCGCGCACTCACATCAAGGCCGAGGATATCGCAGTAGATGTGATACTTGAGACGACTCATGCCAATCGTGTACTCGTACGGTGGGATAAAATAAAGTAGAAAGAACATCACTGCGGAGGGATGGGTTGTCATGACAGAGTTGGTGATATTTATCCATGCGACCCTCACTAAAGAACTCAACTATCCCAGAACCGTCAATTCATGGGATTAGTGTCATTTTCTTCATCGGTACAAACCCAGCGCCGAAAAGGACATACCAATGACGGTTGGCATTCCTTTGAGGTTCTCCAAGCGAGGATTGCGCTTGCGGCCTTCAATTCGCTCGCGTTCTGCGATGACTTCCTCCTCCTTGGGGAATGCCCATAGATGCGCAAGAAAGCGAGGGAAACTCCAGCTTTCAACCTCTTCGCGTGTTCGAATGATAAAAATATCCCATGTCCTGTTTCGAGAGGCATCAGCGTCAGCACGCTGTGATGGCAGCTTCGGAGAGTATCGCTCACAGCAGAGATGTTCTGAAGCCGAGAGCTGGCCGCCAAAAGTCGAGGAGCATCACTGCAGCAGAGTGCTGATGAGCAAAGGCGGGTCATGCGCAATTGCAGAGCATGAACGAACTCACCGCCTGACATGCCCGTGACCAGCGGCCAGGCCATGAAGGTGGTAATGAGGCCGCCGACAGTTCCATACTTGATCAGGGGCGAATTGTGCTGATTTACGTGGTACATAAAGTAGGTAATGGTGGTGGTGACAATGATGAAAATGAGCATGCGAACCGCGATGATGGCCGCCATGTGGAGGGGATAAGGGTCGAGGTCGTAGGTGACGACTTTGAATCCCCATCGCTTGGCGAAGTCGATAATGGGATCTGATTTCAAAAGTTCGAGTCCAAAGACAGAATAGGCCGGCTTGTACGGCGTGAGGATGTCTGCCACTTTTTCACCTAGCTGACCAAAAGACATGTCGATTGAATCAGCCATGATGACTTGAGATGTGTTGTGCACTGCCAACAATGTCATGCAATCTGTTGCCTTCTTTCAGCAATGCTGGTTGATGACACGGTTGGGGTGGATGTCAGCAAAGAAGGGGAAGCGGGGATGTAGGTTTGGCTTGGCTTGGTTCCTTGCCTTTCCAACCGATTTACCTGGAAAAGCGTACTGCCCAGCTGATGGTCGATCCGGCAGCGTGTCCGGCGAAGATCAACAACAGGTTCACCTTTGTTCTTCACACGCAAGGAGCATTACAGGGATGGTTGTCAGGTCGACAAAGAAGAGTGCTTTGTCATATATTCGTCAGCTGACCTCTCAGCACCATCACACCTTTTTAAGGCCAATATGGACCTTCAATGTTTCCCGATGTTATTAATATGTCAAATGCGAAAGGAGCTCGATAGGCATCCGAGGTTGATATGACTTCTTCTACAGGATACATACTGATTTCTTTACTCATTCATTGGCAATGGCGAACTGCTGCCCCGCTTCCTCGCTCTTTCTTTGTCTTCCCTCAGACGGGATTCGCCGTTGCCTGCTGCACTCGTTTTAGAGTGTCAGAGACTTCATCAGAGCATCTTCGTCCCATTCACACTCTTTTTGTGGGGCCAGGAATTGTGTCACATGGTCCATCCATCCGGCTTGCCTTTCCGATCACATCTCTCATTTTACTCTGTAATCTCCAAAGCCCAGAGTCTCGAGAGAGGTCTCAGATGTCAGAGAAGAGACCCGGCACTACGAGACACTGTGGCCCGACCCGCCCCGAGCCGCTACCCCACAACTCGGAAACAGTCACAATTGCCATCGCCCTTAGTCCCGAGTTCCGCAGCTTGAAGTACTTCAGCAGAGCCCTATTTTAGCTCTATATCTCATTGTGTGTTGGTACCGTTTCTGCGCCCACATTACGTACGTGTTGCTCGGCTCTTATGTTAGGAGCACGCTGTGTATGCAATATTAGACTTCTCCTTCAAGCGAGGCCTCGATTGATACGCTACGCACCGGGTGCTGCGTGATCATGCCGGCAGATGACCTTTACGCTGTTCCTTCAGGTGGCAGCTTGAAATTCAAGGGCTCACCGAGCAAAAAGTAAGCCTTTTGGGAGCGCGACGGCCTACCCTTGCCTCGGCCTAACCCTTGTCTTTTGATGCATATGGCAGGAAGAAAAAATCAAAGTCGTCTACAAGCAAATCTGCTCGTGAGGGACCGTGGAAGACCAGCAGCGCGACGCTGAAGTCAAAGGGAAAACAGGCGGCAAATGATGAGGACGCCAATGAGGTGGATCTGGAGCCAGTCGACGAACAAGACCACGGCTCTTCTTCCTCATGGCCAACGATGACTGAAGCAGAGCGCAGGTTTGAGGAAATTCAGAGGAAAAGGGTGTGTGCCAATGATCATGCAAGATCCTATATCTGTTGACTCATTCTTCTCATTCTATCTGCGGTCGCCTTCATAGATGGCCGACAAGGTTTCAAAGGAAGCGCGAAAGTCTCACAAGGAACGCGTCGATCAATTCAACGGGCATCTGGCTTCTTTGACAGAGCATTTTGATCTTCCCAAGGTGAGCGGATTGCGTGGCACCACCCCTCGCAGCGTCGCAATGTTCATTGACCCTGTGGAATTCTTTCACCATGTATCATCAGGTCGGACCCGGCTAGATTGTCTTGCGCGAGGCCTTCTCCCCCGCTGCCGCCCCATTTGTCCGCACCGTTTGTCCATTTATTTTCATTATACCTGTACTGAGCATAAGCTGTAACTCAGGGCAAAGATTATCAATTGGGCACCGGTGCAGCCTCCTGAAGCCGAAGAGCGACGTACACTCGATTGTAAACAAACTCTGTTCATGGTATGCTCATCATCTTGCCTCCTTTCCGCGACTCTGAGAGCGGTCGTCGCCAGTCTGCACCTCGTTGCTGACTGCCGGTGAACCACAGTGGTGCTGTCTCGTTCTCGGCTTCATACCCATTACCCAAAGCTGACAGGTCGGCAGCGGCATCTGGCAACGCGACTTGCGTAATGCACACCCATATACATATACGTCTGTCCTATTCTCACATTGGCGTGATGTACTTGCTCGCACATGCTAGAAGACATGACACGCGGGTATACTGACTTGATGGTAAGGGCTATTTTACTTGAATCACGCGAAGCGTCGGTGTGTTTGTTATTAGAGATATCTAGGATGCAGTTGAGTGAGACCAAAACACTGTGGCTGGAGCGCAGTCTTGAGAAAAGTAGATAAAATGAAGCCAGCTTTTGTCCTTTCGACTTGACCTCGCATCTTTGATATCCTGCTCTTCTGTTGAAGAGGCTCTCATTCGCCTGCCATACTACAGACCTGCGCAACACCGAACAGCAGAGTCGCAAAATGTCGAAGCCAGTGGAAGCGCTGGGCCTTGCACGGCAGCGTATCGATCAATTACATCGAGAGGATCCGGCATTCGTACGAGGAGCAGGCGCCGATCCTACTGAGGCAGCAGTGAGAGCGCAAGATGAATTAGCATATGCCGATGCGATGGAGGCATGGGCATTGAAGTTGCTAGATCTTCACCGCGCCTCAGACGACCCGGTATCTCGAGAACTTGTGAGGCAAGAGCACCTCGTCCGCGTCGCTGCCAGATGTCAGCATCTGGAGCGCTTCAAGACGCCCCGCTCCACCTATCCGGATGGCAAAGCCGGCTACTTCAAGTGGCGTAGAGAATTGTACGTCAAGCAGGCTGACAAGGCAAAGGAGATCCTACAAGCTTCTGGTGTTCCAACTGAGGACGCTGATAAGGTACACAAGTGGGTGCGCAAGGGCGAGCTCAATGTGGGAAGGGACGATGGAGATGCGGGTAGGTGTCATATTCATTCAGAACAAAGCCGCTGTGAGACCTAAAGAATATATTATTTGTGCGTCACATTGACTGTACCTCGCAGGGACGCAACTCCTTGAGGACGCCGCAGTGTTGGTCTTTCTGGAGAAGGAGGTGGCGGCTTTCGCCAAGAAGCACGAAGAGTATTCTGAAGAGAAATGGGTGGATATCTTGAGGAAGTGAGTCTCACCCTATCCCGTTTAACTCATAGGCATCGGCCCTGACAACAGCATGGTCATTTTTCGTTGCGCAGAACTCTACGCAAGACATCGAAGATTGGAGCTGCCGCCGCAATGCAATTGCCCATGGCACCCGACTTTCGCAAGCTTGTCGATCTCTCCTTGGTTAAAGCGGAGGACACGAAGTGAGCGTCATCATGTTAATAAGCATGTTTACAAAGCCCTTTCTGTGCTTGTATTTATGTTGTTTGCACACACCCGTTGCTCAATCCCGCTCGAGGTAGGGAGTGTGAAGAGGTGGTCTTAGCACCAAGGCAGAATTCGCGACCCAAGACGCTTCAAGAAGCACAGGAACACTTGGCTAACGGATCAAGCGGCACAGATGCCATCTTCGGTACCCGTCTTCTGCAGCAGCAAGACTCGGACAACGCGGTCTGGGAGCACAACGCTTGGGATCATGTTGAGCCTCCAGGAGACTTTCTCAATGAGGTGCAAGAGCGCCTTGCCGCACAAGAACGCGCTAAAGTACCCAAGGCACAGGCTGGTGAGTTGTGACAATAAGAGTTTAGATTATTGCACTTTGTTTACGCGACCTGCTTTATATCACGTTAGAAATGTATCACCGCGATCCTGCCTCTTTCTGGAATTCTTTTTACGCTGCACATCAACAAAACTTTTTCAAGAATCGGAAATGGCTCAAGTCGGAATTTTCGGAATTGGCAGACGTATTGCACATAGACGTGAGTGATTGCGTAGAGAAGGGGCGATTCGGCTGCTGATGTGCTACCTGTTCCTTCAGGCCGGCCCAAAGACCGTGGTGGAAATCGGCTGTGGTGCAGGGGACACTCTTCTACCTTTACTGCACGATAATCAGAATCCGGGGCTATCCCTGTATGGCTTCGATTAGTGGGTCAATGGGCAGTAGTGCAGCATCTTCTGTCAATCTCACACTCGTTGCTTCATACGCTACGCCAGTTCTACAGAAGCTGTTCGCGTGGTCCGAGTGAGAGCTGACTCTCAATACACTTGAAAAGCGCACACACTGACGCTTTTGCTCTCAGGAATCTTCAATATACCAGCAACCTAAGTGCGGGCGGTGCGTCGCGGACGTGTGGGACCTATCGGCACAAGATGCCCAGGACGATTCTCGACCCAGCCTGCCGCCGGGCGTCTTACCTGGCACGGTCGACGTTGTCGTCATGATCTTCGTTTTGTCCGCTCTGAATCCTACAGAGTGGTTAGCCGCAGCAAGAAATATTGTGGAAATGCTCAAACCTGGCGGAAAACTTCTTTTCCGTGATTACGGTCGATACGATCTACCTCAATTACGCTTCAAGGACAATCGGCTGCTGAAGGAAAATTTTTACGGTGAGTCCACGACAAGAGTAAGGTTTTGCAATTGGTTATCGAATGACTGAGGAATCTCCTCCAGTGCGCGGTGATGGCACAAGAGGTGAGCGCACTGCATGAGATCTTTAAACTTGAAACTGAATCCATCCTCTCCCCCCCCCCCCGGGTCGCTTGCACGGCCGGAAGTGTACTTCTTTGACAAGTCGGAAATTGTCCGCATTTTCTCTGCTGCACCATTAAAAGATGGTCCCTCCCAGAGTGATGTGGCCGATCAGAGCGAGATCTTGTTCGATACCCTTCAGCTCGTAGAAGATCGACGCATGCTGGTTAATCGAAAACAAAAGAAACGCATGTACCGAGTATGGCTTCAAGCGAAATTGCAACGGCGGTGAGGTAATTACGCCTCCAAGCTCTACATTCGCCCTTGCTCCCGCGCCAAAATGTCGCCTTGCACAAGAATGCAAGGACCGCCCACAATGACCCGGTCTTGAGTTGCTTGATCTTGACTCCGCAACCAATCTAAAAACTCAGGGCTTTCGGCCCCGGGCTGAATGGTGCAAGGGACGTCAGCCGATAGTTTGGGCTGACGCGAACTCTGTCAGATCGCTGACCTGTAGCCAGACTGTCGGGAAATGGTACTCTTGCAGTGCTTTCTGTACTATCGGCAAAGTCACTTTGGGTGGAGTAATGAGGCTTAGTGAGGTGCGCGTGGGCGAGGGAAGCTCCCCAACCTCCTTGACAGTAGCCAGGCTCTCAATCTCGGCTTCTTTGGGATGGACCGGTGTGACTTGCAGGCCTGCGGAAGTGTGACAAGTCAGCATTTCTCGGGGAGGCCTTGTTGCATGCGCACCTCTAGCTATGTACCACTTGAGTACCTAATAGGAAGAGACAGGCGTGAGTCAGGTTCCGTGCGCTGTACAGCCAAGGTTTATAGAACTAGAGTGAGAGGAACGTACTTTATTTCCGAACTTCTCCGGGTCCTTGCTCGCCCCCACCACACTGTAGCGATCAGCACGAAAGAAATTCTTGTGAAGTGGCAATCAAGGGGAATGGGAGGCAAGTTGTGAGCGCATGAGTGTTGGCATTGACAAAGCGCAGAGAGAGTGGACTTACTTTCAGCGCTGGAGAGCTCATCCTAGCAGAATGTGTATCGTATGAGGGAAAATGGGACTGCCAGGTGTGACTGTATTAATGAAAACAGACGGGGCGAAACGACGTTGCTCAAAGGTTCTAGATGAGACGGCGCCGCTTCCCAATGGCCACTGGTTTGATACGACCCAGCAGGTGTGTCGATGGCCGAGTCAACGGCAGGCAGGTGCAAACTTGCATGCAGTCGCATCGAACCAGAATGCGTGAATATATACTGACGACCCAAACATTCAAACCCTCGAGTCATCAAGCGTCCGACTCCGTGTGCAAAGATTGCCAACGCACGACTGTGATACGCCTCGGCTGGCGGCTGGCCCGCTTGTGGAGCGCGGCGATTAGATGCCGTCGATGGTGTGCTTGTAGATGCAATCAATAGAATTTACTTCAACCTTTACTCACCAATCACTTTTTGACGCTCGATGCCCTGGCCGATAGATCACTTGATGCATCGCAAAGAGCCTGGACGTTTGGATTTTACGTTTCCTCGTGTCTCATCCCTTTTCTATGCATTGGCATACTTCAGAGGGCTCTTCATTAGGGTGAATCAGATCATTTAATTTCGCATCATGCAGTCTCTTGCAGCGTATGCATCCGATTCAGACGAGGAGCTGCCGATTGCATCATCCAGCAGGTCGGTGAGCCTTGCGGTCCCAGCGCCAACCCGTGTGGCCTCGTCAATCTCGATTGCAGCTGCCAAACGTAAAGCTGACAGCAGAGGCAGGCTCCAAGTCCGCGTCTCAGCAGCGAATGGCGATAATTTAGATGCAGACGGTATTGCGTCCACCGAATCACCGAATGAATCTGACCTCAAAAAGCCTAAACTAGCGTCAGGTGCCATATTTCGGCACTCGCTACTGGGCGCCCTTCCAACCCCCAAAAGAGCTGTTCGTGACGATGGCAGCGTCAATAGCCGGCAGTCATACTTCACGGCGCAGATTGTCTGTGATAAATATATGCCAGATCTTCCCCAACGGAGCGCAAGCGGCGGTGGGCAGGCGGAGCGTGCTTCTAAAGTCACCAACAGGGGAAATTCTGCTTTTCGCGCCATGTTAGGTCTGCCACCTGTGTCTCCCGGCACTTCCTCCACAAAAAATACTGCTAGCATACCGAGTGTGCCCTCTCCGACAGCAAAGGTTCTTGTCTCTGGGGCATCATGGGCAGATACATCACTTGCTTGTCCCAGAGACTTGCTCGACGAGAGGCAGGAGGCTGCGACGCCACAGGCTCTCGAACTCAGGGCAGCATTGCAAACAAAGCCAGCGTCAGAATTGCCGAAGGTAGCGATTCTACCGTCGAACAAAAACGAGAAGGAAAAATTCACATCACGGGCGGTGCCGCAAGAAGGCAAAGGCTCTGCTCCCTTGTCCGCAGCACCAGACGTGGAGGACGAGGCTGCGGAGTGCCTAAGTGAACAGAAGGAAGTTTCCGGGCTAGACCCCTATGCAGGCTGGCAAATGAACCCCGATGGTACTTGGTATCCTGTCACTCCGGAGGCTATCGCCGTATATCAGAACTACGCTCGTCAGGATTCAACATTGAGCGCATCGCTCACAGGCAGCCACGAAAGTTCCACTGAGATCCGTTCAGTCGATGTGAACACTCCGAAGGCTCTATCGGCAACCGCTGGTGACTTCAATCCAGCTGATACCACTGGTCTCACCGCGGATCAAATCAGAGCAAAAGGAAAGGCTCGAAATAAAGGGCAGCTGAGCTCTTTGGTCAGCATGGCGAACGAGAAGAAGGAGAACCTCGAGAATAAGTGGGCGCGGAGTAGACAAGGTATCTCCAATGCGTCAAACAAATATGGCTTTTAGTCGCTCCTATAAGGCAGACATGACAAGCGCGCAGTGCACAGTGCAGCCGCATGTGCAGATTGCATCACAAATCGCTGTTTCAAGCGCCAACGTAAAGCATTCGGCTGGACTGCAATGCCGTTTCCTGTGAAAGATTGCAATCGTCAACAAGACGGACGGAGGCAGGTGCTTGTCTAGCGATGCTGCGCTATCGGCTTTATGCTCTGGCTTCGCGAGAAAAACGATAGGGTTTGCAACTGCCTCGGAATTTGGACGTCCAGAGCATATGGCCTGCGTTGTCTCGGCTGCAGGAACTGAACACAGTGCTGAGATCCTAGCAGAGCCGGAGTATGAGGGCGCACATTCTCGTATACATTGTGTCTGCGACAGAGCGATCAGTGGAGGAGCCGCCTGGACGATTTGAGGATATCATCGGCGTGCTAACGAAAACATGTAAAAGTGGCCTGGTCGACTCGAATGACTTCTGCGACAACGGGTCTGACGTACCCTACTACCCTTCCAGCTATAGCGGCAGCCGCTGCTACCCAGTACTTATGAGAGCGGCATAATTCACATTCCACGGGGTCTGTATTCCAATCATTTGATTTATGGGCGTGATTCTGTCGAATCATAGGATTGTTGCAACACAAGGCGTCTGCTTGCCAAAAGTGCCATAAGTTTGTCAGGTAGAGTCGACTCGACTCAATCAACCACTACGACGTATGACCTAACAGGCGCTGCTCTTTAACCTATGACGGTCTACTTGGTCTTACACATGATTTAGCATACAGAGCATTTCAAAAGGCGCATTCTTGAATTGAAAATTATGACCTTTAATTGATTTACTAGTATCAAGACATTTTCGTTGTATCATAACGAATAGTTTTTTTTTGAATTCCAACATTCGTACACCGCGAATACGAAGGTGTAGAGACACTGCTTGTGAAGGAACTTGGCACTTTCTCTCAACTAGACGCGAAAGCTAATATACTTGCTTTTTTGCCTGTGTGACGTTGGGGTGGCAATGGTCACCCAATACGAAACGCTCTCTTTGGACATCATCAGTTCGACAAACTGAAAATGCCGCTACTGGAATCGGCGGGTTCATGTCGGCTAAGATATGAAGCTCTCACCGCTTGTATTCTCTGCACTACATAAACTCTGGGCACTGGTTGTAGCCATTGTAGCGTGGTCCCTGCTCTCGAACTATTGAAAGGATAGTTCATTACGACTAAGGTCTTATCTGACCTCTTGTTGTTCCTCACGATATACATTGCGCAGGAGCAGCGCGGGTGCGCAAGCCAATGTATCGAAGCATGTCGAAGCATGTCAAAGCAACACCGCCCATAGTACACCATCAAACTTTATGGGAGCTTCAAAAACAATGAGCATGCTACAGTGGCTGCACGTGAAAGCTAGCATATTGTGGATATATAAAGGGCGATACACAGTGCTTAGAGTTCATGCAGCGTGGAGAACATAAGAAGTGCGGGCATCACACCTTGGTCGTAATAAGCCATCTCTTCAATCGGTCCACGGCTACTTGGGGCAGTGGAAACGGCATAGTGACCATAATGGCTAGTTTGTATAACGGCATCCTAGCTCTCCCTGTCATGGGGGGAACATCATCGCACTGTAGAACATGTTGACCTGTGCAGAATGTGCAGATATGGACGCTGAGCTATGGACCAGACGCATTAGCCACGCATGACGTGACTCGCACAACGCGACCTGCAAGGCGATTAGCGTACCTGTCCCCAAATCTAACCCGCCTATGCGAAGCGTGCACACTCGGAAAAGTGGCCCACTAACCGTACGGCACCACAAGGGAAGAAAGCAGAGCAGCAGATGCTTGGAAGGGTGCACATGAACATCGCTGGACCTATGCTCTTGGAGAGCGTAAGTGGTGCGCTCTACTTCCTAACCGACACAGATGAAGGCCGGGTAAGGTCTGGATTTACACACTGGCAAATCGCAAGAACGCTGCCGACGTCACTAACAACTGAATCCGCCAAGTAGAGAAAGAATGGGCAAGGAGTTCAAGATCCTCCACTCAGACAACGGCGACGAGATTGTCAGGGTGCGGATGCAGCAACTCCTCCCAATAGGTATCAAACACGGAACGTCAGCCCCGTACATGCCTCAACAGAACGCGCGCGCTGAGTGCCACAATTCGACTGCATAAGACGGTCTAGCATGGATCAGCCAGTCGAAGCTGAAAAGGACACACCGGCCGAGTTGGCAGTGGCAGCAGCCTACACATACAAGCATCACGCGTACATTCTATGTCGCAATGGTCCTATGTTATCACAATTATGGTAGAAGCGCACCCCAGCTGCAAGATATCCATCGATTACCTTCGCGCAATAGATGAAACAAGAGAAGTGGTAGTGCAGACGCGCAAGCCAATAGAACGAAGCACGTCAAAGCAGCACAACCCATAGAGTACCATCAAGTGTCATGGAAAGTCGAGAGCAAGGACTAAACCACAGTGGCTACACGTGAAAGCCAGCATCTTGTGAATATATATGCGTGGCATGCAGTGCCCAGAGTTCGTGTAGCATAGAAAGCAACGTGTCAGGCTATCACATCTTGGCCATACTGAACCATTCCTTCAATATCGAATGTGATGGAGCGCCGCAGATCACGAAATTTGGACAAGCACATGATAAATGATATCCTCGTCGGATACGACAGCACTATCATACACCATGTCTAGATCCCGGCCCAAAGCAGCTCATCCGGTCTTGGCATAGCAAGCTTATCGAGACACTCGCCAGGTCTGCGTGCATTGAAGAGAAGGAGCACGAAAGCGCCGGCTGCGAAATCATTACCAGTGATGCTCCTGAAATAGTCGCGCCAGAGCATGTGCCAGAAGAACCTGGCGAGGAGGAAGCATAGCAACTTGCACAGCAGCAGGCATCAACTCAACAAGTCCAGGAGGAGCAACCCTTCTAAATGCGCCAAGAACACAATTTACGGTCGAGTCGTGCCAGCGAGACGCTTGGCGATTTGTGGCATGTAGCGTCATCCTACATATCGGTCACCAAGTTCCTTTAATGCAGCAGAGCTTCGTACTTACACGGAAACCCTTAGAAGCGAAGATGCTGACAAGTAGGAGCTGACAACCAAGTGCGAAGGTGACAGCCTTAAAAATAACATAGCATAGGTTGAGGTAATATTTTCATTTGGTAGCTGTGCCGTGGGTGGGCAAGTTGAGTATTAATGTCAAACGCGATGGCTACGGTAACGTGCCGCTGCATGAAGCTAGACTAGTACCAAGAGGCTTCTCACAGAACGAGAAGCAATATTATCATCAGAAGCCTGCGTCAGTCTGCCAACTGACTACCCTCCGCATAGTAATTGCTCTGGTCACTATGGACAATCTGCATCTCCATCATCTAACCGTCGAGGCTGCCTACCTTTACAGCAAGTGCGATGAGATAGTTTATCCCGAAGTACCAAACGGAGTACAGTGCTCTGCTGGCAAGAACTTGTATTTGCGCAAGAGCATTTATGGATTACGGCAAGGAGGTGAAGTCTGACACGGGGAGCTCCACGCAACCCTTCGGCAGATCGGCCTCACCAGTGACGAAGGCAACAATGCCTATGCACTGGCACAATCGATGGCAACTTCACAATCTTGACGGCGTTTGTCGACGACCTCGTCATCGGCAACAGAGCACCAGGGGACGACCCTTCGACTTGGAGGCCTGTTGCTCAAGCTCTTCCACATCTGGGTCTCTGACCGCTTCAGCACTGCATCGGCCTACGGATTGCATGCATCACGCACATCGACAGCACTTTCGTCGACCGGGCAGCCTACGCAGAGTCGATACCTCGAAAGTTCGATATGACAGATTGCGGAGCTGTCGCAACTCCCGCCTTGAACGCGCAGGAGGATGTGGGCGCTAGCGAGACGATCGAGAGGCCAAGCATTCCTACCTGCATTCGTCGGGTTCTTTCTCTATCTCGCAGTCGGAACACGGCCCGGGCTGGTTTACTCAGTCGCTCGGGCTAGGAAGAACAGTGCGGGGCTGAAGGTAGCAGTTTGGCAGAGTACCAAGAGGATATTGCGGTCGTTCTGAGGGACTTGCAATCCCGGGATAAAGGACAAGCGGGCCAGCGGGACGAGCTTAGTTGGCTTTTGCGATTCAGATTGGGTAAGTGGCAAGGACTGGAAGTCCATGACGGGTTTCGTGCTCTCTATCCCATCGAGCGTCATCAGCTAGTTGTTGGGAGAGCAGAGCAAAGTCGCGCCTTCTTCACCAGAGGCAGAGCTAACAGTAACAAGCAAGGCGACCCGTAAGGCAGCTCAGTTGCAGGAAATTCTTCAGGGACCCGCGTACTCGAATGAATACGGGGTTTAAGTTCACAACAATGGTGCACATCACATATTCTCGGCAGCCCAAAGCATGCAAGAAGTAAGTAATATGAAATCGATCTTCATGTATATAGAAGAAGCAAACGAGAAGGGCACTGTCAAGCTCGAGCGGATCAATAGCAAGCTAGTATTGCCGATCTACCTACTAAGCCGCTGCAAAGCAAGCAATTGGAAACACATTGCACACAACTGGCGTCGTCAACTGCGCGAGACGAGCTCTGGCCGCAGAGCAGAAGTGATGCAGAAGCAGAAGCAGCAGCAGCAGCAGCGCGGACGTGCGAGCCACCGGAGCGAAGCATGTCGAAGCGGCACAACTATAGAACACCATCAAACGTCGTCACTGGAGGTTCGAAAACAATGAGCAAGCTACAGTGGCTGCACGTGAAAGCTAGCATTTTGTGGATATAGAAGGGCGATATGCTGTGCTCAGAGTTAATACAGTGTAGAGAACATAAGAGGTGTGAGCATCATATCTTGATTGAAATGAGCCATTCCTTCAATAGCTTGCGAAAGCCTTCGATGACACAGATCACTAACCTGGCTGAAGATTCTTGTTATTAATATCACCGAGGCTCCCAATCTCAATATTTACATCGCACAATCTCGCACCTCACATACACCAGAACGCAAAAGAATTTCTGCATACCAGGTCAACATCTGCTATTTGCAGACAGCTAAGGTAGATATATATATGCCGTCTGTCGGACCCGTGGCTATAGCTTAAAGGTATATCACATGAGAGTAGCGATGCAGAACCCTGCCAGGTCAAATCGAACGAACATCGGGTCAATTATAGCCTGACACGCTCTACCTTTTCTCCTATAGCTGTGGGTTTGGCAGGTGGTTCGCCTGCGCGGCCTCTGTACTATTTCCCAATGCTTCAGACCCTGTGTTACATAGGTCGGTCGCTCGGTCTGGCCACTCTTTGCAAACTCACATTTGAAGTTGTGCCCCCAAAAGAAGTACCATTGCTCTCAATTGAAAGTCCGTGTAATTGGCCTTTTCGGCATTCCGTTCGCGGAAGGGGATTACAGTTTTAAATTTGGTTGAAGATCTACAATAAACACTACGCTAGACTGTCCTTCAGTAGAGACTCATCGTAAATATCTGATCTTCGGATGCATTCGGTTGTGAGTTGGCGGAGAACGCAGCACCGTTTCGCCCCGAAACGCCTCGGACTTGCGCCGTTCTATAAGCTGATCAAGATCGCACTCTAGTTGACGTTCTCTGCGGATTTCGCTGAGTCGCAAAGACCACCACCTGCGCTCCTCCTGCTCTTCTTCGACTTCATCAAGGACATTGTCACCAATGACAGCAATTCTGCAGCCTTTGCAGTCCAAATGGCGGCTCTCGAGTTGGTTTGCCTCCTGCGTTAGGTTGACCTGGCGCAATTGCTCGCTTGCAGCTTGCACGAGCTCCTGCTGCGAGGGAGATTTAGGAAATGGCAAACCTGATTGCAAAAGAGCGATCAAGTTTGGCCTGTCACCTGCCGTAGCAGCTGCCATCGCAAGATTAGCGACCTGATCTTTACGGCGCTGCCAGTCAGCATGCGCACTCGCTGGCGAGAGGTCCTTGTCGAGCATTCTGCCGCGCTGAGTTTGCTGGACAGCAGAAAGCAGAGAGCGCTCCAGAGCCCTGTGCCACAGAGTGCATTCGCCTTCTGGGCCCAAGGTGGCGACCCTCCTGTCGTCCGTCTGACGATCAAAGCTCAGGAGGTACGACTTGGTGCCGTCTGCTGAAGCAACATCCGCACCAATCCTAAGAGGGAGTACTTCTAAGCGCAGCAGATGCCGGTGTCCTATGGAATAGAGCACGTTGAATGTGTGAGACGCGTAGCTGACTCGAGGGACCAAATTTTAGGACTCACCTGGTGCCCTATCTGAGACGTCATTGACATCAAGAACTCGCCCAATTCCGCCAGATGAAAGAACTCTGAATCGGGACGTAGGGTTGCTCTGGTCGTCGAATAACGGCGAGGCGCTACGCCGTTTGCGCTCCTTTTTGAGACGCGAGTCCTCGTCTGAAGGGGAGGTGAGGATGAGCAGGTCGGAGAAGACAAAAGCGTGCACTTGCTGTGCTTTGCCTTGGAGCTCGTCTGTTGGACTGCGGGGGCTGCGAAGGAACCTGCTGGACATTAACAGCGATCTTCTTGCAGTTGACCTCGATGAAGGTTCTGCAGCGCCATCAGACAATCGCGGGCTCGGGTAGGGTGCAGAGAATGGAAGGGATGACCCAGAGTCGGATGGCGACGGAGAGTTGGTCACAAGGGGTGACTGTGCTTCCCTCAGGAAGCCCATTGCGTGTTCAGGTAAAGACGGCTCCAATGGCGAGCAGGACCGCGGAGAGATGGTGTCGATAGGGATCAATGAGACACGGCCTTGATGGATAAGCTTGCGATCTCGATTGGCTAAGATGAGGGCCTCAGGAAGGTTATCAATGCGCTTCGACAGAGCTTCAAGCTGATGATATTCTTCCTCCCTGGCTTTCACGTCGTTCATGTCGCGAACGATCCGTTCTGCCAAGGCATAAAGATTTCGTGTGCTTTCATAGTCGGGATGACCAGATGGGGTGACCTCCAATAGTTGCTGTGAGAAGGAAAGGAAGGGTCAGCTCAAGGCTCTTCGCTGGGGCACATGCAAGCAGAAGCTCACCTTGAAGAAGAGCGGATACTTCATCAGTCGTTGGACGGGCTTAAGCAAGAAGCTACTAAACGAAAGTTTCCCGCACTCTGGGGCAAGCATTTGCATCCTTATGAACTGGCCGAATTCGTTCTGCGGTGCCGCTACCATATCCTCCACCATGCCGATCACGCTTTCAAAGCGTAAAAGGTAGGGAAGATGAAGCTCAAGTTTTGTGATGTACTTGGCGATAGAATCGGCGAATCGAATGATGACCTTTCCATTTGAGCCTTGCCCGCTAGATTCGACTCTCAGCTTTTGCATTGCGACTGCGAGTTTTGAGTGGAGTCGTAAAATATCTTCAAGCCAATCGAAGAGTCGAGCGATTGAAGCAGGTACTCCTTTGATCCAGTCGCCAGAAGGGCTTTTGAGGGGCAGCGCAAAGAGGCCGTGAATACCACAAAGCGACTGGACGAACAGCTTCTCTGTCTCGCAGAGCTCCCACAGCACCTCTTGCCGATGCATTTCCATAGTACCAAAGCAGGCGAGCATCTCCCTGTAGTCCACATCGGGTATAATGTTGCGCCAAGAAATGTGGTTCGGGGGCTCGACCAAGCTGAAATTGGTCGAATTGAGTAGCATGGTAAGTCGCTTCTGTGAGTGCACGCTCCTGCGACGATCGCCGCCTCGAGCACCGGTCTGCACCGATCGCCGTTTGCTCTTGCAAAGTCCTTGCTCGAGCGATCCTGGACTATTGATGCTGACCGGCCGCGTATTGTGCGATGGAGAGCGTTGCTGCCGGGTCACTGAGCCTGGCGAAACAGTGCTGTGGCATAGAGGAGACCGCAAGCCCTCCCCGTCCTGTTTGTTAATCTTGGGCAAAGGTGATGGAAGCCCACAGGGGAATTCGCCGGTACTTTCGAGCTCCTGGTGTTGCGGGTCCATTGGTGGTGTCATGAGAGGAGTGTCTGGCAGAGTGCTCTGCGATGCATGGTGCGCGGAGCAAGTAGGTGAATGCGGCGGCTCCTCCTGACTCTCGTCCACGCGTTGTCCAAGAGGCGGCGAATGGTTGAGATCGATGCGCAAGCCTTCCGTAGGCTTCAATGACAATCGTCGCGCAGCAACCTTGCTGTCCGTGAAGCTCTGGACTCGATGCTCTACTGCAAGAGCTGTGGGACCACGAGAAAGCCGTGATCGCTCCTTGCTGATCCTGACTGAGCTTCGCCAGCTTGAGCCAGAAGGACCGCGCGCGCAGCCGTGAGCTCTTTCGAATATCTCTGCTGCGATGAACCAGTTTGCAGCCGACGCACGCCTTGAAGGTCCCCAGTCATCCTCCGAGCCTTCGTCGGCACTTTCGAAGACGTCGGAATCATCGTCACTGTAGTTCTTGTCTTCGACGGCATGCGTTTCAGCAGCCAAGCTCGAAAGTAGCGGCAATTCCTGATGAAATGCATCGAGGCTGGTATGATGAACGTAATTCGGGAATGATCCTGGCACCCCATTCTCCAAGTCCAGCTCCAGCTCCAGAGATTGATCCGCACTGGTGATGTTGCTGGCTGCAATCGGTGGTATCGACATGCGCTGTTGTCTCGAACTACCGAGGTCCAACAAATGCTCATTCACCTCTTTTGCAACCTTCGCTGGGGGCAAGAATTTTGCCTCAAGCTCTGTCAACAACCGGTTCCTGATATCGAGGTCTTCAACTGGAATGTCATCTGCGGCGATCTCTGAGACTCTGTCCGTGTAGGCCGGGGTTCTCGTTGCGACAATGGGACTGCTGAGTGTCAAGGGGGAGTCCAAGTTCGCTGCTGACAATGTGTCGAGCGCAGCATCACAAACTTGAGAGTACCTCCGCCACGCCTCGATAGCACTGCTGGAGAATCCTCGTGACGTGTCTTCTGCAGCGATCGGGCTCGTTTGAAGCTTTTTGGTGAGTGCTTCCGAGGAGTCTGCACTGTATTTGGCTTCTTGTGCTCCAGTGACCATCTCCCATTCGATCATCTCCCCATCAAAGGTCATCACGTCTGCCGGCTCGGGACACCATCCATCCAGAGAAGGTGGATCCGTCGCGGCTGTGGCGGTCGGAATCGTGTCATCTTCCTCATTATCTGTATAAAGACTTTCGGATGCGCTCTCGATGATCTCGCCGAATGAGCTTGAGGGCCGTTGAGCCAGAGCACTGTACGCATTGGGATTCATGAGTGACGCCGAGGACGATGGAGTCGGGATATTCAGCGCAGCCGATGGGTTGAGACTCGGAACTGTAGGCGTCGCACGACTTGCATCTAGTGCAGGAGTCGGGGCCTGCGGAAGGCGAGAGTAGCGCTTGACCGAACGCGGAGGCCGCAGAGGGGCTACCGTGGCAGCTGCGTGCAGGAATGATGCTGTCAGCTGCATCTCTACCTAAGAACCTTTGCTAATAAACTCACGCGATGAGTAGTCCTGAAGGGGAATATTCGCGTCTTCTACTGGCCTGAAAGGAGGAGGGACACGAGACTCGCGTATGATTTCAAGTGCAGCGGATGGGTCTGCCGCGGCCGAATCTTGTAAAGGTGACTTGAAGGTATCATCAGCCAGGCGGATCGGGGGCGGCATGGGTGGTGTGGCAGCACCGAAGTTGTCAAGCAAACCGAATGCGTTTAGAGCGTCCTCTTGCATGATCTTGATCACGGACTTTGAGCGACGCCGAACCTGCCTCACGGAAGGCTGTGTTTCACTCGTGTTTCTCGGTGTCGCATTGGCGCTCGCGATGTGTGGAGTGGTGGTGAGTATCGGTGGGATCAATTCCTCGTCCCGGTCGATGCGGGAAGACTTGACAGGAACTGCCGCGGGTGACCTTGGACGTCGTGCATGATTTTGGGTCGTCGCATTTGCATCCGTCACCGACCGGGTGGAGAGCGAAGCCGGAGAGAGATTCACCAAGATCCCTGCCTCGGCATGTTGGGACGGACGCTTTTCCCTGGGTCGTTCACCAACAGGTTCTTGGAACGAGACAGACCTCCGAACCTGCTTTCTGGGAGACTTTACATCGGAACCAAGTGTCTGCTGCTTGGCCCTTGGTGACAGGGACGCATGTGGCGGGTCGCAAGAGCCATGCAAATGGTTATCCTGGGCAGACCTTGGTCTCGGAGGCAGCATTTGACGATGCCGCGGACTTTCAGCCCTTTGCTGCTGCTGTCCATGACGGTGGTCTGCGGGGAGCGTCAAAGAGTCCATGAATGGATGCGGCAAGAGCGGTGGCGCCATAGCAACAGAGAGGCTGAATTCGGAGCTGCTCGTGGAATCTTGGACGCGATGATTCATGTATGAAGCGGATGCTCTCGCTGGTCTGCTGTCGAAAAAGTCCTCATAACGAATAGGTGACTGTGTCGGTGGCTGCTGTGGGCAGTTTTCGATGGCGCTCTTGAGGAAGAATGAACTGAGACCACTCGTACTGGAGGCGGGTTGTAGCCGCGCAGCGCCAGCTGCTGCTTTGCGACCCATGGCTCCGTGAAGAGGGCCTTGATAGGGCTGCAAGCGTGGTGTCGCCGGTAGTTGAATGGATCAGCGCGCCGAAGTCTGATGGATGATGTACAACGTAAGGTCTTTATCTCAGCTTGTCTCTGCTCAGCAAGGAAATAGCAACTAGTGCCAGGCTTGATGCGAGCGGCCTGACCTTGCTACTATCATTGACAGCGAAGGGGTGATCAATCTATTCAAGAGAGGATAGCAAGGATGACGATTATTTCGACGAGGGGATGGCGGGAATTGGATATGATGCGATCCTAGAAGATGCGAGCATCAAGGCTCTGGTGAGTCTGTAGTCAGTGGAAATGCTTGGACCCTGTTCGCCCTCGCCCTTTGACCTGCGCGTGACAACAACACCATTTCCGGCAGAAAGCTGATGCGCTGATGCCTGGATGGTACGCACACACGTGCACACGGCATTGAGAAAGGATGTACGAGTAAATCTGATCGCGATGTGCAGGGGCGCATTCCCGACCGTTGAAATGGATGGGTGGCTGCAACACTATCAGCGATCAGCTCTAGTGTATGTAAGCAAGTACCAAAGAGACGTCGGTCCGGCGCAGAATGAGGATGATATGATGATAATGAGAATGAACTTAAGCGGTGGTGAGGCGTGAGGCTGAAGCTGAGCGGAACCGGTGCAACATTCCGGTGAAAGCGGTCGTCACGTCAGAACGCGTTACGTACAGACTCTATCACTAGCCAAATGAGTTTCGTCATATATTCACGGCTTCGCCCATGGCCGGCAGGCGCCGCCATAGCCCACTACGCTGACCTGTCAATCAATATTGAATGCGAATCAGCCCATTAGCGTAGCTTCGGTTTTGATGAAAGTCTTTGAATCAAACTGAGAGTGGGCCAACCCGCGATATGTAGTGCACTGTGCACCACTGCAGCAGTGTGCGTCAACTGTGACAGCCACCCGGTCGACATCGAAACCGCCGGACCGGCCTCTGGAATCTGGAGAGTCTGTGTGAATGTTAGAGCCAGCAGCCACACCACGAGACAACAAAAGACGAACCAACACCGATCAACTTTTGTCACAGATGTACCATCAAATTTGGAATGAACGGGCGTCCGCTTTGCTTTTCGTTGTTGCACGGGCCCGTCGCGTTCATGGCTTCGAGAGGTTCCACCACTTCTCACTTCCCTCCGGACCGACTACATATTACATATTTCCTATGACGGATGGCCGATGACTGCTGTAACACACAGCTCGTCATCATCAAGACAACAGCTTGACATTCCTCGCATATCTTGACGCATGGCATCCCTTTGCGCCCTCACTGCTCTCTGTCCTACAGTTTCGCTTCGAGCTGGTATAACATCTAAAAGCATGGTCGAGCATCTACCCGAGCGCCAAGCTCTGAGGTCCATCATTGAAGGCATTTTTGATTCAGGTGGCGGAGAGACGTCGACAAGCAGTGCTTCGACTGGTGAGCACATGTTACCTATAGTGGTGAAAGCCGAAGGTGTAACATCTGACCAACTTTCCTCCACGTGGAAACATTTCTTACCATTTTCTAATGCGCCAGGTTCAAATTCCAGCAGCTCATCTTCCGGCAACAGTGGTGGCGGTGACAGTACCAGTACCAGCAGCATTACCTCTACATCCACCATCACCTTGGCTTCGCGAAGCTCCTCGATAACGACTCAGACCTCAGCAACCTCGGCGCCTAGTACGCCCTCAATCTCCCTCTTCACTTCTTCCGTTACGAGCAATGGTCAAGTTGTTCCGGTCACCCTCACACAAACTGTCGTCGTCGTCAATTCTTCTGAAAGCCCAAGTCTATCATCAAGCAAAAGCGCTTCCACTAATGCAGCCCTAATCGGCGGCGTGGTGGGCGGAGTTGTTGGAGGTCTGGCGCTGCTTGCTCTTTTGATCGCTGCAGGCATCATTATGAAGCATCGGAAAGACAGGATGGGTTCGGCGAACTTTCTCTGCTGTGGAACTCTGCCAAAGTACGATAAAAGGAGAGACTTGCAGCATTCTGCAAGAGGAGCCTGGCCTACCTTTTATCCATCGTCCAACAGCCGTTCCCAGCGGGATGCGCATATGCGAGGTGGGCCTGCGCTTCCTCAGGCCACACTGCCCGATGTGTTCCCGGAGGAGGGAGTGGCGGAACAACTAGGCACAGTGGGCTACGACCATTCCGAAGGCATCCACAACAGTGCGTCAGGAGTTTCTTTCAGCCATCAGACGTCCGAGAGCCCACGGGCCGAAGTTGTGCACAGTCTTGGGCACGCCAGCAGCTCAGTCGCAGCGTGTTCTCCTGTCTGGACGCCCGCTCAAATGTACTTTGCGCCAGACTACTCGCATCTCGACCCTCCCGAGATGCGAGAGGCTCGTGCGAGAGAAGTAACCGCAGCCGCAGCTGTGAGCGCGCCGAGCTCGCCTCCTTCAAGCGCGACACAGTCCAGCGCACCACAGTTGATACAACCGCGTGGCTATCTCCAGGCCCAAGGCCGGCCGCAGAGCGCAGACTCGACAATCGCCTTTGCTGAAGGCAGCGTCAACAAGGGAGGTGTATCAGCTGCGGACGGAACGGACACGCCATCGGATGGGAGCGCAACCAGTCAACCGCTTCATCTTACCAATTCGTGAACCGGCCTAAGATGCGTTCATTCGAACACGAATAGAATCTGGGATCTCACATTCCCTTTTGGACCACAAGGACTGCACCGCATCCTGCTCTGTTCAAACTGATTATTATTATTGTATTTATGCACCTGTGCACCCAATTTCATCTTATGTTCGATCTCCACGCACATGAAGGAGGCGTGCGTCAAGCTCATAAGAGTGACAGACATGAAGAAGAAGCCCATTGGACCGTTTCAGGTACCGAGACTCTGAATGTAAAAAAGCAAGAGGGGATGATATGCCGTGATAGAGATGCCGGATGGGCATGTAACCATGACGTGTTAGAGGTAGAGAGAGGCACATGGGGACTGGAAAAAAGGGGGGTTGATGTGAAGAGCGCGATTCCGGTGAGTCGCCTTTCCGTTTTCTTTTTCCCTCTGCCTAGCGAACTGTTCGCATCACTGGCCCAGTGCCTGCGTGTCATGTTGAACTGGGCCACTATCAGCTCGGCTCCGCTCACGGCGTTTCTTTTTCCGCCTGCTTCCGCCGCTCTTCCCTCTCCCGCAATCAGCCGCACGAGTGACGAGTCATGATATATTGTATTTCGAAAAAAAAACTCCTCGACTCTCGCTGGGCTTCCCATTTCCCACTGTTCCCTCCGACGGTCGACCCACTCCTCGCACACCCTCAGTATCTCTGCCTTTCCACTTTCCCGACACCTTCCCTTGTCCCCAGAGACCAGTCCTCAGCCATCCCCTCCCGGAGCAGACCAACCCAACTCACTTCGTCAGCACCTCCTCAACAGTTGCTGCATACCTTGGTACGCTATAGCCACGACCCGATCCCGCTGCTCGTCCACTCTTTTTTGAATTCTGGTGCTGTTGTTGTGTTGCCAGGAAAACGGTCTGCAACCCTTCAGTTCCATCCATCAGCCATGTGTCCCACTCACTCAGCCGAGAGCTCTGGCGGCGTCCAGCAAATCAGCGGCGCTAATGGCCAAGTCAACGGTCATGTCGCTGTCGAGACACCAGCGACCCGCTCTGCTACCTCGAATAGCGGTGCAAACGGCAGCGCAAATAGCAACGAAAATGGCCGAGCACAGGTGAGCGACAGCTACAACAACCAACCCTTCAGGTCTCGTGCAGAAGACCTGCTCTCAAACGTCAGCAACTTCAAGATCATTGAGAGCACTCTTCGAGGTGAGTAACCGTGGTCCGCTGCAGTAATCTCCTGAGAGGCAATGCTGATAGCTCACTCTGCACGTGCACTGCCGCAGAGGGCGAACAATTCGCAAACGCCTTCTTTGACACGGAGACCAAAATCAAGATCGCCAAGGCGCTTGATGAATTCGGCGTCGACTGCATTGAGCTTACGTCTCCCGCTGCGTCCGAGCAATCGCGCAAGGACTGCGAGGCCATCTGTAAACTGGGGCTCAAGGCCAAAGTCTTGACCCACATCCGTTGCCACATGGACGATGCCCGCATTGCCGTTGAGACCGGTGTGGACGGTGTCGATGTGGTTATGGGAACCTCCAAATTTCTTCGCGAGTTCTCGCATGGAAAGGATATGACGTACATCACCAAGACTGCCATCGAAGTCATCGAATTTGTCAAGTCGCACGGCATTGACATTCGTTTCTCCACCGAGGACTCCTTCCGTTCGGACTTGGTCGATCTACTCAGCATTTACCAGGCTGTCGACAAGGTCGGGGTCAACCGCGTCGGTATTGCTGACACCGTCGGTGTTGCCAACCCGAGACAAGTCTACGATCTCGTCCGCACTCTCCGCAGTGTCGTCAGCTGCGATATTGAGTGCCACTTCCACAACGACACTGGCTGTGCAATCGCCAACGCGTACACTGCCCTCGAAGCCGGTGCAACGCACGTCGACACATCTGTGCTGGGCATCGGCGAGAGGAACGGAATTCCTTCCCTGGGTGGTTTCATCGCGAGGATGTACACTGCCGACAGGGAGTTTGTCATGTCCAAGTACAACCTCAAGGCGCTACGTGAGGTGGAGAATCTTGTTGCAGATGCGGTTCAGATTCAGGTCCCATTCAACAACTATGTGACAGGTTTTTGTGCATTCACACACAAGGTAAGTTCTCCAAGCCGCACTCTGTCCTCTGTCCTTGCTCACTTCACGCTCTATTTGCACACTATCCTTCGCAGGCTGGCATTCACGCCAAGGCCATCCTCGCGAACCCGTCAACGTATGAAATTCTTCGTCCGGAGGACTTTGGTATGAGTCGATACCTTTCGATCGGTAGCCGGTTGACTGGCTGGAATGCTGTCAAGAGCCGAGTGGAACAGCTTGAGCTGAACATGACTGATGAGCAAATCAAGGACGCGACTGCCAAGGTCAAGGCCATGGCAGACGTGCGTGACCAGACTATGGAAGATGTCGACACGATCCTGCGAGTCTACCATCGCGGTCTGCAGGGCGGTCACGACGTGTCACACCCGGCCGTCTTTAACAAGCTGCTTGATCAGCACAAGACCGCTCAGTCCACTACCGCGTAATTACTTTGAATCTCCTCAAACCCCGCGAACCAATTATTGTGGCTCGCCGCCACCACCGGTCCAGCTATTGTTCTACATGATGATCGATTCGCTCACAACACTGTAATATTCCGTTCTCAAACCCGGCCAGCTGTGGCTGGATCGAACGTGGCTGTCCTTTCCAATTTGGTCTTCCGATCCGCTCGAGTTGTTAACAATGTTGAAAAAGCGAGTCACAAGACGCATCGCGCAACATCCTGTGACATACTCTAGGGCTCTCTTCCCTTCTCGCAGTCTCTCTGGCTCTCGTCCGCTTACCTTTCTCAATTCCCAATTCTAGACTTCCCAGCTTTTCTTCCAGCCAGTTCATTAGAGGTTTGACCGCGTAAGCATGTGCACATGCTGCATGCCGCAACAGCGGACCTATTCCAGTGACTGGGAAAATCTGGTCAGTTGCGCGATTGACGGCTCGGTGTGAGAAATGGCAAAATTCCCCTGATTCCACATCGACAGCGGCGGAACTTTTCATTTCAGAGACTTGCAGAGCCCCAACGTTTTTGGTTCCAAAGACTTTTTGCCGAAATCCACATCCTCTCCAAAGTATGTTTTGCTTCTCATTAGGTCACGAGAGCTCAAGCAAGCAAGAGTTGACAGCACTTAAGCGATTGAATGTACTTTGCAACCGCTGCCACTACTGGGTTATGCAAAGCATTCCTTGCCTGAGCATCTGGATATTATAGCACTTTCGAACAGAATTGCGACCACCATGGAAGTTATGTTGGGCAGAGTCCTCACTCGTTCGGGGTTGAGACTCGGTGCGAGAGTAGCAAACCCCCGCGCATTGGCGACCGCCGCCACCTCATCACCGCTTTCCGCAGATGCTGTCCCGTCGCATGAAGCCGGCTCGTCAAAAGGAGCGCCATCAGAGCGTGTCAAGGCCTTCCGCGAAGCTTTGGCCAAGGATGCTGCAGACATCGATGGCTTCGCGCATGCATCTAGATCAGTGCAGCTCGGCCGGGTCTCCGACACCCGGCTGCCCTCGTACCTTAAGACGTCAATTCCGACAGGCGAGAGCTTCAAGCGAATCAAGAAAGATTTGCGGGGGCTAGGATTGAGCACGGTTTGTGAGGAGGCGCGTTGTCCGAACATTGGTGAATGCTGGGGTGGCGAGGGTGGCAAAGAGGCAGCGACAGCAACAATCATGGCGAGTTATCTACGACCGCCACTCATCCTAACCCATGTGCATCGCTGACAAGCCGTGTAACCACATCTGTGCTACAGCTCATGGGCGACACCTGCACTAGAGGCTGTCGATTCTGTGCAGTGAAGACATCGCGCACACCAGCACCACTTGATGTGCACGAACCCGAGAACACCGCCGAGGCTATTTCACGATGGGGGCTGGGATACATTGTGCTCACGTCAGTAGACCGGGACGATCTTGTTGATGGAGGGTCCGCACATATTGCCGCCACCATCTCCAAGATCAAGCTGAAAGCACCAAAGATTTTGGTCGAGGCGCTGGTGCCAGACTTTAGCGGAAAACACGTCGATGTCGACCGTGTGGCAACGAGCGGTCTGGACGTTTTTGCTCACAATGTAGAGACTGTCGAACGGACGACACCGATGGTCAGGGACCGACGTGCAAACTACAGGCAAAGCTTAGAAGTCCTGCGGCGTGCAAAAGAAGCCAAACCAGGCCTTATCACCAAGACCAGTATCATGCTTGGCTGTGGAGAGACCGACGCAGAGGTCGAGCAAACTCTCAAAGATCTCCGCGCAGTAAACGTCGACGTGGTCACATTTGGGCAGTACATGCGGCCCACAAAGCGGCATATGAAGGTATCTGAATATGTACCACCCGAAAAGTTCGCTCAGTGGCAACACCAAGCTGAGAGCCTGGGCTTTTTGTATGTTGCGAGTGGACCGCTCGTTCGCAGCAGCTACAAAGCCGGTGAATTCTTTGTGAGTTGTCTTATCAGTGCGACCTTTTGGATGGGCATGGTTTTGACTGCTTTCATGGGCACATAGATCAAAAACGTCATCGAACAACGAAGAGGAACAACCCTGCCGCTTCCAGAAGTGAGGGCAGACCTGACTCTTGATGCATGATGCACCCACTCGTATTGCATACCTGGACAAGCCAACCTTGCACAGATCGTTGCTCATAGTACAACATGATGTTGGCAGTTTTTGCGCACCTTGACACGCTTCCACCTACTCGGATCTTTTGGGCGTAGTGTCTCCGCCCTCTCTGAGCTGGCGGGGCTTTCCTCTCCCCCTCGTGGGCTGTGTTCCCCTTGAAGCGCTTCCTCTCTCTCGAGTCTGGCCCTGCCCCAGATTCGCCACCTTCTCCTTGTCTCCGCTCCGATGCGGTCGGCCTGTGCTATTCACATCGCCTACGCACCCGGAGCCTCGACCTGCGTAGCTGATCCTGCCCCTTCCACGGCCGCGTCCACGATCTTGCTGCGCCAATCTCTTGGATGTGAGAAGTGTGAAACCATCTTCATCCACTTGAGGCTGTGGCTTCTTGGGCGGTTGCGGCTGCCTTGGCTTGCGCAGCTGATCGCCCTGATAACCATTGGCAGCTCGAATAGGCATCTGCTGTTCTTGCGCATCGGCATCCGCAGGTGGTACACTGGGTGCCTCAGGCTGCTCGTTGAAGTCTTCGGCCCAGTCAACCGGAGCGCTCAAGGAAAGATCACCAAGGTTGCTCTGCTCGACGGCCATTAAAAGAACATCAGCCCATGAACTAAAAGACCGTGCAAAACATAAAATTGACAACTCACGCTCAGAGCTCCCACTTCGGTTGTTGTGATCGGTTTAGCGACCTCGCCCTTGACACTCCCGCCTTGATCCGCAACGACCGACACTATCGACCCAGAGAGCTTTCCACCTCCGCCGGTTTGCTCAGACACAGCACCTTGCACAGCTTCTTTTCCCGCTTCAAGTCCTTCGACAGTTTCACCCTCTGGCTCAGTCGCTTCAACTTCTTCCGGTTGACCCAGCCGCAATGCACTGGTGGGCGAGGAATCCTGCGTGTTGTCGGCTATGGGCTCAATTTCGCTATCCTGCATGAACTTGATGCCACCTCCGGGGGCAGTGCTGATGTCGATGGAGCCAAAGGTCATCGCTCCTGTGTTGATTGGCGCGCTCGACGCCGCTTCTCCTTCTGCTGCTACTGGCGCTTCGGCATCGCCTTCTTTAGCAGGTACGGCTTCCGGTAGAGCTTCGCCACCAAATGCAGGTGCCGCGTGGCTTTGCAAGTCCGCGGGGGTTGCTGCGAGTTGGTGGATCATTTCACGGACGCGATCGTCTTCGAACGAGAAACTAGAATTCAGCACAAAAGTTTTTTTCTTGGGGGAGACAATCGAAGCTGCCACTCACATCCAACGCCCTGAATCACCTCGCTGCTCTCACGAGCATCTCTCAGTTTGCGGACAATGTCGAGTGCTCCGTCATTTAGACCCAAAATTTTGGCAGCTGTACTCTGTTCGAGCGGCCCGAGGGCGAGCTGCTCAAAGATGAATCCAAGCGCGGCTGCTTCCGCGCCTGTGCTCTGCTCCTGCAACACGCGAGGAAGGGAGTTCTGCGGGGCCAATGTGTCTATGCCAGGAACCAGATGAGGATTGAAGAGAGCAAAGAGATGGAGGAACTGCAAAAGGGTGATAGTCTGCTCTGAGGCCTCCTTCTCTGCCGTTGCTCGTAGTACCACGGTCCTCTCCTTGATTTCTGATTCAATGGCGATGGCATCCTCCTTTTCAACCGCCTCGAGACCGTGCAGAATTTCTTGCAGCTCGCTCTGGACTGCGAGAAGGGAATGCTTGGACTGGATAATCCTTTTTTGGTCTGCATTGAGCGATTCTGGAGCTTGCGATTCGTACGAAGTGACACGTTGCTGTTGCATTGTAAGTTTGAGCCGAGCAATTGAAAAATACTGAGAAGAGACAGTGAATCAGTGCTGCGACTCACCAGCTTTTTATTGACTGCTTTTAGACGTTTGTTGATCAGTGCAGCAATTGAATTTCGGGGAATTAATGTGGACCCGTCCATATGCTCGCCGGCATTGTTCTTGTCGTTCACAGCCTCGAAGGCAGCAACGGCGGCATGCTTTTCTGCCTGCTCGCCGAGGGTTTGAAGTTCCGCTTTGAGCCTCTCGCTTTTGACCTGCTTTACATTATTTGGTAGAGCTTCAATAAGTGCTGCTTGTTTTTTGTTCTCAATTGCTGGCTGCTGCTGCCCCTGCTTCTTGCTACGCTTCTTTTCGGCCGCGGTAGAGGAAGCAGAGGTAGAGGGTGCACCAGGAACAACCCTGAGCTTGCCCTCGGTGGGGCCCGCGGCGGCCTTCTTCTCTGCCATGTTGATCAGAAGATGTTCTACGCTACCTCGAGATGGCTTCGGGTGTGTGCTGTGAGGAGCTGAGCTCTCAAAACGAAACTTGAGTGCCGCTGCTGATGCTAGAGAGTGTGAGAAGAACGCTTCGCAATCGCCGAATGTGTGGATGGTTGTCGGGCGGTTCCAGAACTTGAAACGCAAGTCGTGCCACTTGTTCGTGCACTGACACAACCCTATACCTGGGTAGTGGTGGCTGTGACTCATAGAGCTTCTACGCGACCTCGATATGTATCAGGCTGGTTCTTGACGCCCATGGTTCACACCTCTCTTGGCTCATCTCTCCCCGCCGCTTCTTGACTCTCAACGATATGCAAACCATGCTCATGTTGGTGGGCAACGTGCAGTGTGCCGCAAATTTCAGCATCCCTGGGCCCTAGTCTGAGCTTCGGATTCGTGATTACCGGCGCTTGTACTCATCTTGCGCGCAGGGTGCAGATCCTGAAGCAGCATACCTTCCCTAAACGAAAAGAGCCGAATGCCAAAGTATTGGGCGTCGATGGCGTTTAGCTGAGCGGCGGTACTTTGTGCTGGACATTATATAACGTATGTGGCGGCGCGTTACATCGTCATATGGCACAATTCATGGCTGTCAGAATGAGAAATGCGCACATACAAGAGGGCTTTTCCCTCGGAGCGACACTACAGTTATTGGCTTGCCAGCGACCAGAACAATCGTGCTGCTGGCAAAATGAAGGCATCAGCTAGAATAGTAGCAAACATGACAATACCTCAGTCTGCCAAGCTTTCCCTGGTTCGCGCCTTTTCCTTGTTAGCACATCCGCTCCGATCACCCCCAACGACATACCCTCGTCGAGTGCAGCTTTGGACGAACGTTGACGTTTTGACTCCTTCAATGGCCACACCAATTCATCCATCCATCTGTGTCAGTACGCATGTGGCCTGCTTCAGTCGGTGGTGGCGCAAGTCGCCCAGCCGCATCCACCTCGCTGTACGTCGGCTCACCAGAACGATGTCGTCGATTGGCACGAGTGGGACGACGAAGCAATTGCAAAAGCTCGAGCGAAACACAATCTCATCTTTATTTCGTCTGGCTACGCTGCTTGCCATGTCATACAGAACGGCAGCTTCCAAGATGAGGGTATTGCGCAGCAGCTTAGCAACGCCGGCGTTGTCTCGATCAAACTCTAACGGGAGGAGCGGCCTGATGTTGATGCCAAACTCATGGCTGCCTGCGTCGCCATGGTGGACCGCAGCGGCTGGCCACTCACCGCTTTCCTGACGCATCAAACGGGCGGCATGGTCTTTGCTTGCACCTTTCCCCGTGAAGCCTTCTCTCAGCGGCTCCGCAATTTTGAGCAGCTATGGGTAGCCTCGCCGGAAGAAGTCGTAGATGGGGTGTGCAACATCCCTATACAGCGCGACGCCAGTAACCGCACAGAACGCAATCAGGCATTGAAAATCATTCACTCACTCGGCGTCGTTCGTTGAGCAGTTGTGCGACGCCTTGGCGACTTTGACGAGCAGCATGGTGGCTTCCGGCCCGCTACAAAGGGTTCAAGCGTTTCGCCCACGCACTATGTTCATCACTTTGCGGTCACAGCGTTGTTTGCAGCTAGTAAGCAGAAGCCATCCGAGATAGAAACATGGTGAAATATGGCTCTCAGAGCAGTCTATGCCTCCTGTTTCACCCTTGTCAAACAATATCGAGGCGACATCACGTATTTCCTCGGCGGGGGTGTGGCGAGATTCTCGGTCATTGAAGTCTGGAACATGAATTCAGTGCATGAGTAGCGACATTGGCTGCGCTAACCGGTGTCCGCGCCTGCCTATTGCATGTACCACATTCGGACAAAATGTTGTATGATCAGGCTCAGAATTTGGCCTCATATGTGGAAGCCATCCAACGCGCAGAACTGCCCAAGGCCAGCGAGGACATCAAGCCTTTCATTCCAGAATTGCGTCAAGCAGCCGCAGGCATCAGCTACTATTTGCTCTCACAGATTGCAAGTCTCGAGAGCGCATTCTATGCGTCCGAAGACACTGATTCCAAACATACGCCCGTGACCGACCATGGTGTCGAAGGCGCGTTTCAGCTTTGGGACTGGCAAGATATTGAAGCCGCTCTTGACGGAAAGGACTCAACGCTTTCAAAGTTGCAGTCAAGCATTTGTGCTTCAAGGTTGACGGCAACATCGACACGTCCGCAGACCAGGAAGGAGAGATGTTACCAAAGCGCCCTTAGTGCTCCCGACTCAGTCGAAGAAGATGCCGTGAAATTGTCACTCCCTTCAAAAAGGCTGCAGAGCTGATGCAGCAGATCAAGACCAAGCTCCTCGTGTTGTGTGACAAGAGGCCACGGCCAGGACGTGATGTGAAGACCATCACCACGTGAAGCTTTATGACTATCTCTGCTTTTGCAGAGCGACTGCAGTTCTGCGAGAGGAGAAGGAAGACAGGAACTAGGCGCTTGATAGCGCAAGCAGTGGTCAGATTCATCCTGAAGGGAGTTGTACGAGCAGCAGTCTGGTAAGCTGCGCCGCAGCTGGAGGTTTAAGCCGGGTCCATGGGGATTCTCGCTCGACTATGCCCCTGCCGTCTCTGCCTTTCTCGATCTGTACGAAGCGGCGGGAAGGAGACTTTGTCGCAGGAAACCACGCTGCAGAAAATGCAAGATCGATTTTTCATGACCATGCCGGAGGCTACAGGACCGCCGCTGCCGATGGGTATGCAGACAACCCCGAATCTCTGCAGCTTTCTCGAGGCAAGGATAATCCAGATGGTGCCGAGCCATCTTCAAATTCAGTTTCCGTTCATAACCTCAGGCTCCTCACCACCATTGAACCGGCGCTCACCGAGGGCTGGCGCAGCAATGTTGACAAGACAATCAGAGTAGGAGGGCAGATTCTCGAACGACTCCTCTCGCCGTTGGCATGCTTGCGCCCAGCGTCCTGTCTCTGCTACTAGGTCCCAGGTCTGTCGTCGTGGTCGGCAACTTTGCGAAATCAAAGACTCAGCAACTCTTGACCGCAGCCAAGCACAGCCGCTTTGCGCCCGATAGGCGTCTTCGCTTTTGTTGGCTTCACGAAATCAAGCGAGGCCCACGAATACCCTGACAGCTTGTAGGCACCCAATTCGTTAGTTAACTTCGTTGTGCAGAGTGCGAGTTTGGCACAGGGAGGCGCGCACGGACACGTCTGTGAAGGCGCAGAATTCAGGCGTCATTTGTCTAATCCATCCGAATTCGCTCAAACTCTACTGGCCCAGTGCTGAGGCGAACTCATGATATCCTTGGATAGCAATTTCTATAGGTTGTATTCTAATACTGCGCAAGCTGCCGTTCACGGAGTAGTGCCGCTGCATTTTGGGACACGCTCATTGACAGCCCAAGACCCCGGACGTTGCTACCGAGGCTACCAGTCGCCTCTCCTTGACCTCCAACCATCCTGATGGAGTGATGGGGACTCGGAGATGGATCACCTGATGCCAAATGATCATAAGACGCATCCAGGCTGTGGCTGTAAGCTGGCGGCGTTGCCACATAGTCGATATCTGGTACTGTCGGAGTGGACCGCCCAAGCGGAACTTCTTCAAAAGACGGCCGATTACCGTCGGCAATGTCAGCAACTGAAAGCTGACGAGTAAAGCTTTGTGTCGAGGACTCGGGTTTAAGAGTGATTCCTCGTTGCTCAGCAGAGTCGGTCAACACCTTCATGATGTTGAAAGCATTGCGACGGACATGCGTCATGTCGAGACGGTACTGCCTCGGCGTCAGACCCTTTCCAAAAGTCAGGTTGACATGATTGGAGCAAAGTAACGCGCAGACAATGTTGATGAGATGAACGAAGACGATAGAGAACGTGACTTTGTAGGTGATGCTGAGCGCCGCCATCTCATATCGATAGAGTTTACCCTTGCAGCCTGGGAGAGACGTTCGCGGGTAGCAGCGACGGGAGAATGTCGCTTGATCTGTAAAAAAAAATTGGACAGCGGTCAGATGCGCCTCAACGAAGGCGATCTTCTGATAGCAGCTCACGTAAAGGAGAGTAATAACCACAGCAATGTAGCTGGTGTGTAGCAAAATTTCAGGAAACCCTTACTGTATCAAGTTATAAGTCGCAATACTCACGTTGTTCTGAAGCCGCAGGCGGGAGAGGTCATCGAAGTATCGACTCCATGCCATGTTGAGCTTGCGATCGAGCCTTAGATTTGCGCGCTTGTAGGCGGTGTAACCGACAATAAGGATGCTGATGAGCGCCGGCCAAAGTAGGAAGGTGTAAATGGCAAGAATGGGTCTGGAATTGAGGAGTACTCCGCTGAGACCAATGACAGCGGTGAAGACGCAGAGGAAGGATGCAAGCGTGATGACTGCAACGCACGGCGTGTTGATTCAGCTCCTGAGGGTTGTGACAGAACGAATGAAAAGAGGTTCACTCACAGATCAGGATGTCCGTGTCTGCGACTACATTGACGTCTGCACGACTCCATGTGCGCGCCCATGTCAAAAGTATGCCGATGAGAAAGGTCAGACCGTAAATAAGCACCTGCGAAGACGGAAAGGTTGTGTTTGTCAGGCTCGCGCGAGCAAAGCGTCATGGTAGCCGTGTTTTCTCACCGTCAAGATGCTAATGACAAGGATGATTTTGAACGTGTTCCACTGTGCGCGTCGGCCCTCTGGCACGTGGGAGCTGCTGAACCCGGCGCCAGGATCAACAAATGCGACATTCCTGTCGCCAATGTCGTACAGCGTGCCCGCATTCTCAGCCTCTATCTCATGGCGGCTCTTCGCAAGAAAGCGCAGTCCTTCCCGGGTCTCGGCAATCGGCACACCGTAACGCGTCCGCCGGCCAGAGCTGAAGCGTTGGCTGATGCGTTGTGTCAAGCGTCGACTCAGTCGGGAAGCTGTGCTGACGGGTCTGCCAGACATGGGGCCGTTGCTTCCTGCTGAATGCCCATAGTCGAGTGTATGAATCCCGCTGATGCGACGCCCCAAGTCTCCCTTGGCATGGTAATCGGTGTCCAAAGAGCCGTCATATCTGCCGCCGCCCAGCTCTTTTTCAGCTAGGGGGCTGTTGTACCTCTCAGCAGCTGCGTCGTCCATAGGGCAAATGCCACTAAGCCGTCGCGACAAAGCGCCGCTGCGAGCCCTTGTCATGTGGGCGCCTTCGGGGAACTTGCTCGTCCATCGAAGACTTGCTGCGAGATCAGACAGCGCTTGAGAGGCACTTGAAGTCGATAAGAGCGCGCCGGTACTGGCAGTAGACGTCAGCGCACCGCTGATGGGAGCATTTTGGAAGGTTGACGGTGGCAGTGACAATGGGCGGCCCGGAGCACATTCCGAGCGACCAGTGTCTAGGCTCGTGTTGTGCGCAACCGGAACATGACCGATACTATAAGGTCGAGGCATAGACCCCGGCCTTTCTTGTTTTATATTCGGGGGCGGGGCCGCTGTAGGTTGGGAATGGTCCTGAAGAGGCTCGTTGAGGGCTGGCAAGCTCCAAGCAGCTGTGCTAATTGCTGCATCGTCTGTGTATTTGGGTTGAAAGGGATATTTGTTCGCCGAAGTACTCCCGTCTAGTTCGCTTGGCAGGGTCCGGGTCTGAGTGACTTGGATGGACGCGTGGGAGTCTCCCGCTGGAATGGACTCGAGCATGATGTTGCCTGCTCGGATGATCCTGATCGGTACCTCGTCCGGATCCTTCTCCACGGGAGCTTTCTCCATCCAGGATACAATGTCCTCCGTCGGATCTGGCGAGCTATTTTGGCTGCCATCCTTGCGCCGCTCGATCTGAAATGGCGCGAGCAAGCGTGGGAGGGTCTTCTTGGCCTCGAGAGATGGTGATATCCCGCCCAAGTTCGAGGACTTGTCCTTGGATCCATTGAGCCCGAACATAGCAGCATTGCGGAGGTTTCCGAAAGAGATCGCTCTCATTGAGCTGTTCAGCTTGCTTCCAGAGCGCGTGCCAGAGACCTGAGAAGCATGCGACACTGATCGTGGAGACTCCCTCTTGGCATTGACACTTTCTTGCCCGGTGGATGCTGAGCCGTTGTTGAACAAGAAGCCGAGGTTGGGGACTGAGCTTTCGCGCAATCGTCGGGCTCTGGAAGCAAAGGCGCCTACCAGACCGCCGTTGTCGCCCGCGAGACCCGCAACGCTCTTTCGCTTTTGATGGATTGTGCTCACTTGAGGATCTGAACGGGGCGGTACAACGCCTTTCGGTGGTGCCACGCCATCGAGGTCAGAGAGCAGGGTCCTGCGATTCTGAGCGGACGAAGGCTGCCGCCGTCGAAAGATACCGCCGCCAGCGCCACTATCCTGAGCAGGCGTACGGGGTGACAGCGAGCCTTGCCTATTGTAGTGAGGAGACAAGATCGGCGACAAGGAGGTGCTATGACTGGCTCCTAAGCTGAAGTCCTCTTGCCTCTCCAACAGCGCATCTGGTGGTGGTTGCGACATACCAGCGTGGGCCATGCTGCTGATCGGCCGTATGGTATACTGGGCGTCATTCGCAACCATCTTACTCGCTTCAAACAACGAGAAGAGCTGTCTAGGCGGAGGATGCTGGAGGCCATTACCTAGTCATTGGTAGGACTCTTTTTCGATCGAGGCAGAGTGGAATTGGGTCAAGCACTCAAGAAACGTCAAGGTCAAGTCTCTCCGTGATGGTTCACCAAGGCGTCCGCCAAAGCCCACAGGCTGTGCTATGCCATGCTTCGGGCGAGAGACGTCGGCCGTGCAAGTGGCAGTCGTGTGCCTGTGTAGGCGTAGGTGGTGTGTGTCTTTCCTTTCGCGGCTATGTGAGGTGAGCCGGACAAGGCCGAACGTTGGAGAAGGCTCGCGTGCGACGGCGGTGAAGCGCTGAACTGTTGAGTCCTGAACATGTGCAACACTGCAAGCCCCATGGCGGGGTTTCTGACAGGCTTGTCGGGACGGCGCCGTATCAGCTTATACATAGCTGGAGATGTTGAAGAAGCCATTCAGTACACGCCTGTGCCAGTTGTGCCACTGCAGGCCATTGCCCAATGTGGCATGTTCATAAGTCTGTATATGAGCTGAATGTCCGCGCTTCAGGTCGCAGAAGGAGATGAGGATGGGAAAATGAGAATCTACAACGGTCGACATTCGATTGCTATCCTCAACGGCCGCCGGTTGTCGAGAGCCGAGGGCGGCGATGACAAGAGACGCGCTTTGTTTCAGAACCATGGTCATGGGCTGCATATAATCAGTACTCAAGGACGATGAAATCAAGTTTCCAGCTTCTTTCCAAACGCCAAGCTATTGCTGACGATGAGCAACAAGCGAATGAATTATGAGGCTCGAGCTGTGCTACATATGATACCATTGCGAGCTGTCTCCAAAGCTGCGGCTGCGTGTTTTTTGTGTTGTTGTCGCTCACAGGTGCTGGCGCGTCGCTTCGCGCCGCGCTGCCCTCTCTTTTCAGAGGGCTCCCACTATCTCAAGAACGCTCCGCGCTGAACGAGAGGTGATTGATTCCCACCATGGCAGTAGCAAAGGCAGGAAGCAAGCGCATGTCAGATGTCAGAATGGCTCCCTGAGTTGGAACTTTGAATGGTCTTGATGTATCATACAAAGCAGCATTCTGCAAAATGGGTCGCTGTGCACGGTGATCAATCATCGGACCGCTTATCGCCTGAGCTGCACGCCCTGATAACGAACCATGAGCACAGCAGGCCCATCCAAGGCCGGCTCAACCAGCTCGACGCCTGCGCCGCCATCCGCAGCAGAAACGCTGTCACATACGCTGCATGCCAAGCCTTTCAAGAACCCCAGTTTCTCCAAGCCGCTCAACAGACGCAACAAGACACTGAAGCAGATCGTCACCGCAGAACGTGATCTCGCGCTGGGCATAGTTAATCGCAAGAAGGGCAAGAAAGGGCAGAATGGCGAAGAACCGCTCGTGATCATCCGCGGGAAGACCAAGCTTGCAGGCGCGGCAGCGAAGGCAGCCCTCAAGCGAGAAGCCAGAGCGAAGAAGGAGGCCGCGGCCAAGGCAGCAGCTGAAGCAGCTGAAGCCGCAGCCGCGGACGGAGAAGAAGGAGAAGAAGATGAGGCTGAGGCAAACGGTGAAGAAAGCTCGACCGCAACGCCAGCTCCCGCAGATCAGTCCTCGGCTGGAGCAACCACCGAGGGGGACGCCACCATGGACGACATAAGTATAAGCATGGTGGTTGCGGACACGCCAGCGTCCACGGCGCAACCTGCAGCGTCATCGCAGCCAAAAAAGGACGTTCCAAAGTGTGAGCTTGCCTCCGTAACCTCTGATCGCGTTTGCTCTCTCCAGTGCGATCCTGCTGACCATGGCTCTTGCGCCTTTGCAGATTTTACTGTTGAAGCCCCCCCAAGTCTCAGGGCTCGCAAAAAGTACTGTGATGTGACGGGACTTATTGTGAGTCCGAGTGACATTCGCTCATACCTTCACTTTCACTTACGCAAGCGCATGACTGCATGCAGGCACCGTACACAGACCCCCGCACACGATTGCGATATCACAGTGCAGAGATTTTCGAAATCATCAGGAACTTTGTGAGCGTGCTGTGGTCCTCCGTCGAATTCATGGTTGCAGTGCTGAAGTTTGCCTTCTTCGTGCAGGGTCCCGGCATGGATCAGGCATACCTTGCTTTACGCGGCGACTCCACTAGCATTAAATGAGAAGCCAATGGCACACGTGTACAATACAGCATCGATCCAACCTTATCACTACGCGATCCCACGTCTCAACCGTATCGTGTGGGGTGCATGTTGGGACGCCCTGACGCTGGGAATCCAGGCGGCGGCATCCGTGGCGGTAGACCTGGATGCATTGGCATTTGCGGCGGCGCGCCTGGATGCACAGGGTAGCCTGCAGGCGGAGGGCCGGGAGGTGCTCCAGGTGGAGGCGCTGGCCGATACACGGCATAGGCCGGATTCGGACTTTTGCCGCCGTGCAGTGGCGTTCGTCCATGCATCGCATTGGGCGTTCTCCCACCATAGAGTGGCGTGCGACCGGTCGTGTTTTGCGGCATCGTTTTGGAGACGTATTGAGTCTTGAATGCGTTGCATAGCGTAGGGACATCGGGAAGCTTGCCTTTGTTCATCATGAAGAAGCCTGGCAGCACCTTGACCATCCAGGACTGGATCGGCTTTTCCTTCTTTGGCTTGAATGAGAGCTTGAAATAACCCGCGTGTTTTGGATCGATGGTGAAGCCGTATTGTGAGCTGTCTGGATTGGCGAGACAATACTTAGTGAGAAATGCGTCTGGAGTTCCAGAAGGTAGCACGAATGAGCGATCGTAGCCATGCAGCAAATAATCTTTCGATGATCACACTCACTCAGCTCCTCCTCCGATTCCTTAAACTTTTCGTGATTGACCATCTCTTGCACTTTCTGATGCATTGGTTGAATGTGGCCGACGATAAGCTCATCGAGGTCTGAGTAAATCGCATCCCCGACTTTGAGTTCCTTGCCGAGAGTGTACTCGTCTTCCTTCTTGAGTTCCAGGACATCTGTGGGTAGAGGAAGGTCGCTCAGGCGCCACGATTCGCTGGTCTGAGGATTCGACTTCACTCACCAAGATGTTGGTAGACACCTTTGAATACACGCCAGGTGAGTGCAAGATGATCATTCCCGCGCGAACTTGGGCGGATGATCACAGCCCCATCCACGTCATTTGCGAGCATTTCCTCTGCCTTACCAGATTTCACGTAGTGGAACCGCGGATGCTTGATCAAGCGCACGATACTACCCTTCTGCTTGGCGCGACGTGCGGCCTCGGTCCTGACCGCAGACTCGTTCCTTAGCGTGTCAAAGTACTTCGGATCTGTTGGGGTTGCGCGCCACTTAGCGTCCATCTCTCTTCCTTGTCCCTGCACCCAGGATTCGATTGTTGCAAGCTCGAGGCGAAGGCTATCGTACCGAATTTGGCTAATCACCGCATCCACAGTCTGACCCACAGAAAAGCGGGATGACAGCTTCGGCTGACCAATCTGCATCCATGTGTCGATCGCATTGGGTGCGTAAACCTCGCCTTCAAGGCCTGACTCGTGACGAATGATGAGGAATGGATAGTCAGGTTCCACTCCATCTCGACGGCCTCGATCCATGATTTTGATGATTTTGACGGGAATGATGAGCTGGACGTCGATCGTGCGCTTTGTTTCGCCTGTGAGCATAGTGAGGATCTCATCTTCGGTCGGCAAGACGTACTCTAGGCGTTGATCGCCATACGGCGAAATAAGCTCGTTGTAGCACAGTGCTAAGGTGGTCCGTTTTCGCAGTCCATGCTCTGACTCGAGCATGGCGGCATAGTTGTCGAGATCTAGGGTGCTAAGCTTTGCCTTCACGTCCTCCCTCTCCATGAGCTCCTTGCAAGGCTCTGAGGCATGAATACCTTCCAAATCTTCTTCGTCTTTGCCCAGCGCGTCAGCGGCCATTTTGCGAGGATAGTCGTAGTCCTCCGGGTGAATTCTGGTGGTGTCCAAGATGTCTGGCTGGCCAATAACGCTTTCCTCAGGATCGGCAGAGTCTTCGATTTGCTCGATGCGCAAGAAGGATGCCGAATTGGTCCAAACACGAGCACCAATCACATCGTTCTGCATCAGGGAAACCCTGTTGATAACTCTACCGTCCATGGTGGCATTCACGTTGCGGATGAAGCCAGCTGCTTTTCTTGGCCCAAACCCGGCGACATACTGCAGTAGGTGTTGGTAATATGAATCGGAAAGTGCTTTGTTGACGCGGACACCGACTTCGTTGACGGCCGTGACCAAGGCAGTCTGAAGGTGTGCTTGAAGCATGTCTTTGGGAACCAAACGCTGGTGCTCGTTCAAGTTGATGGCCGTCAAGTCTTCGCCCAAAGCAGCGAATTCTTGCAATGGGGATTGCACATAGCGTGCCAGCGCCAAACAGTAGCGGCCGAGCAATGTAAGTTCCGGGTACTCCTCTGCGGCCCGTTGGCTGTGTTGGTAAATCCTTGCAATGTCGTCAAAAGTGTGAATAACGTCGATATGGGTCAATGTTTCGTGGTCTTGACCATCCTCATACTCCCTTGCAAGTTCCCCAGACGCCTCTGTCGCTACTGAGCGGATCTCCTCGCGCAGTTGAATCGTTCGCGGGCTGAAGCCGTTGACGACGATAACGTCCGGTTGGAATTGTTTGACTAGTGCGAGAAACTCCGCCCGAGGATCGTCAATGGGCTCGCGCGAGTGGGTGTAAGGCTCAAAGTTGTTGCGAATGGGGGGTCGAATGTGCGCAAAGCGGGCGGATCGGCGCATTCGTCCTAATGAGTCAAGAACAACCACTTGTATAGGGTCCTTGTGAGGAGCGCCATTGCCATGCGACACAGCCATCACCTTTGGGACGCTCGGGTTGGATTCTTCGTCTTCTTCCATGTCCTCCTTGCTTGCGCGAGCCTTCATGCTGAGGGAAGTGTAAGGTCTGACGCTGATTCTCTGCAAAAGATCCAGCACAAAGCAGACGTAAGAAAGCGAAACTCCAACAGTAGGGAGCGTACTCACTTTTGCGAGCTCGCCCTCGCATCGACGAGCAATGAACTCTCTGCACTCTTCACGCAGCCATTCTCGGATCCAAACATTTCCCATCGGCAGCAACACAGTCTTCAAAGCCTGTTCGATGATGCTTCTTCGCAGGCTGTTCCACTTTTGGCTGACGCTGCTGATCCCATCGCTAACCCAACCATCGGCAAGGGTGTTGTTGAGCTCTTCCGCCTTGTCTGCAGGTAGCTCGACCGTCATCCGGATCAGGGTCTCTGACTCGGCCTGCAGTGCGAGCAAAAATTGTACTTGCGAAGCAATGGGCTTTGGAGGCGTTTTGACCGGCACCCCATTCTCTGCAGGTAGCGGCGCCGGTGGCGCCGGTGGCGGCGCTAGGTACTCCGCCACGGGTTTGGCCCGTAGATACTTGAAGTTGTGGTACTGATGCTGTTCATCAATCTTGGCAACACCACGTTCAGTTGGTTCAATTGCAACTTCGGCGTGCGCTTTGAACCACGCGCGAACTTCTTTCCGAACCAGCGGGTGCTTGCCAATCTCGTGCGCCAAGAGCATCTTCCCGGCCTTCATTACAAGATCAGCGGTGGCAAAAGGCCCTCCGATGAACCCTTCTGCGGCCTGCTGCGGGTCAATCATCTCATCTTCGGTGTAGTGGACCTTGTGCCTGTTGGCAATATTCTCGGCGACTTCGTCGGTGGACAGCCCAAATCGCCCAGCGAACTCGCACACCGCGCTGTCTTTAATCTTCTCATACTCGCCGACCAGACTAGACTTTTTGTACGTAGCCGTGGCTTTCGTTGCCAGCTGAAGTTCTTTGTCGGATCCGCCAGCGAAGTTGTCGAGACTGCGCTGTTCGAGTGCTTGAATGTCGCGCATCTTCTGACCGTACCGCATCGCAAGGTACTCCGTCAAGTCTGTCACCTCCTCCAGGCTGTTGGCCGATTTGAGAAGCATTAAGAACTTTTCTCCTGTGATCGTGCTTGTCAAGTCCTCCGCCTCCTCCTCGCTCAGATTCATTTCAAGCGCGTGGATCTTAACGAAAAGCTTGCGCAGCGAGTCCTTTCTGACGATGAGCGTCCGGAACTTGAGTGCGGCATCCACAAGAGAGTGCAACTCGCGCTCCATTAGCAATGGAATCCTCCTGACCCTGTTTATGCTTTCGATATTATCGCGCTCTACTGTGCGCAGTTCCAGTTCGTCGTACCTGTGAGCGTAGAGATATGGCGCTTCCAGACCTTCATTAAGGACAAGCGAGATCATGAGCCTGATGCATTCAAGCCACTGTGGGTAGTATTCGCGCTCTGACGCGTCCTCATCGAGGAAGAAGCGCTTGCAGCGTCGTGAGATGCGGGTGCTGACCCACACCGCCGCTTGGTCGAGCTCTTCGCCTTGCAGCTGCTTGTCGAGCAGCTCGATCCCAGTGCCAGAGGGAAGGGAAAGCTGGATACGCTCGGGCAAATCGAGACGTCGGATCGTTTCGTCCTTCTCTGTGAGCATCTTTGCTGCAATCTGTGCAGGTTCGAAGACATCTTTGTAGGTGATCTTCTTTTTGCCACCCGTTGCTTCGTCTTCTTCTCCTTCGCTCCCGGCCTCCATCGCCCATTCGTAGTCATCTCCGCGTCCAAAGACTTCATGCAGGGCCTCCCAGGACTCGCGATCAAAGCCAACCTTTGACGGATCCATGCCGAGGGCCTTGCCAGCAGCCTTTTGACGCCTCTTCTGCTCCTTCCTTTCCAGGCGGAGTTGCTCCCTCTCGTCCTCATCGAGGTTCTCCTGGCTCATATCGTCATCGTCGATAAAATCGTCCAGATCGTCATCGTCTGCGTAATCAACCGCCTTGCTCTTGCGACCAGCCGAGAGGCCAGCTTGGATTGCATCGGCAAGTGTTGGCATCTCCTCATCGCTGTCATCAAAGATCTTGGAAAGGTCTTTTGCGACATCAACGCGCTTTGTTGTTGGAGATGCTGACCCACGACGGAATCTCTTGAGACGCTTCTGCGGGACAAAAAGGTATGAAATGTCAGCCAAGGAAGCAATACTGCTGAGCGTAAGATATGCGATCACTCACTGCATCCTTTCGCCTCTTGCGGCCAGTGTTCTCTGCAACCAGCTCCAGGTCCTCCTCATCTAGAGCCTCGTCTTCTTCTTCCTGTTGCTTTCTCTTTTCCTTTCGCCGCTCCCTGTGGCGTCGCTTTCGTTCTTCCTCGTCGTCCTCATCCTCATCCTCGTCTTCATCGACGATAAAGCCCTCTGCTACTCGGCGAGCCTCCTCTTCATCTTCCTCCTCCTCCTCTGAAGAATCTTCATCGCTCCCCTTGCCGGAGCCGACAATGTCTCCTTGCTCATTGTTCAGATCCTCCCCTTCGTCCGAACTGCGCGGCGAAGCCTCGTCATCTTGCCGGCGCGCAGCCTGTACGCGGCTCTCTTCGTCCGACATTCTGCGCGCGCCTGCAGTGGCACTCGCTACCTGGCTGTATGGCACACTGCTGGACGTTCTGCGCACTGAGTGTCATCAGAACTGAGGACAGCAAGTGGAGAAGAAAAGTCTCGTCCTTGTCAGTCCTATAAAGAACAATAAAGGTCTTCAGCAGTCGAGCTACTAATCGAAGTCTCGTTGGCAGTTGCCGCTGCGTCCGTTCCATGCGCCGCGCAACATTGTGGAAAGATTTACAAGTGTTCACCAATCATCTATGCCTGCACGCTCACACTCTCACGGACCTCAGTTACGCTGCTCAAAACAACTCTCCCGTATCCCTCAAGCCTCAGGCCGAGAGCGTCTGAAGCAGATGGAAAGAACCAGTGGATAAACAGCGGTGAGAACGGTCCATTACATGAAATACAGAGCATTTCCTGGATCTGATCGGTACTCCGGCGGTGAGCTCAAACTTCTTATAATTACAGGCAGAAGCGCAGGGGTACCAAAAGATGACATACGAAGGGCTTTCAGCAGGGGTAGCAGGTCGAAGGTGAGAGCGCGATGGGCGCAGATGCGACATTTGTATATTGCACTTGGCGGTGTTAGGTGCATATGCCATCTTGCAGCTGCAAGACTCGGCGTTTAGTGTCCGGCGCTGTGATGTATCTTGAGTGCCGTGGTATCGGCGGACTCGCGAGTAGACCTGCTTAGAACGCACCCGCGCCACAGCGACCCTAACAACGGCGCACATCATCCACGTTGGCAGGCCTTCGGTGGAAAACCCCTAGGAACGAAGAGGAAGCATTGGTGCGGGCGCCTGATGAACCAGAGGAGCCAAGTGCACCATCAAGGTACGGCAACGTCGCTGCTTACTCCGGGATAGCGTAGCCGAGCGATTGGGTTATGCCCTCGGTGTTTCCGCCTGGTATTTGTATGTTAGTGCCCTGCGGTGCTGATGTGGGCATTGGTGAGGGCACTGGCGAAGACTGTTGTGCTGGCAGCGAGGGGAGGGGCTGAGCTGCCGGCCATCAAGTTTGCCGTGGTGAGAATTGATGGATTTGGGCTCTCCATACTCGACAGCTGCGCAACGGAGCTGCCTCCAACTAGAAATCAACAGGTTCATACATGAAATCAGCAACGCTTTTTGAACTCCAGCAGCGTTCACGAATGCTTCCGAAACCACCGTTTTGAGAGGCCAGCAAGCCTTCAGTCGCCTGCGGTACAACGAGGAAACTCGCGGCCACCAGGGTATTGAGGAAGGAGATCAATTGTATATTGGTTGTCTTGCTCGGTTAGCTCTCAAGTTTCTCTTCTTGACTGCAGTGAATGAGGCGGGGATGAGTGTTCGAGGTTAGTACAATGCTTGGGAGAGGAATGTTGGGAACTGCTGTTCTACAATTACAATGGCATTGAGACGCTGCAGTGTCAATCCAATGCAAGGCGGAGAAGCTATGCAATATGGAGGGCACGGCGTGCGCGATCATCTGCGCGCCTGTGAGCAGACTAGCCTCGCTCTCAACTGTGTACGAGGAGATCCATCGCACCCACAAGTGTGCTATTCTCTGTGCCGCCGAGGGGTTGGCGAAGCAGCTTTTCGTCCTTTTGACGTCCTGGAGAATGGCCTAAGAGTCAGACTTCTTTCTTTTTGGAAGGCCTTGCATCCAAAAAAGATCGCAATGCCAAATTGAATGGTCGTGAAACGCGCTGCTGGGCGGGCTAGCATTCTTGAATGGGCACTAGACCACAGTTCAGTTGCAGATCAACCATTCAATGGACACTCCTCGTGGACTGGGCCGCAGTTACACGAATCTCGAAAGCATGCTGCACCAGTTGGTTCAAGTACTCTCCACAATACTCGAACTAATAGAGTACGCGAAGCATGCCCAATGCCAAGCCTGATGGTACCTTGTCGGCTTCAACTGTCAAGCAGCATGTACTATCGTTAGAGCAAGATGCGTTCATGGGTGTACCATTCAAAGATTCGCCCATGTAAAAGTGCTTCCTCTTCAAGCAGAGCAGAATCGCCGACCATAAGCGAAGTACAAGGAGAAGACGCTCGTCGGGTTCCAGTTGGGGAGTCGGGTATAAGCCCGAATGCCCAGCCAGTTGCAACCCTTTCATGAACTCCTTCGACTATACAGATCTTCTCCATTGACTGATCTTGCACGTAATGGTTCAGCACGGATAATCCGCAGCCTACATCGATGAAGCCTATTTCCTTATTGACACTTGAAAATCTTTCAAAGACTGCCCTTTTAATGTCACCCACCGCGGCTCACTATATAGTCGTGAGGCTTGCTCAAACGAGTCGATTGACGCATTCAAAGTCCACGGAATCGGTCGTTCGTCGATCTTTATGATGGATTTGACCCCGATACAGCCAATGGTTGCGTAGGAGAAGATGATTAGTTGTCCACAGCCCGCTCGAATGGAGAAAGCAGCATGTCAGACAAACCGCTCTGGACCGATACATTCAACGAAACTACGACACGTTCAGGACAGCCAATCATTCTGAGCATTGAACAGAAAGCAGGTAGGCAAAGCCCGGGTACTCCCACGAAATACGTTAGATGGTCAGGAAGAATTCTCTTCGAATTACCAACAGGGCTCATTCTATCGTTGCACGCTAGTACCGACCTTCAACTGGACAGCTTCGAGCCAGCACCCGGTCCCGACAACTGCTTATAAACGTCATCCAATGTTTTCATGAGCTTTCGATGTATTATGGACAGCAAAATATGATTAGTCCTTTAAGCCAAAGCGATGCGCCCAAGTTGGTTGTAGCAGCCGAATATCCACCTGTCTCTTCCAGATTCGTGTGCAGGCCAGAAGCTGTGAGGACGCTTTGATGTACTTTAGCACCTTTGAGAGACCAGCTTGCTTGCTATTTGCGAGTAAAAGTAAGTACGCCCATGCATTGTACCAATTTATCACCCTCTCGATAGCGATAGCCAGTGTGCTTGCGACAATTTCACATACTCAGTGACGCCGCTGATGCCCCTCCCATCGAGAATTCGCGTGTTCAAGAGATTTGCTGTCGAGCTGACTGGGTTGCTCGCATGCAACCCAGTCAGCTCGAAGGCGTACTAGGGCGTACACCTTCAAGGTGTCAAGGGCAATGCATCGCATGAAAGAACGATAAGATGCGTGCTATGCTCTAGTAGAAATTGCAGTGCGTGAAGTACAGGTAGAAAATTACGTGGGGGACCGGCAGGACGCAGGTTTCTATGAAACGTCCATGCTCTGCGGCTCAGGCTCCTGCTGCTTTGTCTCCTGTGAACCTGTCACTCTATCATGTTCAACACTAGCAGTTAAGATCCCGGCATCCGCCCCTCCCGCTGCTGTGGCTGCTATTAGTGCTCCCGCAACAGCGGGAGGCGCTATGGTAAGCAGCGGCACCTGAATGTCCTTCAGATCTGGTGCCGTTTTGCCGCCAGCAGCCGCCTTCATCTTGCGTGTGACATCCGTCTCATCTACAAAGATGCCAACTCGAGCAAGCATGGTCCTCAGTCGGAGCACCTCCTCTCTCGCCTCCTTGAGCGCTATGTCGCGTCGTTCCATCCGCGTACGCAGGCGCAATAGGTACTCGTTGCTGTGCCGTAAAAGCGAGACTTTCGAGATGCCCTTGTTTGCGATGCGCGCCTGCTCCGGATCGGCAATCTCAGCGACGGAGAATTGTTCCAATTCTTCGTCCTCCTGTAGGCCATCTGGCCCGAGGATAGAGCCCCCTGGTGCCTCGTCGTCGACCATGATGGCCGGTAGATAGCCTCGTAGCTCGTCCAAAGAATACTTGAGACTGTCTCGCCTCTTTTGCTCGGCTGCCTTGTGCGAAGTCCTGCGCGAATCTACCCCTTCGCCACCCTTGATCTTGATTGACATCCAAGCATCTCGATCGGCGCTGGACAAGCCTGGGGTTGGTAAAATTCCGGATCAGGTTAGGGGTCTGACAGGCCCAACCACGCTAAGACTCACCACCCGGCAAAATGGGCTGCGCACTGGCCTTGCCTGCTGGAGTACTGAATGTAACTCGACTACTCTCGGAGCCGCTCGCCTTGCCCTTCTCCTTGAGAGAACTTCTCGTCGGACTAGGCGAAGCGACAGACGAGCCTTTCCCACTCGCTTGCACTAAGCCTTGCGTTTGGACTTGCTGAGCCAGGTGCGGCAGGTGCTGCAAGGCTGCGCTTTGTAGTTGCTGACCCTGCTGCTGCCTCTGCGCCTGTGTCGGCGCCTGCAGCTGCCGATTACTCAAGCCCATGATGGAAGCCGGTGTGAGCGGCTGCGATGTCCCTGTATGGAGCGGTACGAATCCTTGCGATTCAGCATTCAGGTCGATCGGTGAAGGCGTCGATGTGGTCCCGCCCTCGGGCGAAGCATCCATTGAAATCCCCTGGCCGTTCGTGAGTCCAAGTGGCGGAAAGCCGTTCGAAAGATTTTGCGCTGCAGCTGCGGCGGCGGCGGCGACGGCTGCCATACTACCGACCACCTGGCCATTGATGATTGTCTGCCCTTGCGCGGCAGTCGCACCTGCACCGACGCTCTGGTTGCGTGCCATGCTCGAGCTTCTGGAACGCGCCTGCGAGCCGCCGCCATTGCTGGCAGCAGGCAGCGCGAATGCACCATTCTTCTCAGAAATCGATCCCCGGCGCGATCCAGGTTGGCTCATGCTGTTGCCGGCACCTGCGGCACCAAACGGCATGCTAGGGCTTGGCAAAGTGCTAGTGGACATTGAATTGTCTCTCCGCCGTCGGCCCGTCTGCGGCTTCATTAGCGGCGACGGCCGGACCTTGCTCGATTTGCCCTCCATCAAACTTGCACCGCGTTGCTTGCGCGTGCCCGTCCCTGCGCCACCACCACCACTACCACTAACACCACCGCTGCCGCTTCCATTGCTGCTGGACGGCGGCGGACCAGACCGGCCGATAAGCGCCAGTGGCGAAGCAGTCGGTGTGGTGCTAATGTAATAGTGCGAGGTATGGTGACCATGTGTATGCGCTTGCGGATATGGCGCAGCGGGAGAAGAAGCAGCATTCAGATTCGCATACGCTATACTTGGCGGGAGCATCTCTCCGAGGGGCGGCGGATCAGGCCGAAGTGCGGGTGAGACGAGCGGAGAGAAGAAATCGCTGCTGCTCGCGACGGACGAGTTGCCCAGGGCGGAAAAGACGCTGGCGGGTGTGATGGCTGGCGATTCGACTGGCGTATGCATCACGCTGTTACCGGCCGCTGCTGGGCCATACGCGCAGTGATGAGCTTGAGGGAGTGAATGACCTTGGCCCTGCGCAGAATGGTGCGATACATTGGACATGTCTCCACCAGGAGTATTACCGGTCGTGAAAATTCCCGATCCGCTGGGGATCTGCAGGGGACTGGGTATACCATGCTGCGAAGCCAAGTTCGAGATATTGAAAGACCCCGAATTGACCGGCGTGAGTAGGCCATACTGAGCTAGTACGCCTGCATGGAGGTTGATCGCAGCGGATGGGGCCATGGACGAGCCGCCAATGGAGAGCTGGCCCGAGGCAAAGGCCTGCTGCAGTTGTGCAGCAGCTGTGTTGAGTTGGTTCAAGTCGACAGATGAGCCAAATGAAGCGGGAGAGAACGGCTGGACTTGATTGTTCTGCTGCTGCTGCTGCTGTTGCAACTGCAGCAGCTGCAAGATTGCCTGTTGTTGTTGATGCTGTTGGTGCAGCAGCAGCAGCTGCTGCTGCTGTTGCTGAGTAGCCTGAGACTGTTGCTGATGCCCTTCTTGCGGCCCAAATGCAGGGCTCGCAACTTGCATACGTTCCAGCTGTTGCTTGAGCCAAGCAGCCTGTTGAACAAGTTGGAGGTGCGCCAGGCCCTTTCCCTCTGCATCTACCTGTCCCGATAACCCATGCTGGGGGAGCTGCGGTAAGGAGCTTCCCAGACCCTCAGAATCTCGCCGATCTACCCTTGGTGAGTCAACGCGGTTGACCTGCTTGCTCGCGGTGCGCCTGTGCGCCTGCCCAGCAATACCACTTTCCGCCGAGAACGATCCCGCTGCTGCTCCGGTTGCTCCTCTCGCCGAACGTATCGAAGCAGGACTTGGCGCCGAGGAGCCTCCATGGGGCGAGTCAGCCGAGGAAATGGAGCTGCTTTTTAACGAACATGGTGCTGTTGCCGGGGAGCCGTGTAGACTCATCCCTGAGGAAAGCAGCTGTGGTGCTTTGTGCTGCTGCTTCTCTTGTTGCTGTTGCTGTGACTGAGAACCAGAGCTGCGAGCCGAAGGAATAGCACTAGGGTCCCTTAAGAAAGCTTCTCCAAAAGAATTCATATCATCCATGTTGGATGGCAGCTGAAAATCAGAAAAGACGAGATCATGGAAAGAGAATTGCGACGAGGCCGGAGAACTTGCCGCTGCCTGATTTTGCTCGACGGTAGCGCTGATCACACCGTCGGCTTGTTGCTGCTTTTGTAGTTGGTCACCTCGTGCTGCTGTAGATGACGCTGTGATCACAGCCGGCATCGTTGTGGATGCTTCTTTGTGGCCTGCTTGCAATTTCTGATCCTACCCTTGGACTTAACCGCGCTACTGCTAAAGTGCCCGGTGTTGCGTCTGCTGGGACGAACGGGGCGGGTTGCAGCAAAGCAGTACCGTCACCACTGTTACTTTGCCACAGCTTTGTGATGATCTAGAGAAGTGGGTCGCTGCGGTTGATGTGCTGAGTGTGTGTACCGTGGCTATTGTGCACCCGATGATTGCCCGTTCCACCTCGAGGTAGTTGCCAATCGCACCTCTGTTCACAAGGTAACCGCCGTGACGAAGCGCCAACGCAGAACAAGCTCGGCTCTGTCTTTCAAATACTACGCGCAATGACTTGACCAAGCACGAATGACTATGGTCAAGCCAACTGACGCAGCGGGCTGGACTGCATGCAAGTGAGGGCGTGTCGGTGTCGAGGAGATCAGTCCGATGGGCGCTCAATGGGTGCGACAAGTGAAGGTCCGACTCACACTGTGTCTACTTGCTCGATCCGCAAGTCGCCTTCTTTCTCTCTCAAAGTAAGCTACTCTAGCTGCTTTCCCAATGACGTTGATAGCTTGGCCACCTTGTACGAAGATGGGGTTGGCAGCGCGTGGATGGAGATAGACCCATTCAGCTCATCAGACTCATGGGATTGTTAAGCTCTCCTAGCCAGAAGCTGCTCGTGACCAACTTTTTTCCACCGGTGTGATGTGAGAGAAACGAAACTTGGCCAGCGCACCCCAAATCCCTCCCATCACCTTTACTGCCTCTGCATGGTCAACCTGCAGGTGCTGCGCGAAAAGTGGGCCAAAATACCCTCTGAATCCCCCGGAGGGTTCACCAAATTTCGCGAACGAGTGGGAAACTCATCACTGTTCGACACACGAAGCAGTTTGGTTCTTTAGCCTATTCCTTGCCTTTGCAGTAAGTCCACTTGGCCCGAGTCGCTGAAACGCTGCAAAGGTGCAATTCCTGGGGTTACGGAGGGCTTAGCCAGTATATCACACCCAGTGTGCCCGGGCTTTGGAGTCCACAGAGTCGCTCACAAACTGGTGGCACGCTCGAACATTCATCAGCATCGCTCTTCTACAGCTTTCTCTCGCAATTTTCGGGGCAATTCATTATTGTGCCACTTGGCCCATCTTCGATAACATCGCTCCGACTCCCCGACCTCAGAACACCGACACAGTCCAGAAGTGGAGTTTTTTTACTGGCTGATGGCAAAAGAGTTCTGCAGATTGCAGCGGAAGCTTACGCCACTGGCTGGCCGTCGTTTATCCTGATTCCATGTGCTTTCGGCCCTTCTCGGTGAGTGGTGTGCGCCAGGTGCGATCGCGCAATGATCAGGTCACTACTGTCCGCCAGAGTTCGATCAGCGATATCCATCTGAGGCAGGGTGCGCTTGAGCAGGAAGAAGGTATGTACAGATATGATGTTTGTGTGGGCTCAGGTCATGAACAAGTTTACGGCTCCTGCCCGAGTTTCTTGAACGTCCCGTCCATTGCCTCCTTGATCTGGCGGTAGACTGCCTCCTTGCTCTCCACAGAATCAACCTCGACAACCTTGCCTTCCTTGCCATAGTACTCAACAACGGGCATGCTCGTCTCCTCGAACGTCCTGAAGCGCTTCTTGATGCTCTCCGCATTGTCGTCCGTGCGTCCGCTGGTTTTGCCGCGCTCCAGCAGGCGCTCCAGCATCACCTCCTCCGTGCAACGCAAGAAAAGCACAAAGCGAGACTCGCACACTTTGCTGTCAAACTCGAGCGCCTGGTCCATCTTGCGCGGGAAACCGTCGATCAGGAAGCGCCCTCTCCCATCGGACCACTTAGATGCCGCCGAGGGTGTGTTGGACGGTGGTGATGCCAGCGCTGCTTTCATTGCATTCCGGAGCAGCGCGATCGTCACCTCTTGTGGAACGATCTTGCCTTCTTTGATGTAGTCCGCGATCAGCTGGCCGTATTCGGAGCCTTCCCGGGCCTGCTCGGCACGGAGCAGGTCACCAGCTGAAGGCAAACAAGCGGTGGTGATTCTTCAGGTTGTATGTAAGCGAACCGATTTGCAGCGGAGGAAAGACTCACCACTCAGGTGCACAAAGTCATAGTCCTTGACCAGATTCTCGCACTGCGTACCTTTGCCCGCGCCAGGCCCGCCGAGCACAAAGATGACTGTGACTTGTGACGAGTCGAATCGAACCTCTTGCGTTGGCGCCATTTTGATGAAACCTTCCTTTCTCTCGTCTATTTTCTACTTGAAAACAGGTACGCAATAGACCTAGGACACGTGCTCCTGCTTGGGAGGTATGAGCGGGTTGGGATGTGGCTTGCGCTTCTCACGGCCCTCCTTGTCCGGATCCAGGTGCCGTGTCTGCGAGACGTAGGCAAATGCTCCAAACGCAGCGGCGCCTATCAGTACGAACCCCAGAAGATTGGGTGCTGAGGATGAATGAGTGGACGAGGCCTTGTTGCGAGGCGCTGAAGAGTACGGGCGTGCGTGTACCGCTGGTGTTCCCAAGAGAGGACGAAGAAAAAGGGGAAGAGCAAGAGATGGCTTGTTGAGAACAGGAATCGCCATCAGATTCTATCCTTGCTTGCGTTGCTTTCTCGGTGTTGCGCTGCAGGCTGATAGTAGAGTAGACTCTGCGCAGTTTGGACGAAGCAGATGCCAGTTGAGTAGATCCAACCGAATCTGGAATGTAAATCAAATGTGAGCGGGCATGTGCGCTGTCAGCACTTCAGTCGTGAGAGGTACTTGAGATGGCGATGAGGCAAAGCCGCTTAAAGGAGGGCGGCGGGGATCATCCCTGCGGGACCCGGGACTCGGCGCCGGGTTAGGGTTAGTTCTGGCTGACTGTAACTATAGGGTGCCGTGCCCACGCGCGCAACCAAGCCATCCATCCTCATCACCGGCTCGCCTATTGATATCTTCATCAGATGCCCGATCATCGACATGCCCATCCCTCTTGTCCTGCAGTAGGGTGTATATCGGAAACAGTTTCGACGAAGACAGACACTTCTATTTCCAGCGCCAAAGGTCCAGCCCAGTGTGGCCGTAACGCGTGTGAGAACCTCTTGCACTCGTTTCATAACCTAAGCCGACGGCGGCACGTGTCAAGAGTCAGTCATCTGCCTCTCCCTATCGGACAAGGAGCAAGCATGGCATCAATCATCGAGACGCTCTTTGGGCGTGCCAAGACGCCAGCTGAGCGCCTGCGGCAGAACCAGCGCACATTGCAGAAAGCCCAGCGGGAGCTGGATCGTGAGAGGGCCAAATTGGAGCAACAAGAGAAAAAGCTCGTGATCGATATCAAGAAGACCGCCAAGGAGGGGCAAATGGTGCGCCTCTCAATTGCAAAGATAGCAGATAAGAAGCATTTCTTCCCCTGCGCTGACTGAACCATCTCCGATTTGCGGACTCTGCGACCACTTTCACTCCTTCGCCAGACTGCATGCAAAGTGATGGCACGCGATTTGGTCCGCACGAGACGGCATATCCAAAAATTCTACCAGATGCGAACGCAGCTCCAGGCAATCTCACTACGCATACAAGCTCTTCGCAGTAACCAGCAGATGGCAGAGGCCATGCGAGGAGCGACAAGGGTGAGTCTGGTTGGCGCGACGCTGCTTGATCGACTGTCTGGCTGATCCTCCTTGATTTGCGATGCGTAGGCGATGGGCATGATGAACCGGCAAATGAACCTCCCCGCGATCCAGCGCATCATGCGAGAATTCGAGCGCGAGTCAGCCACGATGGACCTGAAGGAAGAGATGATGACTGACGCAGTCGATGAAGCGATGGATGATGATGCAGAGGGTGTCGGAGAGGAGGAGGAAGGAGATGCAATTCTCAAAGAGGTACTTGACGAGATTGGCGTCAGCCTCGGCCAACAGGTGCGTTTTAGCGAGAGTTTCTTTGAGACCTTAGCCAATCGCTCGTGCGTGCACCGGGTGTATGCACTGACCCTTATGACCATTAACGCTCGCATACTCGGCCCTACAGCTCGGTGCAGCACCGACCGACACGCTCACATTACCGAACGCCGCGCCGGCAGCAAAAGTCGCAATCGGCGAAGGGGTAGGTTCAAGCCCGAGCGCCGGAGGCGTTCGCTCGATAGGCAAAGCCGGGGGTGCAGGAGCAGGAGCCGGGGCCGGAGGCGGTGGTGGTAGAGGTATGAGCGACGAAGACGCGCTCCAGGCGCGACTAGACAGTCTACGGCGAGATTGACGGCTGAACACGCGAGGATTCCTTTCGGCCATTGCAATTTTTGAGAACTATTCGGTTATGGACACATGTATCACAACAGAGGAAGGGTGCAACCGGACAGATTTTCATGGCATGCACTGAGGCGCCGGGGCGACTGCGAGAGATGGTATAGACTGAGTCAAAAATGACAGCTGCCGTAGCTGGAGACTGAAGCAGCGGTTGGTGATCGACAGTGGAGAGACATGTTGACGCTCATATTTTGGCACAATTCTGTTTGAGAATACAAGGCCACATCCCACATTCGCCTTTGCAAATTGAAAAATTGAAGACCATCAGAGGAGCCAGGAAGGAAAAGAAAAGCCTTGAAATGAGGTGAGGGATAAAGAGAGCGCCTCGCCTGCCTGCCTGCATCGTCTTACGTACAATCCCATCGCATTGCTCTAAAGCGCATCGCAGCTTCGCGCATCCCTCCTACTTGCAGCTCGCATGCTCTCAGCGGATACGACCGTTCGCGGTTGATAATCCACTTTGCAAAGCACACCTGCGCGTTTCCCGCGTTCGGCTCCTTCGCAACCGGGTGGCCTTGATGGTCCTGGCATTTCCTGCAATGTGCGGATGGGCCAGCAAAAGATGGAAAGTGCGGGTTACGTGCCATACTTGCATTTGCCAGCAATGTGACTTTTTCTCTCCAGATGGGGATGGGTGGAAGATTGTGGTATGCCTGCGATGTTGACGCAGTGGTGTGGTGTAGCGCAGCGGCGGAAACGAAGCGGAGCGGAAGGACGACAGAACGCAAGAAGGAAGGGTACAAGGAAGTGCAACAGGCGACGAGTCTGGCGTGGACGAGTCGAAGACGTAAGGTGGAGTTGGAGCGGAAAAAGGTATTGATTGAGTGAGACCGGAAAGATGCTTACGTTTGCTGCGTTCAATCGTTGCTGCGCGGGGAGACCTTTGGATCCACTGCTGCAAGGAGTGGGTGGGAGAGCACAGCTTTTTTGATGCTGTCTTGTGAGCAGTTGAAAAGGCCGGAAATGCAGGGTGTGGGGGATCGAGGGGCTTTCCTTTTTCTTAAGCTTCATCATTGGTAGTTTGGGTTCGCGAGAATGGGACGAGGAACAAAAGTTTTGCGATTCTGATTTCATTGTGGATGGAAGTTTCAAGTTACCGACATTGACGTGAGCAAAGGGGGTCTCTGACCAAAGTGGCGTGCCTGCGTTGCATGCGCGAGCGAGCTAATAGGAGGTCAAAACAAAGAGAGACTAGCGAATGGACGCGGGGGATGCCTTTGCCTTTTCCTTCGTTTTTTTCTCTTAACGTCGACTAATCAATCGAGGCTGACCTTCATCGACTCAAGAGGGATGGGCGTAAAGTTGTGTATGTCGATTCCGCGTGCAAGGAGCGCCTGCTCTGCATGCTGGGGCACGAGCTTGGAGATGAGGTCTGGGCGCACGCTGAGTTCCTCCTTGGTAAAGTTGAAGAGCGGGGGCATGCTCCTGCCGTTGGGCATGACGGCGTCGCCGGTGCGCAGCTCGTCGAAGAACGGGTGGCACATGGCCTCGATGGCGGTGAGGCGCGCGCCGGGCGTGTACTCAAGCAGGTGGCTGATCAGGTCAATCGCTTCTGGTGGCGTGCGCGGGCGGAAGACCTTGCTGAACGGATGCGGCCGGATCTGCGGGAACTTGTGCTCCATGTAATTCGGGTTCATCGTCTTGATCTGCTCGCGCGATGGCGTGCCGAGCACTTTGATGATCTCGACCAGCTGGTCGATCCCACTCTCGCCGGGGAAGAGCGGCTGCCCTTGCATCAGCTCGGCCATGACACAGCCGGTGGACCAGATGTCGATGTTCGTCGTGTAGTTCGTCGCGCCAAAGATCAGCTCCGGCGCGCGGTAGTACCGTGAGCAGATGTACGACACGTTCGGCTCGCCTGCGACGAGGATCTTGGCGCTCCCAAAGTCGCACAGTTTCAGCACGCCCGTGTGCGGGTTAAGTAGCAAGTTTTGTGGCTTGATATCTCGGTGGCAAATGCCGATCGAGTGGATGTACGCGAGCGAGCGCAACAGCTGGTACATGTACAGCTTGATCAGCAGCATCGGCATTGTCTGCTTCATCTTGGCATAGTGCCGTAGCGCCCGGTACACCGTCTCTGGCACAAATTCCAGCACCAGATTCAAGAACACCTCGTCTTTCTGAGAGCGCCATAATCACGAGCGGAGGGGAAAACATGCAGAAGAAATATTCCGAGTCAGCTACTACTGCCAACGTGCTATGCAGGAAGGCTTCTAGCAGCAGCATCCGCGGGCACGCACCTTCTCGCCATTGGAGTAAAAGAAAGCCCTTAGGTCCACGACATTTGGATGTTTGACGATGCGCATGATCTGCAGCTCTCGATTCTGCAGTAAGGCAACGAGAGTCATTGTTAGCGCAATAAAGCTAGAAAGAGCGAGACCAGCCGATTCCGGAATGCCTTGCCGAGGGAGGCTCAGCGGCGAGGTTACGCACCTTGAATCGCTTATCTTGCAATACCTTTTTGATCGCCACATCGTCCTGGCCCGGTTCTTTTGAACTGCTGCTGTTACTGGCTGAGCTCACGCCCGTCGCCCCCGTATCTGTTCCTTCCGCATCTGCTGCTGGCGCCGCCGCTGCTGCTGCTGAAGAGGATGAGGATGCATCTGCCCCTGCTGACGATGACGCTGCTGCTGACCCTGCTGAGCCGGGCACGAGCTTGGCCTGGAAGACGACGCCAAAGGAGCCGTTGCCAATGACTTTGCACGAGGTGTACGCCAGCTCGCACTGCTCGCCCGACTTACCGTCGGATGCGAGCACCTTGATCACCTTGAGTGGGTCATCGAGGGCTGTGGGGCAGTGGGCCGGGAGAGAAGGCAGGGAGATGTATCAGCATGAGGTGTGAGCGAGCGGAAGGGCAGCTCCATGCGAATATAGGCTATGCGTCATGCAGCTTCAAGGGAGGCAGGCACCCAAAATATCATGGGCAGCGGGGTCCCCAACAGTGTTCCAAGTAAGCACGTGGTGGCACTGCACATCCATCCCACTCGACATGCCCTGCGCTCCGCGCTGGCTTGCGCCTTGATCGATGGACCACGTCCTCCCCATCCCGACATTATCGTCGCCCTCTTCATGTTCTTTATCAATCCAGGCGAAGGGTGGGGAGCGAGGAGCCGCACCGCGGGCCGACATGCCACCCTCGCCTTGACCGGCCCCATCCGGATGCAAAGAGCCTGCGAGCACAACGAACACCAGCGCTAGCACAGCAGGCCGCAGCACTAGCATTTCTTCCCCTTGGTGCCATGCACGCAGGCAGTCGGCCGACAGACAAGCGCAAGCCGACAGCTGCGCGCACGCGACGCCGGGAAGTAACGCTATGGACCACGTGACAGCAGCTGGGCCACGCCAAGTCACAGCTGGGTAGCTTTGCACAGGCTGGCTGCTTCGCTCACACAACCTTGACTCTCTCTCTCTCCCGGCGTTTCAATTGCGCCAGCCCGCCACGATCGTACTGCACTCTCTGCACGTTCCACACGGTCCCTCCCTCTGCTGTTATTGTCAGTGTCTTGCTGTTCGTAACTTGGTAGCGTCGCGAGCACGTCCTGCACGAGCGCCCGCTCTGCCACGTGCGACTACTACGACCGCTCGGAAGGTTCAAGGGCGGCGGGATGGCCTGGCTAGCTGTGCTGTGCTATACTGTCTTTCCGAGGCTTTTTGCGTGGATGCAAGCGAGAAGGAGAATGGGAAAGAGAGGATGGACTCACGATGCAATTTGACGCCGTTGATGGGTGCGCTAGACATGATGGTGATTTGTGTTGCTTGCGAAGCGCAGCCTTCTGTCTCGCCTAGCGTAGCTTGTCGTATGTGCTCGCCTGCCTGGGTTATCTCTTCCGTCTCCTCCTTGTTTCTTTTCAGGAAAGGGCAAGTGTCTTTGGCGGCCAAGGGTGCTGGCTCGACGCGGCGGCCTCGTTGGTGCTTGTACTGGTGCACACGCGCTTGTGCATACACCACGAGACAACACGAGATGTGCCGGTGGTGCGAATGCCAACAACAGGTATGTATGTACGCACACGATCAGCTGGCTGGTTGATCGAGGTCGCCGGCGAGAAGAGAAAAGAGAGAAAGAGAGAATGTCCGACGATACTCGACAGTACCGGGCGAGCAAGCGGGTAATGCGTCCGATGAAGGGGGGTGTCGAGCTGGGCTGGGTTGCGCGGAGAGAGAAGGTAGAGATGAAGTTGTGTATGCCATGGGAGGAGTTGTGGGGGACGGGGGGGAGGAGTGTGTGTCGGTGTGTAGGCCAGGTGGGTGGGTGGGAGGAGAGTTGCAAGGAAAGCGATGAGTGTCTGCCCGCTCATCGTCTCTCATCCTTTCTTTCCCTTTCTGTTTTGGCGGCCGAACAGAGAGGAAAGGAGCCTTGCCTGTGAGCTGGTGTGCGTGTTGGGGAGGCGTCTCCGCCTGCCCAGTCCTGCCTGCTTGACGTTGGCGAGGGGCGCAAGAGGGCAGCGCTTGGACCGCCCCCTTTCCTGGCCTCGCGTGCGGACTGCCGTCAGGTGCCCATTGTCAGTCGAGTCGCGTCCCGCCTGGTGATGAGTTGTGGCTGCTGGCTGGCGGGCGCTGGGCGCAGCAGCTGCGAGAGAGCGCGGCAAGCAGCGCAGAGCCGAGGACACTGGAGAGCGCAAACGCCAGGCAGGCCAGAGCGGAACGCGGAAGTGACTATGTATGTATTGGCAAAACATGAATGAGGCAGAGCGCGCGGGCCACTTTCTTGCAGCGCCTTGCGGACCCTTCATACTTAGTTCTCGAAAGAAACGAACTGACTTTTGGGCCATTGGAGCTAACCGGGCCACCACACTCCTCCAGCTTTGGGTTGCACTGACCGCACACTTCAACTTCGTTACAGCTGGAAGGGGGGGGGCGGCATGCTGGGTTGGTATCCGCCCCAACACCCATATCGACAGGCTCGAGGTCGGAGAGCTGCAACTCGTGATCATATTCACTTGCGCCGGTGGGGGGGGGGACCAGGTGGCGTGCGCTCGCTGCATGGTGCTCATTCGGACAGGCTTGATCCTCCCGCCAGCGCCGCCAGCCACCTGTAGGCTTTTGGGCCACTCGCTCACAGGCCGACGCGCGCCATCCTTGCTCCTTGCAGCCAGTGTCCATTGCGCGGCACATCGTGCGGCCACGCCTCCCATCCTGCTGCGACATCTCATGTGCGTTCTTCCACCGGAACATCAGTGCCGACGCCGCCGTCATCAGCATCAGCACCTAGCTTCCACCCGTACATACACCGAAAACGGCCAAGATGGACTACATACCTCCATGCGACCTCACCGGAGACCTTTCCTTCGCCGCCCCCGCCAAGATCAGGGTCCTGCTGACGCCCGCGGTCGTGCCTTCGTCAGCAGGGGGCCCCAGCAGCTCGGCATATTCGCAGCGCGATTTTGAGAAGTGGGCCGATCATGTGCGGAGCTTTGCCAGCATCAAGCTCTCCGACTTACCCAGGAGCACTGCAGGGAGAGCAGGGCCCCGTGAGTTCTTTTTTTGCAAATCTCAGATAATCCCCCCAGTGTACTGAGAAGTGCGCACTCGCAGCGCAAGACTCGCCTCTCTATCGCAAGGGCGAGATCCACCTTTCCTTTGTCACCTCGTACGATCCTGCGCACGCCTTCTTGGCGCCGTTCAACCTGCACAGACAGGTCCTTGGCGTCATTGGGATCGCGACCGTCCCACGTGCTGCCAGCGGCAACCATGCTTCTGCTGTATCACCGGGGGGAGCGGGCGCTGGTGCTAGCACTTGCAATGGCCACGCCAGCAGCAGCAGCACGGCTGACTACGGCAAGCTCCACCACACCCCGCACGCGCTTCGAAATCAGCATCCAGGCGCAGTCATCCACCGCGTCTTTGCCTTTGACACGAGTGATGCGGAGCAGGACGCAGAGGGCGATGCGGACTTGGGCTCTGGCGAGGCGCTGCAAGGGAACGACGAGGACGAGGACAATCTAGGCGAGCTGTCCAAATGCGGCGACACAGATGACGATGGCTACGATCCCGAGGACGAGGTAGAGAAGGCCAATATGAAGGCGCTGCAAGAGCAGGCCGCCGCCACCGGGTACGGCGCTGGCAGCGGCGGCTTTGGCTCGCAAGCGGCTGAGGGCCTCATCGTCATACCCGCTATGCGCAAGGACCAAAAGGATGTCAAGTTCTACCTGCGCCAACTCGTCACGGACTTTGTCTGCTCGCTGCTTGACGGCCTCGATTCGGTCGTCGCCGGCCTCAAGGGCTCGCCACTCGAGACGCCGCGTGAGACGCTCGACGTCGGCCTCGAGGTGTCGGTTGCGAATGGATCTTCCAGCGCCGGTGGGACGTTGCCTGGCGCTAACATGGACGGGGGGCGGTCGCATACATGGGAACTCGGCGCGGCGGCCAGTCGCGCTAGCTCGCTCTTCAGCTTCGGCAGCAGCTCTTCTGGCCCGTTGTCACTCGGTGGCGCGCACGCGAACGGCATCGGCGGCGGGCAGCAGCCCGACGTCCTATCGTCCTTTTCATCTGGTATGGCGGGCGCAAGTTCGTCCGCGAAGTCCAAGACGCTTAAGAAGGTTATCGACTCTACACGCGGTAGCGCCGGCAGCAGCAGTAGCAACAACAGCAAGCGCGTTCAGTCCATGGGCGGCTCTGGGCCGACAGGCGAGGGGCGGCACACAAAGGTCCTTGCGGACTACTGCCTGCTCGCCGGCGACCTGTGGAGTGCGATTAGTTACTACGACCTTGCGATGAAGTGGATGGGAAAGGAGCGCTGCCTCGCCGGTGGCCAGGATGCCGTCTGGTTCGCCAGCGCACTTGAGGGCTGGGCCGTTACGAAGGCGCTCATGGCGCGATTGGGAAAGAGCGTGTCTGAGAGGGTGAGTGTCTGGCACTACGTTCGCCCGTCTCACACATTGATCGCTTGCAGAATGAAATGCAACACCGCGCTGAGCCTGTGTCCACTTTTATCTTGTCCTGCTCGCCGTATTAGGCTCCGCCAAGCGCGCTCACCAGCACCAAAGACAAGGAGAAGAAGGAAAAGGAAAAGGAGAAGGATGGGACGGCAGAGCTGCCGTACGAGGACCTCCCCTGGGAGTCGATCGCCGAAGCGTACACCGTCGCAATCCAGATCTACGCCAAATGCCTCGCGCCGCTGAGCGTGCTGATGGCCGAGCCAGCGCGGTCCGTCCACAACGAGACGCCACGCGACTTTACGCACCCGTACATCCATGCCAACGCGTGTGTCCAATACGCGCGCTTCCTCCTCGCCGTCTGGTCCTGCCGCGGGTGGAACGGCGAGTGCTTCGACCAGCTGATCTACGGCGGCGTCCCGCTCTCTCTGCGCGCACCGTTGCAAGGCGCCGACCGTGATGACGCGCTACTGACGCCTGCAACGTTCACCATCTGGTCGAACGACTCGGGCGTCCGGCGCAGCGAGATCGCTGCCGCAGCGTCGCAGGCGCTTACGCTCTCCGTCGCCGCGCTCAAGCCGCGGGACCAGGTGGCGATCCTGAGCAGCATGACGAGCGTATTTGGCTGCATCGGCTTTGTGCGCCGCGAGACGTACCTCCTGCGGCAGTTGCAGAACTCGGTCCTCGCTTGGCTCGCCAGCGCGCTCCTCGCGCACGGCCGCCAGCGCCCGCAGGCCAAGGAGACGCTCCGCATCCGCCTCGGCGAGGTTGCGCCGGGCATGGCTGTCGTCTGGCACTCATCGCCAGCCCAGCAGCACGCTCGGTCCGACTTTGACGCCATCCTCATGATCGCCGTCCAGATCTGCGAGACGTACGGCATCAACGTCAACCGCGAGCCTGTCTCCGGCATCCCGGACACGCACGTCCTTGCCAAGGCACGCAGAGCAAGGATGCACACGTCCTACGGCAACCCGCTCCTCGCTGGCCGCGCCGCACCACGGCACGCTCGTGCCAAACGGCTGAGCGCTGTTGTTGGCGCTGAGGAGGAAGAGGGAGAGAGTAGACCGCAGAAAGCGTCTGTCCGGCCGGCGGACGCGCAGGGCGAATTTGGATGGATCGAGCAACAAATTATGCTGCTGAAGGATACCATTGGCGTGGCCGAGACGCTTGAGGACCGGTTGTCGATGGCATTTTTTGGGGCACTGCTGCTCAGAGACTACTATCAATTCCTCGCCGCGGAGGAGCAGTGGCGTCTCGCGCAAGGCCTCCTGCGCATCTGGAGCAACGAAAAACCGCCCCCGGGCATAAGCGTCTCTTACTGGGGGCCGGCGGAGCCGATCGCGCGGTTTGAAATGCTCGCCCTGTCTCCGCCGCGCGCGGTCCAGGAGCAGAGTTACAAGGCGCTCAACCCTTCGGTCAAAGCGAAAGACGAAAGTGTCGCCGGACTAAGCAACCCTTTCTTCTGGAACCCGCTCAAAGGCAGCTTTAGTAGCAAGACGGCTACACTCGTGCAAGACGAGTTGGCAGAATTCGCAGTTACGCTGTACAACCCGCTCGAGATCGCGCTCGAATTTTCTAGCGTGAAGCTGTCCACATCCGGGTGTAAATTTGAGGCCATCGCGTCCGAGGTTGTCGTGCCGCCCACTTCGTTCCACACGCTTGTCCTGGCCGGCAAGCCGCTGGAGACCGGAAGCCTCACCGTGCGAGGCGTGTATCTGCGCCTGAACGGATGTAAGGAGCAAGAATTCGTCATGTGCCAGGTGGATGACAACAATGAGAAGCGGTGGATCGCATGGCACGCCGATCAAGACGATCGGCGGACGCGCCTTAAGACCCTTGGACTCGAGGCGCGCATGTCCATCAACGTCCAACCGGAAGAGGAGCCAAAGAGCAAAAAGAGCAAGTACTCCCTCGAGCATTTCATACAGTGCCGTGTCATCTTGAATCAGCCCATCCTCGAAATTGAATCGACTTCGCTCGTCGATGGCCGCTTGCAGATCTACGAAGGCGAAACAGCAGAACTCTGCGTCACTCTGCGCAACCCTTCCAATCTCCCCGTCGATTACGGCGTCTTCTCCTTCTCGGACACGCTATCGGCGGCAGCGCAGGCCGCACTGGCGGAAGGTGGTCTGCATCCCAGCACTGTGCACGCGCTTGAGTGGAGCCTGATCAAGCAGCCAGTCCTTTCTCGCGAGGGAGTGCCGAAGGACTTCCTTATCGCCGCTGGCGAGTCGGTGCCTTTCTTGATCAAGGTTCTTGGAAAATCCGGCTGCAGCGCGGCGACCATTGAGCTCGACTATGCGCATATCAATGGACTGGGCCGCGGCCGCTCGGTCACGGACGAGAAGAAGAACTGGTTCACACGCAAACTGGCATTGCAATTTCCAGTGGATGTGCTCAAGGTTGTGCAGCCGCAGTCGTTCCACATCCGCCTATTGCAGGTAAACGATCTGACAGCACTGATGGCGAGCAACGGCATTTATACCCCGAGCACTGCAGAGGAGACATCCGCGCTGGGAGATGCGCTTGTGCGCGCGGCGGACGAGGCGTCGGGACAGCAAGTCTGCCTTGTCAGCATGGATGTGCGCAACGTACATACTCACGAGCTCGAGCTCGAATTGCGTTTCAGTACAGACGAGCACGGTAAGCATGTCGCCTTGAAGCGAGTCGTCAACGCCGGCTCGAGCGTGCGCCTCGCGATCCCCGTGGATCAGATTCACCTGACTGAAGAGAAAGAAAGCGCGCCCATCCCAACGCGTTCGTCACGGCAGTTCACAGTCGCCCGCGAGAAGCTGTCAGAGGAGGAGACGAGGCGCGCGCTCGTCAAGTTTTGGCACAAGGAGTACATCTACGAGCGCCTGCAGTGCTTTTGGACGGATATGAGGACCGGTCAGAGCGGCGAGCTGGCCATTCGAGGGCAGGAGCTCACCGACGTGCAACTCGAGACGCTCCGAAGGCCGGCGCTGTCGCTCGTGTTGCAGGTCGCACAATCGTCTTCGGGGCGCGCAGGACAGTGCAGGGCGGACGTGAAGGATGTTGAGGTGGAGCAGTTTGTCAACGTGTCGGCAAAGGTGACCAATCGAAGTGGTGAGAATTTACAGTGTGGATGCACAGACGATTAATCAAGAAGCGACCGACTGACTGGTGCCTTGTATCTCATTTTCCCATCTTGTGTAGGTCGACCTTTGAAACTGCTCTACCGGCTGACGCCGCTCGAGAGCGCGTCACTGGATCCGAACGGCGCGGCGCTTGCGCCGGATGCGCAACCGCTCGACGGGCTCGTGCACCCGACCGACCCAGTGCTGAGCCAGGTGCTGCTGGCGTCCGGCACGCTCGCCGCAGCGGTGCAGCCGTGGCCGCTTCCGGACGGCGCGACGGCGACGATCGACAAGAGCATATGCTTTCTTGCGCAAGGCATGTACGCCTTCGTCGCTGCTGTCGAGGAGGCGCCACGGTTTGGGCAGCCAGTGCCGCCACAGCAGCAGGGGTCGAGCGAAGCGGCGGCGTCGCTCAAAACATCCGAGCGCCTCGCGTGCATCAGCCAGAACCGGCTCGAAGTGCGTGCCGTTCGGTCGTGCCCTCCGTGACGGCTCAAGGGACGCGTAGGCAAAGGCAGGGGGGATAATGAGATGGGGCGCAGTGCGATACGGACGCTGCGTTTTGGCGAAGTGCCGGTGAGCGTAGCAACAATAGTAGTATACAAGCGTGTAAACTCCATGCAGAGCATATGGGACAGCTAGCCTTTGCATGTGCGTGCAGACGGATTGGATATGCAACGGAATCGACTGGCCGGCCGGGCGTGGCCCAGCTTTCAAGCGCGCAAGGACCGACGATGCGGCGTGCCGCGCACCTTGCGGTCCTCCTCGTCGCCTGCGTCGCTGACGGGCGTGCGGGTATCGGCGCGCAACGTGCCGAGAAGGGCAATGTGGTGCTCCTGCATCTCGGTGTGACCACTGCCGCTGGGGCTGTCACTGGCGTAGCCCTGGCGTGAAATGAACTGCCCCCCACGCTCTTGCTCAAGGTCAGCGTCGGCGTCGCACGTGCCGGGCCGGCTGCCGGTGGGGTAGAACTGGGCATAAATGTCGGGCTCCTGCAGGAGGATGTACGCGCCGGCGTCACTGTCGTAGCGCATCTCGCCGGCAGCGAGGTGCGCTTCGAATGCGAGGCGGCGGTAGTAGCGATAGGTGATGATGAAGATGTATGCCCTGCCGTCGCGCAGACCAAAAGGGGGGAGGGAAGGGGAGGAAAGGAATCGGTCAGCGTAGCGCCTTGAGAGCAGAGAGCATGTAGATGTGCAAGGGAGTGGTGTGGCGCGGATGCTCACCTAATCGCGCTGTAGATGAACAGCAGCCCAAGCGCGGTGGGGATGATGCGCGTGACGAGTGTGTTGGTGCACAGCGACGGCGAGTGGCCGAGGCGCGCCTCCAACTCCAACATCGCCCGGCTCGCGAACGTGCTGGCCTGCTGCGCTGCTGTGCCCGCTGCTGCGTGCGGCTTTGCTATTGATTCCGCTGTGTCGGCTGCTGCAGCATGGCTGCCAGCGTCCGCATACGCGCCGTCGCTGCTGGGCGGGTAAGCGTGGGTGCTGAGCAGCGCGCACACCGAACGCTGTGCGGCGGGCTGGTAGAGGAGGAGCGTGACGACGAGAGCGTAGAAGACGGTGAGGAAGGCGTCGGAGGTCTGCTGGACAACGTACGCCAGGAGCCAGCGCGGGCGTGCCGCGCAGATGCCCGCGATGCCGAGCACGGCGCACAGCACGCCCGTGCACGCGTAGAGCTGTAGCAGGAGCGGCAGCGTGCGGATCCCGCCCGCGTCGGCGCTTGCGGAAGCGGATGCGGGTGGCGCGCAGCACGAATCGAGGCGCCACGCGCGGGCCAGGAGCCACAGCTGGTAGTTCCACACCAGGCTCGCGGTGCACAGGAGCACGATGAAAGCCTTGTGAGAGCAGCAGCGCAGCGAAGCGAGGCGGCGCGACGGTGGCGACAATGGCCTGGCCGAGGAGGAGGATTCCCGGTGGCGGGTCAGTGCGAGCATGCTCATATGTTGCGTCTTTTCTTGCTGTTCG